TCGATTATGGGAGACCGTACTCGGGATAAGAGCATCAGCATGCCTCGTACAGGGACGAGCATTGGCGAATCCAACCTACTGTCTGCAGGAACTTTCCCAAGGGCAGCTAACCAACCTATACTCAGTGGCGGAAACCCCTGAGTCGACGAATGGGGATTACGCCAGTAGACAACGACTGCCTTGGTTACATGGCGGCAACAGACCCTTTACGCCAATCAAAACCAATCGAACGAAAAGCAAAAGTATTTATGAGACCAAAAAGACAGAATTTTCGGACTTCGTTGTTATTCGGTGCGGAATTAAAGACTGCAAAGACTGCAAGTCTTGGAGCTTAGTTACATCTGGAAGCACGACAGACGAACCTTCCTTTTGGCTCTGAGCATCTCGAAAAAGATGATAAGCAGGTCCTCGTTTGCCGCGTTGTCAAATTCTTGGTTATTTTGCGCCTCGCCGTCACGACTGGCTGCCTGCGTGTGCTATTCTGGCAATTGATGGCTCGGCTGCATTTTTTATGGCGTTACGTGAAACTTCGAAATTGCGGGCTGGATGTTTGAACACTTTTTGCTCCCTCTCCGGCCACTTCTCGTCGGTCTCCCTGATTCTCTCACCTTACATCCTTGTTTCTCTATCCGCAATCGGCACTCGATATGGACCGACATTTGGGAGGCATCATGAAAGAAAGTCGCTTTCGTGTTTAGACCGCTTGTATTGTATGTTTTAATGAAGCGCAGCTGGAGCTGGCGTCAAGGCGTTACTGGATTTTGCTTCAGAGTTTTTATGGTTATATTTCTCCGGCTTCATGCTTTTCCCCCTCCCATCACTGTCTTCCTGAAAGGTGGTTTTTCTGGTTCTCCTAATGATGCGTTGTGTGAGGACTGCCATCTACATTCATCGAGATGTCGTTGTCTATCATTGCACGATGCATACTCGCCTGCGATCTTGTTTTTTCTTTCGGTTATTTTTCCTGTCAAAGACCAAGTGATGAGATTCGGGCCTAATGCACGAGACATGAATTTAACTATGACGAGTCATATTTCTGCAACAGACGATACTAGTTTTATTAGATGCGATCCACCTTGGCCGCTCTCGAGGCTGTTACTACATCACACGTAATATAGTTATATTCTCCTCCGCGTTTTCGGAAGATCGCGAATCGAATTCAGTGTCACACTCTGGACTCTGGACTCTGGAATCTGGATAGACTCGGACTCGCTGATATCCGTCTAGACCGGGGGTGGGGCTTCCCGGTAGGATGCTTAGGTATAGACATCAAGGTAGCTCGGCTGCTGGAAAGAGAAGAGAATAGGGAGGGTTAGATAGGGCAATGGGAGGAGAGTTAACAGAGTTAACCAAATGCTTAAAGCTTCAACCGGTCACAGACAGCCATAAGTCATAACAGAAACTCCTTGCAGAGGGAGGAGTCTACAGTGAAGTTTGTTGTCGTACTTGGACCACACTATGCCTGAGCGCTATTTTTGGAGCTGGATGTGCAGCCGAGATATAAACTGGTCATAAAGAACGCATAGGTTAGTTGCTGTCGTCAGGCATATCCATCTAAGCCAAAGACAGCAATAAAGCCATGAATAACGGGAAGACATCTAAGGCAGTCTTTTAAGAGTGCAGCATTATCATGGAGGTGAATAATAGATACCCGACATTCTTCCTCCTAGGTACCTGGTAGATGACATGACTTGCTCCCAACCTTTACCTTACACAGAGGACAGACGGTACGCCGCCTTATGCGCGCGCCAATCCCAACCCGCAACACCAAATCTAAACTCTCCTCTCTCCCTTTTTCTCTTCCCTTACCCATGCTATCTGTGTTCTGGCCTGCATCACAACTCATTCTGACCTTTTCTTAATTTCTCTGGTCGACCACCCTGAGATCAGCGAAAGAAAAGAAAAAAAAAAGCTAAGACTTTTCGAAATAAGACGCTATCCAAAAGGGGAATAAAAATTCTTCCGCCTCGACCGCTTGAACGGGAGATAGTTTGGAGAGCAAGAGAGAGAGGAAGACCTGAGATCCCTTGATTGCCGACCAACAATCTTTCCTCCCCTCCCCTTCCACCCCCTCACGCCACCACAACCCAAGATCATCGATTTCTTCGAAGCTCTCATCCTCTGAGAATAATAGTATCATCTTCACCAACAACAGCAGATTGAACGAAGAAAAAGAACGTCCTTGTCGAATCCCCGTCGTTCATCTGTTTCTGCTAGTCCCATCCCACTCAAGCCAATCCGCTCCGTCGCTTGTTTTCCCGTTACACGCTTCCCGTTTTTTTCCCACCGGTCCAAAAGCAACCCCATCCAACAACACCGGGCTCTTTTTTCGACGCTTATTCTTGTCCAGAATCTGCGGGAGCCGCATCTCGTCGTTTTGCATCGCGCGTCATCAGTCAAGGATAATTCTTAGAGCGGGCTGCTACAATCTTCACCATCTGGCATAACTGCCAGATCCTCCACCTCACCACTCCCAAGGCCATTTGGCCTGTTGCAAACTCCTTTGAGTCCATATTTTCATCTAGATTCTATCTCGGTAAGCCGTCTACTCTTTTTGCTTCCCATCATTCTTCTCGATATCACGGGTGGGAGGTGGGAAAAAAAAATTTCCCGGGCGCATTGAATCACGCGTCTCAACCGCACTGTTCATGATATTTGAGCAGCTCTAACATCTTTTCTACTATCACAGTTAATAGACGCCGCCTAAATTGGTGTACCGAGCGCTCCGAAAGCTACCATCTCCTCTTCGTCCTTCTTTTCTCCCTTTCGTTATTCAACGCCATTGTATTAATCACTCTTTTTTCTTCGGTTTCGTCTCGAGAATCAGCACGTCATGGCTGATCAAGAAGTGGACCTGGACAACATCATTGATAGACTGCTGGAGGTGAGGGGCAGCCGGCCTGGAAAGCAGGTGCAACTGTTGGAAGCGGAGATTCGGTATCTTTGCACCAAGGCTAGGGAGATTTTCATCTCTCAACCGATATTGTTGGAACTGGAAGCGCCAATCAAGGTAAGATGATGCCTGTTCCTCCGGCTATTGCCGCGGCTTGGCGACTATGCTAGCCTACATACACATCGGATCGAAACTGATGATTTTGCCTTCGTCAGATCTGCGGTGATATTCACGGCCAATATTACGATCTCTTGCGTCTTTTTGAGTACGGTGGCTTCCCGCCTGAAGCCAACTACCTCTTCCTCGGAGACTACGTCGACCGTGGCAAGCAGTCGCTCGAGACCATCTGCCTCCTCCTTGCGTACAAGATCAAATATCCCGAAAACTTCTTTGTTCTCCGTGGTAACCACGAATGTGCCTCCATCAACCGTATTTATGGCTTCTATGACGAGTGCAAGCGGCGGTACAATATCAAGCTCTGGAAGACATTCACTGATTGCTTCAACTGCTTGCCCATCGCGGCAATTATCGACGAGAAGATCTTCACCATGCATGGCGGTCTCAGTCCCGATCTGAACTCTATGGAACAGATCCGTCGCGTCATGCGTCCTACCGATGTGAGTTTCTCTCCCATTCATAGCTTCATATCACGGATTGGGTCGTTTTTCTCGTTACGGGCCTCTATGGATTCCTTTCTGTCTGTACTATTGAAACAGTCGAAAAGGGTCCCCCGGGCTCTCGCAGCTCAAGGTTTGCTTTGCTAACTGGGATAGATCCCTGACTGCGGTCTTCTCTGCGATCTTCTCTGGTCCGATCCCGACAAAGATATCACCGGCTGGAGCGAGAACGACCGAGGTGTATCGTTCACATTCGGTCCCGATGTCGTTTCTCGTTTCCTCCAGAAGCATGATATGGATTTGATATGCCGTGCACACCAAGTCGTCGAGGACGGTTACGAATTTTTCTCGAAGAGACAGCTTGTAACGCTATTCAGCGCTCCCAACTATTGTGGAGAGTTCGACAACGCCGGTGCAATGATGAGTGTCGACGAAAGCCTTCTTTGTTCATTCCAGGTATGTTCTGAGCGCTAAGCTCTGACGACGACTTGTGGTCCAGTTGCTAATATGGCTTTTCTAGATTCTGAAACCAGCAGAGAAGAAACAAAAGTACGTTTACGGGGCATGAGCTCAGGCGCGCCCACTCCTCCGCGCAAACCAAAGAAGAAGTAAGAAATCATACGAGCTTTTCCATGTGCAGCAGGTTCGGGCGGAGATAAAACGTTACAATCCCACATTCGTCAACACACGACATAGCGAATTACCACAGCGACCCCCTGAAGACATAACCTCAGACGATCGAATGCGGATACACCAGGCCATCCAGAGACCTCTCGACATGCAGGACCGTCACAATTATCCTCCCTCCATCGCTACTCCAGCGACTCCGGTCTTACAGTTTCCTTCTACGCTGAACTTTTTCCCTTATCTCTATATGGAAGGTACTTTCTGCTCCTTGGAGGGGTTTTGTTTCTTATTGTCTTTTTTCTTTTATTTCATCCATTTTCCTGTTTATCTTCATCTCTTCTTTCCTCTTTCTCTGTGTTACCCTCTTCGTTGTTCCGGACTATCTTGACAGGTGGAGGCGAAGCGACGGGCTGCATTGTGGTGTTTTCCGTTTGCTTTTTTTTCTCATTCTGAGCAATCTTCCTGTGAGTGTAATGCCAAACCGAATAAGCAACATGTCCGTGTCTTCCGAACTGTGCCACGGCTCTTTTTCACAAAGTCTAGCTCCTTAGCCTCTGCATGTTGCGACGCCTGATAACGATCAACGCGAATGAAGGATACGCTACAGTGACCGCTAGATGCCTGTTACATGATAAGGTACTTGACGAAGGTGGTGGACAAGGTTGGCGGTGGCGGGATATGCATTTTTTCATCTCGTTTACCTGGTGCATGACGCTCGAATGCATTTGGGTTGTAGGTTAGGTCGGAATCAACGGGCTACTTTTGTCATTTCATACAATGGTGTTTCCTGAGTTATACCAAGTATATCTCTCTTCGGTTGATAATCAGCCAGCGTAACACGTAGCTTGAACTAAGAAAGAATCTTAAAAAGAAGAACTTGTGACTTGAACTAATCGCTAGAATCTGCATTTGACAGAGGGGGACCTGAGGGCTATAGATTGATAGGGACGGACGGAGGGTGCATAGTTCCATCTTCATCATCATCGATATCGATAGACCGGTAGCAAAGTAGTGATGGGTAGAGATCAGAGGGGACGGATGGAGTTGGTTGTTATTGATCGTTTAGACGTATTGGGACAGCCACCTGATACCTTCGCCGTATCCTAGTAGACATCATCCACATTAGCATTCGTACTCCCAAGAGCAACGCAAAAGCCGTAAAAGACATGACACCAAAAGTCAAAAAGGAAACTCACCCTGTCTCATAACAACACTGCACATGAACACCTCGATGGGCCGGATCCCCTCCAGCGGCACCTTGCCCTTACCCGTGGTCTGATACAGACCAAGCTGATGTCTCAGCTCGTCCTCGCTAACGGCATCGGGGTGATCGATCTTGTTTCCGAGGATGAGGAAGGGCACCTTGGCCAGCTCCTCCATGGCGAGGAGGGCGTCGAGCTCAGCCTTGGACTCGGGGAAGCGCTCGTGGTCCTTGGCGTCGACGAGGAAGACGATCCCGCTGACTTCGGGGAAGTAGTCTTTCCACAGGCGGCGCGCTGTAACATCCGTATTGTCAGCTTGCTAGCTCCCAGCTCCCAGTTCTGCTGCGCCGTGGCTGCCAAAATCTACTCACCCTGCTGGTGACCGCCCAGATCGAATGTTGTGAATCGGTTGTTGCCGATGGCAAGTTCCTCCGATGCTGGGATCATCAGTATCAGCTCCCTGCTCAAATCCCCTGTCGCCAGTCATGACTTATTATAAGGAGACGTACTCGGGTGCGCCGTAGGCTGGAGCGTCGCGACACGGTCATTCTATCAATCGAGCAACAAGCAGAGTTAGCATACACCCACTCCCGTATCCAACAATCCTAGGTTCATCTACGGTACTCACCTTCAACATGTGCAAGAGGGTGGTTTTGCCGGCATTGTCCAGGCCAAGGAACAGGAGCTTGGCATGCTTGTTGAGGAGACCTAGGGAAGCCAGGACATCGTAGACTACAGAGAGAGGAAACTCATTAGCGACAGAATCCGACGGGACTCAGGCCAGTAACGCAAGTAAGATGCCAAATAAGTCCTCCAGGTAGCTCTTTATGATAGCAAAAGCGGATGCAAGGACGGAACTTCGAGGTGTCAAGGACGCGGGAGTTGCAAGGCAAAACAAGGAACAAGGAACTACTTACACCAGTTAATGATCCACATGGCGGAAAAGTGTCCAGACCTCAGATATAAAGAAATTTAAATATCGCTGATTATCGCAGGAGAAAGATGAAAGCCAGAAGAACAGTGGCGAGCGGCTGGGCCAGAGATAAGTGCAGAAGAAGACAGGTTGTGGTGGCCCGATGAGTTGACGTTGACTTTTGGCCGATTCGCTAGCTTTGGACGCTTAGCCGAGCGCTAAAGCCAACTGCAACCGCCGGGAAGATCAACTTTAAACGTGCAACCACATGACCTCTTGCACAACTATGACTGAACAGATTACTTTACTATTCAAATAAGGATACATTTTAATTGAATTATTTGATTTCATTGATCTTTCGCATCAGCAAGGACTGGTTTGGTCTTCTTGTCATGTTGTGGCCTGCCCACAAACGCAGCAACAAAAGCAGGGGGTATCCTCCGTATGAACCGCCAGTATGCAGAACTAATTCAAACAGGCCCAGGCCACAACAGTGAAGGAATGTAAAAATATGGTTTAAACCGATAAGGAAAGGTAAATATGTATAGGTGAAGCAAACACGAATAGAAAAAAGTGATCTCCCTGTAAATGCATGACGGATGTCCTCCCAAGCAATGACGATGCTGTGCAAAGAGTACAGGACGACCCAGGGGATTCGATCTGTAGAAAAGAGTGAAGGGAATCCCCTCGGGAAAAAGAAGTGACAAAGAATGCCCAAGTATGTACAAGGAAGACAGAGGTCCTTTTCTGATGGAGGAAAGGTCTAAACAGATAGGACGAGCTGGGCGTCTTGACCGACACCGTAAGCTCTGAACCTCTCAGCAACTTCGAGGCCAAGCTCCTTCATCCGTTCAGCTCCCTTTCCAGGGATTGGTCGCCGCTCCATCTGCTCTTTGGCAGCTTTGCGGCAATGTTGGCGCCAGAACTTCTCCCTTCGCTTCTGACGCTTCTTCTCCAGACCCTCGACGATGTCGATCGGGCCTCTAGTGTGCACCTCGCGAGTCCAGGATGATTCACGCTCTGGCGATTCTTTCAAGTCGGCGATGGATGACCACCGATGAGCCTTGTCGAGGGACGTGAAAAAAGGGTTGGGAGTTCGAGGCAGGGACTTGGTGCGAGTCATAAGGGGGCGTTGAACCAATTCACTGATGTTGACACCTTGGGGGCGGCGAGAGGGAAGCTGATCATCCGAGGCACCATCGCCACTTTGGGTAGGTCCCATCTTGACCGGTGGTGGAGGGGACCGAAGACGTCTCGGAGACATGCGACCAAGGCGGCGCGGGGGAGGGGACATCATCCGCTTGGGTGACAAACGAGGCGAGTGTTGACGCACGGAATCCCCACCAGTTCTTCCCCGAGTTGCTTCATCAGCCCTAAACGACAGCTCCATCTCATCCTCTTCCAGGTCATCTTGATCATCAATGTCCGACGTAGGAAAGCTGGGATCAATATCCTGAGGAATGATGACTTGTTTGGAGAGGCGACGTTGCTCGATGCAGGACTTATATGCAACTTCCAAAGGACGATCCTCGTCCAATGTGCCACAAACAAAATCTGTGCTGTCGGGTAGGTTGGGAGTTCCAGGGCGCATTTTGAGCGGGGGAGGTTTGAAAGGGGATCGACCATTTGCCTTCCACGCAAGTGCTGGGGGCCAATTCTTGCGGGGATCGTCAGTCATAGAATCCAGCGATGTGTTCGAGCAGCGACGTTCCAGTGCCTGGCGAGCCGGCTCCAATGTCTGAGGGCTGGTGGCAGTAGTGGTCGAAGTGGGAGCCCAGAATTCATACTCAGAACCGTCATCACTCTCGTCGTCTGAATCGGCGAAGCCAGCCTCATTGTCGGATTCATTGCCATCATCCGAGGAGAAGTCATGGATGGTCGAGTCCGCGTCGTCCTCGTCCTCCTCTTCGTCTTCCTCCTCAAGCGCCTCTTCCTCCGCTTCTTCTCCGAGCTTTCTGATGGCGATTTCTTTTCTCATGCAATCGCTCATAGTAATCTTCTCAGTGAATTCACCAACCTTGGTGACCCACTCATCATCCTCGCTGACAGAGCTGGCAAATTCGTGGAACCGGGTCGCCTCAGACTCTTCAAACTTGCCGAGACCCTTCACAGGCACACCTCTTTGACTGCTTGATGCCGACGGCTTCTCATCTTGCTGTGCCTTAACCGAAGACACATCTTTCTCCGGAGACGCCTTGCGGGCGACAGGGGCAGGGGATCCACGGGGCCGCGACCTGAGAGCAGCTGTGCGAACAGGAGGCCGTTGTCTTGTCGAGCAGGAATCCCTTGCCGGGCAAACAAAAGTAAGCACCGTCTTCCGCTTGGGGGGCTCCGCTTGCGTCGTATTGGCAGTCGATTCCGGTGCTGTAGGTTGTTGAGGTTTCGTTTCCTCAGCCTTACGCCCACACGCAAAGCTGATGCATCTCTTACGTCCAAGATTGGCTTCGACAGTGGATTCCGCCGCATCCAACCCAGATCTACCGTTGAGTTGAGGCGATAGCGGGGGGCTTGGAGTGTTGGACAACGATGGGCTCGTGAGTCCACCGTCGCTGGTCAGCTCCGCGGTCGAGATTCCGCTGACGGTGCCGGAGTGGTACGAGCGGTAGAATGGATGGTCCTGTTGGTCGGCAGGAGCCAGTTCGGGACTGTGCTTGAGGGCACGTGTGAGAAGTGATTCCTTGCCGCGACTCATGGTGGTAGGGGACTTGACGTAGACGACACCGTCGTCGACGTTCATTGGAGAGGTATTCAAGAAATGGTGATCAGGAGGCTCATCGACGTCCTCAAGCGTATCTGAATCTTGCTGAACAGGCTTGTTGGACTGATGTGGCGAGAGTAGCATCTTCAAGATCTTGTGTATTGAAAAGGGTCGATCACCACCGCGCAAGTATGCCATCGCTTCGAGTAGGTTGCTTAGTTAGGAACGGGAATTGAGGTCGAAGAGGTAGTTAATGATATGGTCGTGTTTTCGATATCGGAGACTCGAGAGGATATGTGGCGGCGATAGGTAGTAGAATAGGAAGGTCGGAGAGGTACTGACGAGTTCAGTAAAGAGTTAAACTTGTCAATCAGATAGATAATAGAGAAGACGCTCTCTCAATATCGATCAATGATACCACCGATCGACCCAGAGGCGGGAGATTAGGTTGTCCTCAGCAGGACGACGATTGTCATGATATACAACGCATGATGTGAGGGGGGAGTGTAAGAAAGGTACAATAGGATAAGACCAAGAAAGTCAGGTATGTAGCCAAGGAGTACAGTCGTACAAGCCCTCCCTTCAATAGAGTGGCAGCTCAAGAGAGCGCCAGAAGGAGACGCGTCCGAGAAAATCAGAAACGCAATGTGTTGGCAGTGCTAGGTAGATGGAAATGGAGAGGAAGAAGGAATGTTAAGGAGGATTGGAAGATGCAAGTAATAGTGGAAAAGTCCGGCACAGAAAAAGGGCCAGAAAAAAGAAAAGGAAAAAGAAAAAGGTTAATAAAAAGTTCAAATAATTAATTAATTAATTAGGGTCGCAGTACAATACCTACTCTACCAGCCGACGAGGGAGGGGAACGAGAATTTGCTGGGGCGATCGTTTTTCTATGACGGGGCGGGAGAGCGGCACCAGGTTTAGGAAGCTGATTTGGTCATTGGAGTGAGTGGTAGTAGTGGGTCGCCACTATCAAGAAAGGAAAGGATAGAAAAAAAAAGAAAAGAAAGAGGAGAAAATTAAAAATCAAATTATGACACTTTGGTGATCTTCTCCTGGGCTTCTTTCCTTCTGCAGGCGGCCACTTGACGCTCAGTCCAACTCAACCCCGCCAAGAAATGACCCACCGTGTCTCTTGTTCCCACCAACCCCAGTGCATGCTTCTGTTCCTGCGGCTAACTCACCGTGAAATGTATTGTCACACGGTAATATTGCCGATGTACGATCTGTTCTCCGTACTTGGAGGGTATAATACGAGCAATTATTACATACAACCTCTTTTAAATAGTAACGGAGGCAACTTGATGACAATAATGGAGTGTCAAGTACGTGCACACAAAGTAATGAAGATGAAGTCCATGAATGTCTCTGGGTTTCATTGATTTTGAATTGCTGGCTGTGACAAACTTAGGTGGTTTCATCAACCGGTGGGACGTCTTAGCGAGATTGAGGAATAATAATGATGACTGGTACAGTGGAAGTGGTACTCCATAGAGGCAGCCGAGTCCTTGACTATGAGGGATTTTGTATACGACACTAAGCCTTGCTCAGCTATACTCAAAATGACCACACAGAGATATGATGATAAAGAGAATCAGAACACAACTGAAACCCACAAAGCAATCTTCAAACACACAAAAACAGAAATGTCACACTGATCAGGATCTTGCTTCTTTTCTGCTGTGCAACACAACGTATCCCAGAAATAAATCCCCTGTACCTCAACTTTAAATTTCGAAACACTATCTATTCTACCCCCACGAGCCCAAGGCTAGCAAAGCAGCACGAGCTGCTGTCACTACTCAGAATAACTGCATAATGCAGCCTCCTACTCTCGGTTTAATAAGCAGCATCCAGCAAACAACAGCTAAAATCAGCCCGACTGCCCACCGTTCTCTGCAGTGCGCTTTTCGAGGTGGTCGCTAGCCCTCAGTAAGAAGTACTATGCCCTTTCCGGGTTCCCTTAGGTAATCCGCAAGGCGTAATTCCATTACCGCCTGTATAAGGACGGGCGGCAGACTGACCCAGGGCTCACACAAAAGAGGCGGCGAGGGCTCGAAGGGCCGGAGTCACCCCGAGGCGGTCCTTAAGGGGACGGGGCAATACCTCTCTACGGTACCTAGGTCTCAGCGAAAACCGTCCCCTTACGAGGTGGTATTACTTAACCACGACCTAAAGCCAACTACTGAGTGGTTCAGCACTATCATCATCGCAATTAAGATTACCTGCACTCTGTATGGTTCCTGATCCTGAACCTACTTTGGCTCAAGTGGATGTCACTAGTACTACTCCGTACTCTGGAGCAAATGATGATGCACAAATAATAATTAAGGCGCTCTGCGCGCTTCGTCTTCGATATCCTCTAACAACCTGGGTCAATGGTTTAGCTTTCTTAAGTGCTGCATTTGTCTAACTTCTGCTACACTGTAGAACTAGCATCAAGGATCCATACTACCATGATTAAATCACACTGTCATTGCTTAACAATAGTTACCTATGCTTGGTATTCGTTGCTTCCCGGATCATTATCGTCTCCTGTGCCGAGCCTTTCCCTTGCCTGGCGATAATTCCCACTGTCCGAATTTGGAAGGCATTTATCTTGGCCCTCTGACGTATGTTACACTCATTATTGCGGAGTTATGAGGACGAGATATTCAAGAATAAGCATGACTGTACTCTGTACATTGTGCTGTCAGAAGATCAAATTATGCAGGTTAAATAAAAAGAACAGCTGCAAAAGAATCTCACATAATGTACCGAAGGTTCTGGGAAGGTTGCCCCCTTGCGAGAAACCTCTGGCGAAAAGACGCGGGCTAAGCACTGTACTCGGCTTTGCCCGTCGCATGACGCTATTCAAACTCAAGGACGGGGCTACTGTAGGCCTCAACACGAATCTGACTATGCAGCTAACCCATGACAAGAACCCCCTGTGTTGGACCTGGTTTCCAATTTGCAAGTAGGTTCACATCTGAGATATGACGGAATTGGGACTTTTGGTCTGCTTGGGATCGCAGTCACAAGAATAGAAATCAACGAAAAATACCAGAAAATTACTATCTGCTACTACAGACTTGGAAATCATAGTTCGATCTTGGCTGTACGCATCAACGAAGATCACAGCAGGGGCCAAAAATGCCAGAAATAACAACCAGATGTGCTAGGAACACTTGCAGATACCGATCTCAACTGGTCATACTGTATGGTTTGCGTGGAATAATTATCACTAGTAACTCCATAGTACTACCAAATAATCATCTATCAATAAATGTGTGAAGATATGTTCTGTTGTCAACACTTTGGATAATTATCTTTTGTAATGCGGTATGGCATAATCAACATTGTTATTACAGCATTTGTTTCAAACAGGCATCCCCAATTCGAAAGCCGACCAAAGCATCCAAGCCCATTCCGAGGAGAATGTTGCTTTTTGGCATTGTTCAAGACATTGTATCATGGCGATGAGATATCCACCTAAGCACGATCTCTTCCCCAAAGTGTGCATCTCTTTGAGAACTCTCCGATCATCGTACGTACATCCCTTTATGCTTCGAACCCTTCGATCGTCACCCCAATCTCCACTTATACGATGTTGGCTGGAGAGCTGACTATTTCAGCCTGAGATTGGATCATGAAGGTTGACGCCAGAGAAGCGGTCAGAAAAAGTAAAAAAAGCAGCCCTCTGATTGATGATGAGCTTGCGAGTTTTGAACGCCAAATGGTCAGTCCGCCAGCCTTCATATCCTTCGAAAAAGCGGGGACCACCAGCCAGTTACGGATCATGTTTGCGAATCAACGGAACTGCATCGGCCAAAGTCTTGGTCAAGCTTCCTACACATCAAGGATACCCCCACCTGTGCCAGATTGCTATTGCGGTTGTTTGTTTTTTATCCACCCTCGTCAGCCAATCTAATGAAGATTCGACAGTTTTTTCTCATCGCTACTGTTTCTGATCCCAGGATCCGAGCAACTGAGATGCATTTCAGGATATCAGGTGGTCAGATGTCTCGTGATGAGAAAGAACGGATAGTATGCTTCGAAGAACGGTGAGCAAAGCTAAGCTCAGCCTTACGAGAAAGTATCAGGCAACCTCAGCTCCAATACGACCGTGGATATCAACGCTGAGTGAGATTCTTCCACTGATTTTGATTGTCTCTACAGCTGACGACGGCATACACGAGATATTGTGCATGAGAGACATGCAAAACAAGCATCATGGCGGAGCTTGATGCTAAATCTCAAGCAATTTTGACGCTCTCAATGTTACACGCTGCGTGTCTGAATACATGGATCAGCAGTCGACTGTGGGATGAAATCAATGCGGTCATCTGAAAACTCCCAGTGAGATCCAATCATACTGGTCGACAGCAGTGGCATGTGGCCGCCTGGGAACTCGTGGTCAGCACATCAAAGCCGACCGATATGGGATCTTGCCGATGGAAGGCGAAGAGCTCCTGCGTTGCTTCATGCTCGCTGTCTAACTGGGTGCTCCTGTCCCTTCCACATTCGGTCACCGGTGGACCGGAAAAAGATATCGCAAGCGTGGTTTCCCGCCTCTAAGAACGAGGCTATGTGGCATACGGGATATCCTATCGCGGATTGCGGGTTCCCCAGTTGAGTTGGTGGGATTCGGGAAGGCAAATGGCAAACTACATTAAGACCCAGGGTAAGTGGAGGCTACTGCATTGTACAAAGGATGATGCAGCAGACCAGCAGTTCAATCCTCAGCCTGCTTGAGGATTATGACCATAGAGGATTAGGTAGCATTAGTCCGCATCTCCACAGTCCGTATGGATGAATAAGAATCGTAACTGGCGTATGTCTCAGTGGCCGACGTCGGCCCAGCATTTGATAAGCCGAACGACGGGGGCCCTTTATTAACCGCGAGCACATTTTGTATGAGGGATTTATGTCAGTAGCCAGTTCGCGCGGGTTGCGCTCTCCACTCCAACACGTTGAGCGTTGCCAACTGCGTCTGGCTCAGGCACTCTTGGTGCATGCAAGTGTCGCCAAATGTAGTAAGACAAACACTAACTGTGCGCCAACAGAAGCAAAAGCTGCAACTGAATGAACTGATCGAAGGGCACAGACAGCATTTCATCTTTGACAGCTGCTTCGATCCAAAGCTTCGGGTCGTATTCTTCCTCTTACGCATAAGCCTTCATCGTCGGGGGTTTCGGTGTTCGTCAATTGTCAAATCATCGCAGAATGTCGAGGGTCGACAAGTAATACCTGACTCAAGCGAGAAGTACCACGACGGGATCTTACTAGGATCATATGCGGGGGTTATGTACAGTTGCCTGTCAAAAATTATAACAATGCTTTGATCTCGTCCTTTGGACCTTCTGACCCCTCATTATCATCCCAAGTCATGCCTCTCATGTCTCGACGTCGACACCCCCACGGTATTGCTGATGCTGAACTCGACCTGGACTGACGTTGAACAGTCGTTTTCAAACAGTTTGTATGGCTTGAATTTCTGTACGGTATCAGGCGTACCATACCGTATGTTCTAGTACATACCACGGGGAAAAATACATTCCTTCACCATGACCTCTGCAGTGTAACAGGTTACACATGGGACTTGCCCTTGCTTTGGCCAGGCTCAGCCCGAAGTGTCATGGACCTGGAAGCATTCCTGATAGCCCTGACCCAAAAAGTCCCGACCGTTCTGCGGACTCGGTGAGATAACTTTTAGATCTCTGAAGTTGTACGGCAAACAGTGTACGGAGTCCGGAGACCGTCAGAACTGGCAGACGGAGTACGGCCAAGCTAAATCGACCTCGCACATCATCGCGATCTCCTGATCGTCTGCACAACGCATTCCACCGGACGAATTCCAAATTCAAGGGAGTCCACTGCATACTTGATGAAGCAGCCAAGAGCTCCGCCAAGAGCCGCCAAGATCAATACACAATGCACAGTTATGCTGGTCCTCTGCATCTTCCCTTTTGGGAAATCGGAGGTCAGCAGGATATGCTTAAAGGGATGTCCTCCTTGAAAGTCCTTACTCCCCTTTTCATTCCACAGCAGCACTTGGCGACGTTGCTTTACCTCTGCCAAGACGATAACTCATACCGCTGCCCCGTCTAGAGGACACTGTATTGAATATTGATATCCGTTTGATGATCCACTATCCTCGAAATATCTACAACAATGCTTGGCCTACTTACCCTGTCCGCGATCTCGTGACTCGTGGATGGCTAGTGTATCAGTGTCATCGGGAGCGCGGAGGGACAGCCGACACCAGACAAACATTGCTTTTTCTTCCTCCTTAAAGCCACCCCCTTGTTTCCTCCAGTGTTACCGTCGACCGACCGTTCCATACTCGAGTTACTCTGCTTTCGCCAAGCGCTCTGCCAAGTACTGCACATTCTACATATGTGGTCTTCTGTGCCCTGTCTGCCAGCTCATCTTCGGGAGGGGGCGCAGGCGGCGCAGAGATCCTGCGCCCCTTTTCTCACCAAGTACATAGGCTCTTGTTGAGGGTTTGAGACAGCCGACAACAGCTAGCGTTAGCGGCAGATCATGTCGATCATCGATAGTGATACTATGTATATATCGAGGCTGAATCGAACATTTCCCCAAACTGCTACGAGCCAAATGCCAATACGGTATTTGTCGCTTGGCATCAAGAGGACTGATTCATACTTCCAAATTTGGAAGAGAGCATTGATCTCATGATTGGGTCCGACTAATGGGCAGTTGAGCTTACGGATACATGACATAGAGTTCTCCAGCACTACCTAGTCTTGGTTACATTAACTTGCGGTCATTAAGATTGCTGATCGGGCAGAACTAACATCAATGGAAAGACAAAATTATGCTATTGCCGTGCAGGTTCAACTGATTTAAGTAGCAAACGGAAATACATTGTTTGAATGGATACTCCCAGGAAAATAAGGTATTTTCATGCAATATGCTAAACCATACAAAATACTCGTAGCACTGAGTAGACTACTCCAATTCAGATACGTGAGAGATCATACTATGAAGCTCACAAACGCGAGATATCAAATTTTCATCTTTCAGTAGTGGTCTTGCATCCATAGATCATCCAGCATTTCAACATCGGATAATTCCGAACGCCGAAGCTATATCAGGGCACCTTCTGCACCTTTCCACCAGGCACTAGATACCTACAATACAGCCTATGTCTCCTTCATTAACGAATTTCCATTCGCATCCATCATTCGATATGGATAGACTCATACGTCATGTTCAATCGCAAATTACCAATTGTCATGTCGGATAGACCCAATGGAAACTACCTTAACTAGAGATGAAAGACAATAGCAATAATAATATATTTGCATCCGGCCGATTAACCCAACACACCTCATCGATCATCCTATGACATACCCCCAAATCTTCCAGCAATCAAAGGCAACGAAACGAAGATAACAGGCACGGATCTGCTAGCCCCCACATAACAACTGTACGGAGTATTCATCGGAAACGTTGGGTTGGTGAGGTATGTTATTAAGGTATTGTTAGTTCGTCAGATGAGAGTCGCTTTGACAAGTGTGACATCATAGGTTCCAGATGCGCTGCGCATCTCGGGTTTTGGGCATTGCGGCGATGATCCATCCCAGTCATGCATGCACACAAGGCTACACGCAAAGGATAATACTATGTATAGGCTGCTAGATGTAGGTTAGCCAGCCTCGTCAGTATGTTATCATGATGATAATCGCAGGGCTGGGTTTCTAATTATATTTTCAAATAGGGGCGTAGTCGGATACATTTCGGTAGGCATCATAATTTAGGCTAGGGTCGGTTTCCTAGTAGCTGATGATTGGATGCCTACATATTTTCTTGTTTCAAGTCTTAGATCATCGTGGCTGTATCAAGTGTCGCTGCAACAGGTGTACTCGTTTCATAGACTACCCGTAATATAGATGCTGTACAGTAATTCATCTGCCAATGCCAGATCGACAGACGCCCAAAGCATATGCAGGAAAAGAAATCGTGACCCCTAAGAATACCAAAACTCCCAATAGCGGAAATGGCTTGAAGCCTCTGCTCCCCTGCCATCTGCTAGACACGCGTCCTTCCATGGCCACGTCGACGCGCCTGTGTCGCTGCCTGGAGATGCTTAACTGATAGACTGCCCATCTTGCTACGTTGCTGCCTTTGCTCTCCCATTCTCCTCCACCATCGCAGGATGATCGCTTTGGCCCGAAGCAGCCGATCCCTTGTCTGCACGACCGCTGCGCATTGCAGTGCCAGACTCCTCGCCACACTTATTCGGTGAGCTTCTCGGTGTGCGAGGACGCGTCGCCATGCACTTTGGAGCACTATAGCAGCTCGAGCTCGTTTGGTCGACGAAAGTAGTCGAGAGCAGAGGAAGGCGAGCCCTCCAACCGTAAAACTGCTGTCGAAGATATGTGCCTTGCGGGAATTGCTAGGAGAAACGAGGTTCGCTACGAATCATCGGTTAGCTGTTGCCCTGGGCTGCAATCTGGAGATACACTCACCAAACTGAGAACTGCAACCAAGTGCTCGTAGACGGGTTGCCAACGAAGTTGCCTTTCGGCCAGGACTTGATGCGACATTGCCCAGGATATATACTTCGTACTCGTTCACTATAGCCTCGTAGATCTTTCCATCCGCAAAGCTTGTGCTGAGGTTCTCCAACCGGAGGCCACTCAGATGCGCCAAGGTGGTTGCCCATTCCTTGAGCAGTAGAGTAGCTTCGTCGCCGCCTTCTATTTCGTCATTAGGGCTCTTCTCCTTAAACAAATTTGCGTCGTTGACCTGTTCGTATCCGAGCTGTGATGTAGCTTTCTGCCTCAGTCTGTCAATCTCTTTCCTCACGTCATCCCAGTCGATGAGCTCCGAAAGACCCCATCTACTGACCAGCCCCCATAGCAACGCAATCGTCTTCTCGCGATGGCCATTGACTATGTCTTCGGCGTGCACGTCACGAACAAGCGGCGCAGCACCAGTTGTCAACCTTAAGGCATCCAAAGCAATCTGTACATTGAAGTTCTTCACTGTGCGACTCGAGCAGCTGAATTTTAAACGTCTCGATAGCGGCCATTGATCATTGTCCAGCAGTGGCACTGATTCCCCTACGGCCCCTGCTGACGGATAAAGGAGCAATTCCACAATCCTAGTCAATCTCACACCGTCCCTGAGGTCAACCGCAAGATTATTCATTCGGTACTCGTACTCTTGCAGTTGGTGCTGTTCATATGACAGGTGACAGTCCAAATGTTTGAGTGATTTCAAAATGTCCCCGATGCTGGCAGTAGAAGCCGGGCCAGTGCTTGCATAACCGCAGCGGAAGACTTGAAAGATGAGGAGGACCTAAAAAGGCAACCTGGAAGCATTGTCCCTGGACACAATCTCGCCTTATCCAAAAGAATGACAATCATGATACTCCGGAGGACTGTACGACGATAGGCTTGGGAAATCGTATCTGAGCCTGAATGGCTAAGATCCAGTGAATCACGATCCATATCTCTATTTTGCACCAAGAAGACATCCAAGAATCGTTCCAGTTTTCGTCTGAGAATTTTTTCCTTATCTGCAGTCGTTTCAATCGAGGAATGATGGGGATCCCCATCGAGGGACTCATTTTCAACTCTTCTTCCGGTAACCGTCTCGGCAGCGGCTCTCAGTGCTCGAAGGTCGTACGTTTCCAACCAAATATCCAAGAAGTTCCGCTTCATACCCAAGTCATGTTTCAAACGCCTTGTTTGTGTTAGAGCATCTTTTGGTATACTGAGAGAGCCATAGGTCAACGACGCTTGCAATCGCTTATGAAGTTCGACAAAAGGTCCGCTTTGATACAGTTGAAGAAGCTCATGTCTGCGTGCTGCAGGGTCATCATATCTCATCTGACCGTCCGTTTGATCGAATAACCGGTTGATTAACTGCGTGATTACTATCTCCTGATGCGCAAGCCAATGGTCCTCATACATCGCTGGGTTGACAATATCGTCGGATATGAGTGCAAAATCAGTCATTGCCGTCTCTTTCTCAATTAGCGATGCGCTGGATTTGTATGTTTTGGACTGTTTGAGCGCATTCGAAAGGGGTGTTCTCCTGGAAGCGGACAGAACGGCGCCTTCAAGTCTCGAGCTGCTTCTGACGATACCGTCCATTTTACTGCCGATGCCGTTTACAGATGCCCTAGCATTATACCGTTTCTCACTAAGCACTGGTTTTCTTAGCTCTTGGCAGGTGGACGCCTTCGTCAGTGGCTTCGTCATAGGGTTTGCAAAAGGTCGAGGTTTGTCTGATAAGGCCCTGGGCGATTTTGAGCTTAATTTTTCTTCCGTATTCGATTTGCGGGGACCTTTGTCCTTGGAATTGAAGAGCATTGCCCCTGGAGGTATATTCTCTTTCCCAGTATTCTTGCCAGCGATATCGATGTTTATGGCACTTCGTTGAGCCACTTGAAAACTTGGTTGCAGCGGAGTCTTTCGATCCGAGGCCAGTGCCTTCTTCGCTTGTCGTTTCCGCGCAATTTGTGATTCCAGGCTATTGATCTCTGTGTCCTCTGGAACATAATGATTGAGGTTGTCAGACTTGAGCGGACTGAACATACTCATAAACACGCTGGCGACCGTGGTATCGTCCGGGGGATAAAGACCGTATTGCGGCGCACATCTCGTTTGAGTCTATCTTTATGTTCATCTTTGTCTCCTTCGCCACTGATTCGCATTAGTAGTGACCTGTTCGTCTCTGCACCGGCATCTATGTTCTGTCTCTGGTGCTTGACTTCTGCTTGCTGGAGCGGTGGTGTGGATGGCGAACTCGAGACGAAGCTGACTTTCGGGCGGAATCTATGGGCTGGTTGGGCAAGCAATGAGGATTTGCGGCCTGGAACTCTAGCTGTGATTGTGCTCTCTCTTTTTCCTTTCGGCACTGCGTGTGTAGGTCTCTCTTCGTTCTCATCGTGGATTGCGAACGATGTTCCTGTCTTCACCCTTCGCTTGGGCTTGACTCCAATCAATGTACTGTTTTTGATCGCAGTGGTAAAATCGAGGCTGGCAGTATCGTCGCCACATTCCAAGCTTCCTTCCCACGAGCTATCAAATGTATGGGTTTTATCACTGTTCCTCGAATTCCTTGACTTTATCGGACAAGGAGTCCCAACTTCCTGCAATAGACCAGACATGATGGCTGTTGTTCTGAAATTATACCATCAGATAGCCTTAAAGAATGTAACCAATGTCTGGTCTTAGAAGCTTATTAGTCCTAGTGCGCTTGACACTTCTCGGAGATTGTACTTAATCGAGGCGGTTTTAGGCGTCGACTTGGTGGGAAAGATAATAACAAGAGAATCTAACAGGCACGATAAGAGACACTCGATAATATAAGACTCCGATAACAAATTGCTGGTCATAAGAAATAGAGATAAAGATAAATGGTCAAGATCTATGGTAGTTTCATGGAACGAAATAATGTATGGAAACGCGAGGCCTGGACTGTTGACGGGAAGCGGTTGCCCAGGCAACACATTCGTACCTGACTTCTGAGGCAGCCAGACTGACTTCCATTCGGTTTTCTTCGGTTAGACACCAGGTTGGAGATATCCAATTAGTTCATATAGCATCTCATCAATTTCCACGCGTGAATGCTCGCCGTGATGAACTGCCTCTACTCTGAGTCGTTCTCCCATGGCCTTGAATGGATCATCGAACATGAGAGAGAACTTGACTTGCGCAAGAAAGACCGATCTCGAGCGCTCTGGTTTCTATGCTGAGGCTGGAGACTCTTAGGCTTCCTAAGGGGTGTGATAAAACCTTTGTCAGCGATATCGCTAGTCGCCATGCGTGTCCAGAAAGCTGTAGGGCTGTTGGCTCACGATTTCTCGTCGACAAGTACGGTTGGAATGACTGGGTTACTGCTCGGTTAGGACCAGCGTCTTGAGGCAGTTGGCTACTGCAGGCAACTGTGAGAGGCGCCTAGCAGATTGCGAGCTTCATTGGCACAGAGCTTTCGCCAGTTGCTTGACTTCCGATATGATGGCATCTCAAAGCCTGCTAATTTATATCCCGGGGTCGAGAATAACGGAAGATGGCTCTGAAAATACCCTATACAACCGTCCCTCGAGCGGATGGGGAGGCTGGGAGGCCAACTTCGATTTTTGAGGAACATAGTGCGACATCTTCATGATCCTCTTCAGCACATACATCTCTAAGCATATAGGAAGCAGGGACTTCCCACTTTGAAACCCGTACTGCGTGCTCATTCGAGCATCCAGCTTAGAAAGCCAAGTATACAGAGTAAACACACCGTACCTAAGGCACCATGGCACAACGAGGCCTGCGTAATGCATCTGCATCTAGCCATCAGGTAAAGCTTTTCATCGACCGTCGTGTTATCCAATGACGGTGAGCTGATGGAGTTCCACTGCTACTGACTGTCCCTGAGAACCTACCTTGGCCGCCGAAATATGACAGCACCCACGGCGACAACGCGTTGAGATCGTAAACTAGATTGGAAACTAAAGACCACGATGATCGAGAGTGTTCGGCCCTCTGAAGTTCCTCAATTGGTCAGAATGGATAGATGTAGGTTAGGACTGCCAGAAGCTCAATCTTCCCTGATAGTCTGATTTGAACAGCAGCAGTCAGTGTGCATCAGACCGTCGTAGCCAATCATTCGTTTCAAAAGATCATGGTCTAATATGATTGTGAAACCGCGGGCCCAAAGACTCTGCGGGTAATGCTGCAGGATGTCCGCCGTAGTCCTTCGTCCGAGGTTGACATTTGAAAGAGAGTTGTAGTGTAAGAGAGAAGGGTGGAACCTCGGTCTGATCTGGTCACATCACTTGAGCATTCGGATGTCATATGGGTGTAATGATCAGACGGGCTTCTGTTAGGTAGTATCGGATTGGATCATCCTCCTTTCTCCAACAACATTAATAGATCTCGGCCAATAGACATCTGTTCGCCTCATCATCTATTCGAGTTTACGTTCCTGACCATCCCTAGTGGGTCAGCATTTATGCTCCGGAGGACTAGCAAGTTAAAAGCCAAACGGCCTTCTGGTATGAGAACTCCGATTCGACGAGAGCCAAAGCCCTCTCCATCCCCGGAGAGGCCCAGACACATGAACCCAGCTTGATCTTCAACGTGGCCCTCTCTTCTTGCTCTCTTACTCTCCTGTACCTTGCATATCGACTAGGGCAGTCATTTCCAGAATTACTACATATCTAGTTCTTCACTTAATTCTATAATCAATCCATGTGATGCGCTAGTTGCCCTCTGATTGTCACCCTAAAAGTCGCGTGCTTCCTTGCTTCCTGCTTACTCCTCCACTTGCCGCCAAAGGAATCCGCTATCATTGACGTCCTCCCCTCAAGCACACCTCGCCGTGAAATCGCTGTGGAGATGACCGATGAATAACTTCCATTTTGGCCTTGTCTCACCAGTCTCTACTTTTAGTTAGCCTTGTTCAGTTGATATTCCCTCCAAATCCGCCGCTCTTTCACTACCATCTTACTATCCGCTTCGTCCCGCCACAATCCCCCTCCTCTACCAACATACAACCCGGAATGATTGCAGGTCATGGAAGCCCTGGTTTATGAGAACTCGCCGTTGGCAGAATATCTGAAAGGTATGTCTCCGCGGAGAGTCATGCATAGGTTCGGATTAGTAAATGATGATGTCGTTGGTCATTCAGGGGAAGGTGAACACGATCCAGACTGGCCGGTCCAGGATACAAAGAGCGAGGATGATCCCTTCGACTCACCAACATCGGACTTTGCCCCGCGGGGCACTTCAAAATTCCAAGAGCGCATCCGAAACAAGCTACCCAAACCCCTGGAACTGAAATCCTCGCGCCAGAGGGCAGCCTTGGGTAAACTCTACGATGCCTGTGCAGTATGGATTACAACCATGTTACTCTATCAGCTGAGGCCGGAACTCTGGCTGATAAGTTTTCTTTTGAATAGACCGCCCTGAACTCGCGAGTCGGACGAAGCGACAATGAAAGATTCCTAGAGCAGTTTGGATACGTTATCGTCGCATCGCAGTTGTTGAATGAACACAGTGCACCCTCGTATACGTCAGCCGCAGATGTACTATCCAACTCGAACCCCGTCGACCTTCCATCGCTTTCCACAACCTTTGGCGTGCAGGGTGCCGTTGTCACAGCATCAACGTCCTTCTCAATCGCCTGGCTGGTACACTGGAGTCGATCTCGGACGGGGTCCGGATTCAACCCTCGGAAAGTCGGTGTACTTCTGGTCCTTGTCCCAGTGCTTGGGGTCCTGTTCTATGCTTTTGCCAGACGCCAGTGGCTCAAGTACCTGCGGCATCAGGCTGTTGATGCGGCTGTGGTATTCATAAGCAATGCGCAGTCATTCGATTCCGCTGCTTCGGCATCGGTCGTTTTCATACAGGAGGTCGAGCTGGTCTCACGGGGTTATCGCATGTAAGTTGCACTCGATCTTGCATGATCAAGCGCTATGAAGGCGGAGAATGCTAACTCAATACCAGAAGCACGCCCTTGCCTCCCGTAAGTAGACTTGAGGATCAAGCGCAGACACGAAGATGTCTGAGACTGCGTCGGACCGTGTCCGAGTGCTTTTACTCAATGTTGCAGCGTTACCTACAGGCGCAGCACATATTGCAACCGCTGACAGACAATGACAATCTCGCCAAGTACCACGACATTTACGATGTCTCACTAGAAGAGCTTACCGAAGCCGAGACCGCCTTGGCTGACCGGGAGACAGAAGACCAATACTCATTACGCGCGCTTCGCACCCTTTTTGGAAGGCTATACAACGTGAGAAAGAGCATTTTTTGCTGTCTCCTAGCCCTGGGTGCTGACGGTGGCGGATCCGACATCGTCAGATGGAGCACGGCTATTGAGCAGATGCGGGATCTTACTCAAGTCACGGGAACGAATACCCGCAAGATGGCCAGCATCCTCAATGAAGATGACCGTGAGTTTTTACCTCAATATAGAGTACTATCCATTCCGTCACTGACTCTGTTCTTAAGGTGACGTGATTCCTCCTTCGCCGCTGCCTACAGCCTCTCCTAACAGGGAGAATCTTCGTGCTCAATATCGCAAGCTCAATACACTTACTCAAGGCATTCGCGCCCTTCATGCAAAAATGCATCTGATCAGAGAGCTGTCCACTGCCTCAGAGCCTACCGACACGGAAGAACTCGAAGCAACTCTTCTTACCCAATACGAATCAATTGGAACGGACATCAGAGGCCTTCTTCATGAATGGGAGGCTGGCAAAGCTGCTCTGATGAGCAGCATCGACAAGCGATCCTCGGTAGATCATATGTCGCGCCCGCCCAGCGGGTTGAAGCTGCCATTGTCCCCGACACCCAGCCTTGGCGGTGCCACCGCGGTAGAGGGAAGCCCAGCAGATGCGCTTCGGGCGCTGAATGGCGATATCAAGCCAGACCCTAGCATTATCCAGAGTGTCGAAGAAGATGAGGAGATATTCGAATCCATAGTTCTCCCGTCCCGCAATAAAAGGGCGTCTCTGACCAGGGAAGAGCGCATTGCCCGTGTCAAGGAAGACCGGGCGAAACAGGCTGCTGCACGTGAGCGAGCGGACGCGAACACCAGCATGCTGAAAGAGCTCGAAATGGTCATCAAGCAAAGACCTCGAACGACAGCTTCAAAGAGGGTCACGAGTATCTAACCCACACCTGTCATCCTATCATTATTTTGCCTTCCCTCTTTCTCGACTTACCTCCCATATGGATATTCTCCCTCCGCAAGCGAGTACATAATATCCTTCCGCATTCATGTTTTACACTGACTGTGAGCGAGCATTGACCAAACAAAGTCTGCAGGTTGATACCCATTACAAATAGAGCGGATTGGCGTCACTGGTGTTTTGTTCTTTCCTTTCTTCTTACGTTCCTTCTCCACATTGATGCTTTTCTGTGTCCATTGTACAGCATACTTAACCACTGGTCTTTAGTTGGTCTCGCGCTCTTCGAACGCTTCTATCTCCTTGGCTTTGACTTTGACAATTGCATCTTCGAGATTGGCACCCGCTGAGTAATTTCCTATGTGCAAAATTGAGCTGTAAATATTATAATGTGAGATTAATGTCGGAATATAAGAAAGATAATTGATACTCTTCCTGATACTCCAATGACAAGGCAACGATGCTGCTGCCTTAGGATAAGATGAGTCTAACCACAATTGTTCATATCAGCCTAAGGCCAACCACGCATAATGACGCGCGACTCGTGAACGCGTCTGATTCCCCACTTAAACCTCGAACGCGAATTTACAGCACTTTAGAACCTCACTCTCGCTCTCCAGCTTCTGCCCAGAGCCATTCTAGCTTCACACCTACATTCACCTGCAAGTCCTCCTGTCCTTCAAATTTCTCGCACTACGACAGCTAACGACTGACAATTTTGTCTTAAAGAATCATTGTCATTCGACACCTCGCTTCACTTCCACATAATCATCTTTCATCTATACCCTTTGATCTCGACGTCCAGACACACATATTCAAGAGTAGGCAGTCTTGTCCAATTGTTTCACTGAATACCCTCTGACCGTCATCCCAGTGTTGGAAGCACGACTAGAACAAGCAAGCCTTCTCAAGCGCGTACGTGAGCCCTCAATTCCCGGTTTGCCTGTCGGCTTCATGACTGACCTGATTCATGCTCTATCCAGGTCGTCGACGCTATCAAAGATCTCGTACAGGACTGCAACTTTGACTGCAATGACTCGGGAATTGCCCTTCAGGCCATGGACAACTCTCACGTCGCTCTAGTTTCCATGCTTCTCAAGGCGGAGGGTTTCTCGCCCTACCGCTGCGACCGCAACATTGCCCTTGGTATCAACCTGGTTTCCTTGACCAAGGTTCTGCGTGCCGCTCAGAATGAAGACATCCTCACACTCAAGGCGGAAGACTCGCCTGATGCTGTGAACCTCATGTTTGAGAGCGCCGAGACCGACCGAATAAGCGAGTATGACATCAAGCTGATGGACATTGACCAAGAGCACCTGGCCATCCCTGAGACAGAGTATGCCGCTACGGTGGAGATGCCGTCGGCGGAATTCCAGCGGATCTGCAGAGATTTGAATGCGCTTTCTGAGTCTGGTGAGTTATGCGATTCCATCACTGAGAATTTTCGTACTGACCTCCGGTAGTCGTCATTGAGGCTACAAAGGAAGGTGTCAAGTTCTCGTGCCAGGGCGACATCGGCAGTGGCTCGGTTACCATCCGTCAACACACCAGCGTCGACAAGCCCGAGCAGAACGTTTCCATTGCCCTTAGCGAGCCTGTCGCTCTCACATTTTCTCTTAAGTACCTCGTCAACTTCTGCAAGGCTACATCGCTATCGAGCCAGGTTACTCTCTGCCTATCCCAGGAGGTGCCTCTACTTGTCGAGTACGGGCTGGGAAGCGGACACCTGAGATTCTATCTCGCTCCTAAGGTATGGTCTTCCCTACCTGTCAATTGAGATGTCTTGATGCTAACTTTCACCCCGATTAGATCGGAGACGAGGAGTAAAGAGGATTAAGCGAACGAGGCGGGAAAGGCAGGAGGGGGTGTTACTATGATATGAAGAGGGAGCATAACGGTGGCAACGAACATTTCTTTCTATTTTCCTGGTATTCAAAATATCCCATGAACATTAGTCCGATAGGGCAACTACGGAAATCACATTCGATAATTCACCTCGAGGGTCGGCGATCCACCATTAGTACGTATTCAAGGACTGACATATCTTCGGAGGTCCATGTAATATGACCATTTAAGTAGCCGCAAGGCTACCTGAGCACCACTACTTTCAGTGACTACGAAGTCGTGTACGATTCGGAGTGACCGGATTCAATTTTGATTCCGCAGTAGACCACAAAGTACATTGCCAGGCCAGATTTCCATCCATGTCACCAGTACAAGCCCCAAGGGTACCAACAGCATCCACCTTACCCCTTCACACCATGACAGCAACCCTATCAAGCCCAAAGGGCCAACCCCCAACTCATTAGCAGGGGCAAAACAAGTCCTTTCCAGTCCCAAACCACCAACGCAAAGAGGGAGAAAAGAAGGTAAATACAAACTGACCTGAAAGAAAAAAGAGATGAAGCGCCACCCCAACCAGAATAATCGGAATCGAATGATGCGCCTTCCCAACCAACCATTCCTGGTCAGCAAGGACAGGCGCATGCTGCGTATTGCACTAAAGTGTCATAACACACAATCTTCGCAACGACTCTCCCATGGGGAAACCCGAATCCCACCGAAGTAGGATCCGGCCCCGATGTTTCTGATGCCGATTGCAGGTGCTTCACACCAGGCCCTCACGGGCAGTACCGGCCCCCTGGACCGCGAGGCCCAGAGAGGGCGGGTTACTGGGTTAGGTGAAGATTCCTCCGAATTTCTCATTTGCGGGGTCCCTCGGTGATGGCTGGGATCACGCGAGGGGACGGGGCTTGCGCCCTCGTCGTGTGTAGCAAAGAAACGCAGCATTGGTTGGGGTGGCGCTTGAGGGGGAAAAAGAAGAGAGGGAAGAGAAGAGGGAAATTTATTGTTGTGGTTTTATGGTGGTGGGATTGTGGTGACTCACCGCCTGCCTGGTGGGGTTGACAGCGATGGATTACTAATCAGTTCATGATAAGTAAAGCGAGAGAGACTTACCTAGTACTAGGTTCGCGCAAGCGAGGGAAAGGTCGACGTGAAATGTGTATGCTTTATTGGCTGTGTATATTTTGGCTTTTATGTTGATAGATTCATCCTGATATTGGTCGAAAGAAGTATACAGAGAGCGCTGACATCTTGATAGAGCGAAAACTGGACAAGAATGTCAACATAATCCGATATGGTGTAACGGCTAACATCGCCGTCTTTCACACGGCAGCTCGGGGTTCGACTCCCCGTATCGGAGCTCATAATTCCTTTTTTAGCACTTTTTGCTAGCTCATTCCTATCTTAGCAACAAGCTGTGTGAATGCTTATGGCATTTTTGAGCAATGAAGGAAGAGCTTTTACAGTTTCAGATATTTTAGGTTTATTTCTGGTCACTTGGGACTGACGGCGAAAGCCTGGTAGCTGTCCCAGCTGTTGTATGCTACACCAACGTGGCGCTACTTGTCGACTAGTCCACCATAATGGTAAGATTGCAAAGCTAGAGAGCACCTTGTGTGCTTAGCAGGATCGTGACAATCGACTGAAATGCAAGCACCACCAGCTAAAAAGCATAAAATAATGTACAAATGTCTCCATTCATTTTCTCTGAGCTCTATCAAAAAGCTTATGAGGTCAATTGTGATTCCAACGGCAATATCATAGTGGCATTAACCTATGCTGCAGATAGGTTTGAGCTCAAGCGCTCTCGACTGGCTTGTGCGAGGAGGCATGCTGTTTTCAGATCATGTCGCTCTTGAATCTTCGATATGCACCGGTACAGGGAAAAGTGACACCAAGGGGTATATGATTGAAGGGAAAACATCGAAGGAACTGCATATACGACCACGCCTATCATCCTCACTTCCAAGCTCTCAATGTTCTTAATGTCTGACAGGGCGAGAACGGTGTATATTGACCACCGTCTCAATTGGCGGCTCCATTCATGTACGGATTTGACCAAAGAAGGCATGGTCGTGAGGACTAGACGAAATGACGCAATTCAGCAGCTCACGAGGAGAACTTGCGGGTGATCTTGGCGATGACTGCAATAGCAACAAGTATTAGAGCATTGGCTTGAGGTTTCGGGGCGCACACCACACATACCGTGAAGACCGACAACGGAGAAAATGAAACCCAAGCTGAGCACCAGAACGACAACAGGGTCGACCCTCAGACCAGGGCTCTCATCGGTGTAGAGCTTGAGCATAGTGCCGGAGGAACCACCCGCACCAGCAGCACGGGTAGAACTGGGCCTAGCATTGCGGAGAGATTCCTTGTGGTCTGCGGCCGCGCGGCGACGCAAAGCAGCTCTGGGACCACCGGGAGGGGTAGGAGAAGAAGGACGGTTCACGGAGCCAGTGGCGGAAGCCCCAGCACCGGCGCCAGAAGACTTGGTGTCAGGGCCGGACTCAGCACCAGAGGTCAAGGGAGAAGCAGCACGAGCAGAGGCCTGGAACAGATGCATAACTATGGTCAACCTTCGATTCAATGTAGAGGCTCGGTCTGAAATAAGCAATTGGAGCTGCCGTCCGCAGAGCACATAGCGCTCCTTCTCAAGGGACGACGATCGAAAGAGGTACTCACCATCTTGAGCAATTGAGTGAGAAAAGGGGAGGAGAGAAATATCAATGAAGGCGACCGGAAAAGTTAGACTACAAAACAAAACAAAACAAGGACCTAATAGAAGAAGTAAAAAGACTGTGGTGACAGGTGAAAGAAGAAAATCGGATTGGGGGGATGAATTAGCTACGTGAGGTGAGGTCGCGAGTTGCCAGAAAGAGGCCACGATCACGATTTCCAGCCCGTCGGGTATGGTAACGTATGGTTACATGACTTACCTTAGACTTACCCCAGCTCCATGTGACCCAATCATATTCGCCCTCCGCTTTCTGACCCCTGAACTGCGGCAATCAATAATTCAGCATCAATGAGAGGCTGGCTATGTACTCCGTAGATTTCAGTAGCAATGGGTAGTTTGGACTGTTTTAAGAAGAGCTGTCGCATGCCATTCGAATAAAGCCAATCTGCAGTAGCGCTCTGATCATCAGTCACGGTGAGCCAGAGCTGAGAATCTACCAAAGCTAGCTAGGATTCATTCTGTTTAACGCTTTGAAATATTTGATATATGATTATGTTATATTTGAGCTTAAATAGTTACAATACACGCCAGAATAGATGCACAGTCGTGATATACCAGAACCTGTAGGGGAATAGAAACAGTCATCAAATGAACGCCATTGTGCCATCAAGGAATAGGAAGTACAGGAAGGGGCGAAACGGGAAGTGACTGAACACGACTGAATGAAAATCGCTCAACCAAACTTCAGGAGGGTCGAAAATAGTCGTCAGGCAGCCTAATAAACGCAGGAGAGGTATCATATCGAAGATTCCAAAAACATGCCCCATTGTCAGTACCCAGCAGCCCGCAAGCGAGGTATTGATCGAGTACCACCGCGCACTTGCGGTTTCCGTTTCTAATATACGGAAGTAAGAAGCGAAAAGCTGCGTATTGGCATTTTCGTTTCTTTTCAGTCCTCCGTTTCTTTTCCAATTCAATTGGATTTGTTCATGAGGAGCAAGACAGCAACGCTCGATTAATCAATCATCATTCGACTGGGTATCGCGCCAGCCACATTCGAGGACAGCTCGGTGGTCTTCTCCGCCTCCTTGCTCGACTTTCTTTTGTTGATATGGGGCTTCAGACCCTTGTGGAAATTGTGCATGCACATGCAAGCGTTGATGATAGTCATGATGATGAGAGCAATCGTGATGACAGCAAAGAACGTGAGTGATCGCCGGGCAGGCAGGTAGTCCTTGTAAGTTTCTGGTTGGTACATGCGCACAAGCTTGAATAGGAAATAGGCCATAGCTGCAAAGTAAAGAAGCTAGAATTATGGTCAGCAACAGCAATACAGGTTGCGGAAGCAGGAAACATACGATGATGATGATCATTCCGATTGAGCTCTCACGTCGAACAAATATCGCCGCGCAAACCAGAATCAAAATCGTCACAGGTATAGCAGCTAGGGTCAGAGAGAATTCAATGTCGGCTTTATCGGTGACGATAACGACGAACTGCACCGTGAACCCGAGGAAGAAGAAAAAATCAAATTTGAGAAGTGCGACATAGATCTGGCCATTGGTAAATCCTCATGTTTCTTGATCTTCATTCTGTGAGTAGGAGTCACAAACCTGATATGTGAGATAGCGACGCTTCATTCGCAGATCAGCACTGATATGCTTGTAGATTGACCATGCAAATTCATCATAAAGTTTCCATGCAACCATCACCATGAGAACCGTACCCATCGCCACGACGCATGGAATGATGATCAAGAAAGGCTCGGTTTCTCCCCATACGTCCATATTGATAGCCGTATTGTCGGTCAGAATGGAGACAGCCTCCTTCACCTGCTGAACCTGCACTGCCCCGTAGATCAAGAGTCCAATGTTGCAAAGACATAAACCAATGACCTGAATCGTGTTTTTCATCCGCAAGGCATCGTATACAAGCACCAGCTCATATAGGAATCCAAAGCTGTAGAGCGCTAAGAAAATAGGGATCGTTTTTGATGCGGTGACAACCTCGGCTTTTTCTTTAAGCTGGCTCTGGTAGTTGGCGAAAATGTAACTGAACAACCATGCGTTAGCATTAACAGCGTAATGGAGGTTTATAGATTATCAGGCCCGCATACCATTCTAGCGCGAGAGTTATGACAGTCTGGATGAAAGTGACGATGACAAAGGACCACGTCCACATAGAATTTGGAATATACATTTTGCGCTTGGGCGGTTTTGGCGTTACATTCGTGTAGCCCTCTCGTGAACGGAAGCCTCCAGGACCTCTTCTAAACGAGGGATCGAATGACCCCCCGAAAAGAGAGGCTCGCGTATTGTGTGCGTAAATTTTGACGAAGTGCTCCGTGACGGAGCTCGAGTCCGCCGGAGTTTCGGTCGCAGTATGCAATATGACGGTTCAACCACCTAGCGGCGGCGTGGATGCTGCCAGAGACCGCTGATGGTACGAAATAAAGAGGGTCAAAGGAGAGAGTAGAAAGACGTTGTGGTGGCCTTTGCCGGTTTGTCGACCTGACTGTTCGACAAGACGTTGGCAGAATCAGGAGGTCACGTTCGGAGTTTTGGTCATGGAAAGTACCGAGGATCTGTCTATACAGACAGGCAAGCCCCAGCAAGCCTTCGCCGAGCGTCGATCTGGAGGAAGGGAAGGGAGAGACAGGTCGACAGAGTGAACGAACGGACTGGGTGGTGAAGAATACGAAGAAGGGCCTTATTTTCTCTCCCCCAGAAGAAGAGTGTTGTTGCCAAGCCGCGTGAAACGTCGTCTATCAGGCGGGGACTGGAACAGTCGCTCCGATCATCAATCACTTCGAGACCAGTCTAAGGCTGAGCACATGTAGGGAATCACGAGTGTACGGCTGGGCTCTAGCCACAAAATCGCGCAAAGGAGAAAGGGCGTGGAATGGATGGACTATCGGATGTACAGCAGAAACAAAAGAAAGGATGAACGAAAGACAATTTCAATTAGCTGCTTGAAGAGCAAGACCTATGAAGCTGGTGATAAAAAACAATAACGATGGAAGTTGTTCAAAGACAATGAACGGAGTAAGATGAAAAAGAGAAAGGTGTGGCCTGAACAATAACAGTACATAGTCCTGTCCTGTACCCAGTGGTAGGTGTCTTCCGGCAACTAGGTACGTACCTCACTTTGCGGGTGGTCCTGTGGATTTGTGGGTTTTGGCAGACTGTGGTACGGAGGAATGCTGAAATAATGATTATTATTTTACAATGATTTTTGAGTTGGTTTGAAATGGAGTGAGCAGTGATAATAATATTAATGTGATCTGGTTGGGGATTGCTCAGCTTGGTATCCAGGGTTCAGTAGAGAGTTCACGAGTCTAGACATCGGCACCTCCCATATAATTGAGCAAGGAGTAGGAATATTTACATCGTATCAGCTATCTAGATGCTTCAAATATTCTATTGCCATTCATCTATATCCATGGATAGGCATGAAAGTCAAAGTAACAGCAGTGGAATTCGAGGCAAAGTCTGCGCATGCACCTTCAAAGTGGAAGCAGCCAGCGTCCCATCTTCCTAGGTTTCCGTCGCTGCTATGAGCCTATGAGCTTGATTCTTTATTTATCCTCCAAATCGAATGCTGAGTCGTTGACAGTAATAATATGAACGCTCTTAATCTTTAACGACTAGTGACCGCCAAGAGGTCTGTACGTAGCTAGGGACCAAATTTTCCCTCGTAGCCTCGAATGACAAGTCTTGTGTGCCTGGGGATGGAGAACAATCCACTAGCTGTACCAAAAGAATTGGCCAAAATTGCTTACAATTGAAAACTAGTCGACTCTGGTGGGCCCGACTCATCCAAATTCTGCCTGTCGTAGTCCCGTAGAACGACGGTGACAGCTCCATTATTATTCTAGCCTCTGCTTTCAGCGGACTTGGAACTCTCGGCGAGATTTTGAATTGTGGCTTAAACCGGCTTGCAATTATGCCCGTCCATGGTTCAGAACACATTTCTATGTACAATCATTATTGTAGTGAGTTTAGGTAGTCGTGCTATGTACATGGCAGATTAGTTTTGCATGAATGATTTCAAAATCTGCCATGGATACTATACACAGCACTACCCATAGACAAGCTGAATCGTCGCCCCGTTATCCGTATGTTCCGTTTGAGAATTAAGGGAGGACGATCACTTCCAATTCTGAGCAGAAAGGGAAAAGCCGTATGCCGAACTTACTATTAATATTCGGACACAGCAGATGCGAATCATGCGAGACTTGCGGTCTTGCCCATAGCGATCTTCATCTCCCAACAATGTTCGCGATTCGCAAATTGATGCCACTATCATCGACACAAGGTCTAGACCTGCTTGGACATCGAATACACCAGGATTCATCTACTTCTGTTCTGCATGGCGTCTTTGAAGTACACATTTTCGGTCCTCGCTTTGCGTACTGCGCCCTACCAATCCGCAGACGGTGGCATTTCAGTAAGCTCATATTATTAATTAAACATCCTGACACAGGGGCGGAGAAGGCCTGCAGCCCTGCACAACTTTTTATTGTGGACACGGGAATCTAAAACTTTTCCTCTTCAGGACATCAGTAGATAATCCCCGGTCGCTTCGTGCGATTGAGTACTCGCGTAGAACGACCATCAGTGACAGTCGGCAACTGAGCTGCTCCCCGAATCCACGGCTGGACTCAGGGCTAGAGGCCCAGTCGATAATAATATTAAGGTTGACTGAGCCACTCAGTCAAAAGCCACGGACTGACAACAATCCTACGCAGCTACACCCAGCCATCCCCAGTCCGGCTCACGGACATCAGAATGTTAAGGAATGGAGGTGGCTGTGACTGTGATTGTGGCTGTCACCCAGCCGTCCACCAGTTTGTATTTCTGTCGCATAGTAAAGGGATGGCAGAGCCGCTTCATGAGTCAGACCAAAAGACAGGCCCGACGTGGGAATAAAGCGCACAGAAGTATATTGCCCATTATCTGAACGGAGTTGTCGGAGGCCATCAGTAGTAGACATGAGCAAAACCAAGAACGAAAAAAATGGAAGACGAAAAAATTGGGGAATTTGATGAGCTCCGATACGGGGAATCGAACCCCGAGCTGCCGTGTGAAAGACGGCGATGTTAGCCATTACACCATATCGGATTATTTGATGGTGACAGCAGAATTTTCTGCTATATAAGTAATCTTCATCAGGAGGGAGGAAGATGATCAAAACTAAAAAAAAAAAAATTTCGTAATTAAGCTCCGATACGGGGAGTCGAACCCCGAGCTGCCGTGTGAAAGACGGCGATGTTAGCCGTTACACCATATCGGACTGGCTGATATAATTTGGCGTTCCTTGAATTTATAAGCAAAATGGTGCCTTAAAAGGATACTATACTGTAAGGAAAGGCTCTCGTTACATGGTACTCATGCTACTCGATGTACTCGAGCATCACTCTATTCAGCGCTCTAGTTCTGACCATGGTACATGGCCTGAGTCTCCTGTTTTTCACTGATGTAGAAGATCTCGACGGAACGAACATTACGTTCCTCCAGTCTATTGGCATCGGCCAGCTCCGCTGCGTCAAGACTCCTGGAATTTTACTCAAGCCATTTGCGCTGGTGATCGCCCCTCCTAGGTAGTCGCAGGGCCTTGAATAATGCCATTGGCAGCTCTGACCAAAACCATGTTGCTAACTGTTTACATAACTAGTCAGTCAACCACTCCGCTATCATGATATCGAAGGAGTCCGGGGCCGGAAGGCCGCCTTATCAAAAACACCGCTTCAACAACCAATCGCATCCGCTTCGAACTAACATCCACTGATAAGGATGAGCTACGAAAACAACGTCCGCCAATGATGACGTTCAAACTCAAGCTGTCAGAGATAACCTACTTCCATCCTACCGGAATTGTACAGAAAGCTAATTCGAAAACAGGAACTGAAGGAGGGAGGAGCACTGGCAACCCCAAGTGGCGCCTTGGGCCAGTGGCCCTGGGGTCCCTACATCAGGATGAGACTGATAGCAAGTCGTTCTCCAGGGTCCTGGGGCATGCTGATTACGAAAATATGCTCTTATCGCGGAGTCACGAGCGGCTCGTATTTCCTATCTGAACATGAAGCATAATTTTGATCAGCATGATGTCTGCGAATTCGGAGAATTATCTGAAGCTCCATTGATATGCAGTCTGCAGTAACGGCTATATGTATGGAAGGTGCCTCCTGCTCTGGTCCAGATACAGAGCAGACTCCACAGATCTACTGGCGATTATCAGCGTGGTAATCCACGTGGAATCTCGGTACAAGCTCCGCCGTCTTATACACTCTAATACACTACTCTGTTACATTGAATCGAGAGGGAATTAGAGGCTGTCAAACATGTCCTCAGAGGAGGTCAAGTTTGTTGCCCCCTATCGCAAGGGTTTGGCTATGGCATCATTATTGGATTGGGTTTCGCTTTTGCGTTGGTGATGATCTTCATTACCTGGGCTTTGAGGAGGTAAGAGCTTCCCATGTCCGTCCTCATCGTGGTATACCTAATACCCGGTGCAATGCCTCTACCTTGACCCGCAGCCACGCTAATAAGGGATCCACTTACAGATATCAGCATGAAGTCCAGACATCTGAAATGTTCTCGACCGCCGGACGGTCTGTAAAGTCGGGTTTGGTCGCCGCAGCTGTTGTCAGTAGTTGGACTTGGGCAGCTACCCTTCTGCAATCTTCAGCTGTGGCTTACCAGTACGGTGTCTCGGGCCCTTCTTCTATGCTTCAGGTTAGTCCTAAGGGCAAACCATGACTTTGATTGATGCGACAGAATTATTGATATTGACCGGGAATAGGTGCCTGCGTTCAGATTATATTGTTTGCGACACTCGCCATCGAGCTCAAAAGACGAGCCCCCAACGCCCATACCTTCCTGGAAGCTCTCCGCGCGCGATATGGAACTGCAGTGCATCTAGTGTTCATTGTATTCTGCCTCATGACCAATATCCTCGTCACTGCCATGTTACTCACTGGTGGTTCCGCCGTTTTGACTTCTTTGACTGGGGTTCACACAGCTGCAGCCTGTTTCCTACTTCCCATAGGTGTTGTGCTCTACACACTTTTTGGCGGTATCAAAGCAACATTTATCACCGACTACATGCACACTGTGGTCATTATCGTTGTTATATTCATCTTCGCGTTCTCCGCCTATGCAACGAATGCGGAGCTGGGATCTCCTGGCAAAGTGTATGATGCACTGGTTGCAGCCTCTGAGCTTCATCCAGTGGAAGGCAACGCTCAAGGCAGTTACCTTACCATGAGGTCCAAGGAAGGGGGGATTTTCTGGGTGATTAACCTTGTCGGTATGTACCCCTAGACTGCCCTGTACGAGGACATACACTCTGACGGTTGTTTTGCAGGTAACTTCGGGTTAGTAACATGCATAATTCGGGCTTCATGTCAGGTTGCTGATGACTGTAAATAGCACTGTGTTCCTTGACAATGGATACTACAACAAAGGTGCGTCTATTCTGTCCTCGAAAGAACCACTGTGTCCGGAGGATACTAATTACTTCCAGCCATTGCGGCAAGTCCTGTCCACGCTTTTCCCGGATATGTCATTGGAGGTCTGTGCTGGTTTGCTATACCCTGGCTGTGCGCGACCACCATGGGAATCTCTGCACTTGCCCTCGAGGGGGCCCAAAGAATTAGCTCCGACGATGTCACCGCTGGCCTTGTACTGCCATTCGCTGCTGTCAAGCTTCTGGGCTATAGCGGAGCTGTATGCACGACCCTTATGGTATTTATGGCAGTTACTTCGGCATTCTCAGCTCAGTTGATTGCGGTCTCCTCTATCGTCACTTACGATGTCTATCAGGCGTACATCAACCCTGCCGCCAAGGGCAAGAGATTAGTGTGGGTCTCTCACATGTCTTGTATTGCCTTCGCTCTCATCATGGCTGCATTCGCGACAGGGCTCTACTACGCCGGAATTGGCATGGGCTATCTGTACTTGCTTATGGGTGTCATTATCTCCTCTGCAGTGTTTCCCGGGGCCATGACTCTTGTCTGGAAGCAACAAAATTGGATTGCTGCCGCATGCTCACCGGTCCTTGGACTTGCGGTGTCACTTATTGCCTGGCTCGTGACCGCCAAGAAGGAATATGGTGAACTTACCGTCGCAAGTACCGGGGCGAAGTGAGTTTTGTATTGCCCTCTGGCAGTTTGTTCCCATTTGCTAATTGAAAATAACAGCTACCCTATGCTTGCCGGTAACGTCGCGGCTCTGCTCAGCCCGATCATATTCTCGCCGGCTCTGACATACCTTTTCGGCACTCAAAACTATGACTACGAGTCGATGCGGTCTATTCGCAAAGTCGACGATACAGATGTCGCAGCGGCCGCGCACGTCGACATCGAACTAATTCCCGGCGAGCTCGACGTACGCGATGCACAAGCGGAGGAAGAGGAACAGCGCAAACTCAACAAGGCGGCTCTCTACTCTCGTACGCTGACCGTCGGCATGGTGGTCTGCTTTCTGCTGTTGTGGCCAATCCCCATGTATGGCTCTTCATACGTTTTCAGCAAGAAGTTTTTCACCGGCTGGGTGGTTGTTGGTTTGATCTGGCTTTTCTGCACTACATTTGGTGTTGTCATCTTCCCTCTCTGGGAAGGTCGCCAAAGTATCATGCGGGTCGTCAGACTCATGGCCCTCGATGTCACAGGGAAGAGGCCGGCCCTTGTTGACCAGAAATCACGAGAGCACGAAGATACCTCTTCTGGTGTTGCGACACCAACAGAGAAGATGGAACCAAAGACAGGCATTTGAAGCTCTTTTTCGTGGAACCATTCTGACGACGGAAGGTACGAAGTGATGTTTGATTATTGCCTTTTGTGTTGGGATCCATGAGATCTCATTTTTTCATGCTCGATTTATACCCCATTTGTTGCCTTAAGTAGATAGTATCAATTTTATTAATCACCGTACCATTGACATAATCCTAGCAACACTTGCATGCTCTTCAACTGTGGTATATTACTGAACACAACGAGGCAAATCCACAAAGTATGATAGACATCATAAATAAAAGACGACAACAAATCAGTGCGGCTCTCAGCTCATCATTTATAGTTGTAATTCTGCGGCGGTGGCGCCTGGGGTTGTGGCTGTCCCTGTCCTGGGGGTGGGTAGCCCTGCGGCGGATAACCGCTGCCCGCAGCACCAGCAGCATAGTATGCCTGCGGCGGCGGTGCAGGACCTGGCGGTATGCCTTGCGGAGGTCTTGTATCCGGCGTGATATCAGGGCGGTCGCTGTAGACAGTTAGCGAGAGAAAATGGAGAATTCAACGCCAATTTGCGGAATATGCCATAGTCTTACCGAAGGTCTTGAGTAAATCGGCACGTGTAGCATGTCACTTCCTGTTAAGTCTTAGACTCCTGTGGATGTGCAATCTGAGGAGAAGACTCACCTTGTACTTGTGTGTCGAGAGAGGGATACAGGGCTAGAATCGTGAATATTAGCTTCGGGTTCACGTGGCATCTATAAGCTTGCAGGGTCATACAATGAAGCAAACGGTAAACCACGGCCTGGAAAATACTTCATTAGCAATACCTTCGTGATGAGATTCTGGGTTCATGACATACCACCGAGTTATACAGTGTCCGTTCCAGTGTTGGCCTACAAGTCGGAATCAGTACATCACCATTTCACGGTTCAGGTACATCTCATGTGACCTCAATCAGGTACTCACAGTTGTAACAGTATGCTCTGACATTCTCGTACCCTTCCAGCATCGAGGTAAATTCTGTGATTCGGCGTTAGCAGTGTGAGCGAACTTAGTATGCATATATGCGAGCTTGCGGACAAACAATGCCATGTATCCAGCAATATATTGCGGAGACATAGTTGTGTCTTGTTGCTGGGCGAGACCTTACCATGAGTTCCGAATGTGATGCAAATCGCCATGGTGAGATTTCCGAGCCACAAAGTCCCCAGAGTTAGTGTCTATTGAGTATTTCCCGATTATAGTATAAGACGATGCTGGAATATAAGATATGAAACCACAAACTACGACCTGTTAAATGGAAGATGGTCTAGGGGCCAAGGCAGCGGTTATCAGGTGACGTGTAGCGCCGTGGCTTAGGTCTTGGCGTTTGTTTTCAGATTAGAGAAACAGACAGAACATGTGTTGTGTTGTTCATTCAAATTCCAAAGAATCCTTCTACATTTTCGCCATCAGAAACAGGCACAATACAAATAATGGGCCAAGTCAAGTGTGACACAGGATGCTACCAAGGCCCTATTCTCATATAGGGTTGTACGGCGGTAAACATAATAGACAAGCCATCAGGCCATGTTTGCACATGTCTTCCAAACAAAATAGTACTTCTATCTCAAAAATTTCACAAGAAAACAAGAGGTTTAAAGTCGCTCAAGGTAAGCAGGTGAAGCTATTCATGCAGCGTGCCGCCGAGGACTGTATCAACAAGACACATTGGACTTGTCCAGCAGCAACCGAGGTCCGTTATGTCCAGCAGCAGCGCACCACTCTTCCGTCTGTGACTGTTCCCGAAAGGTCAACTCCGGGGTTACCACTTTTCAGCCGAAGGGCTTCGTAAAGCCGACTCTCCTTCCCCAAAGTAGGAAGTGAACATAATGTATGATTCTATTGCGTCTTGAAGAGGAGGATGGCGCAGTGCCCGAGGTAGAAGTAGATGAAGTGCTTCGTTTCTAGAATGACGTTAGTTGCTATTCGGAGCGGATGAGGACCCCAATGCGTACCATGTGTAACGAAGCTGCCAAAGTTTCTTCCTACAACGCAATGCCATGTCGCTCCCTTGCGCGAATCAAACTGCCAAATTGCGAGTCAGCCAATCGACCCATGACATCTCGGACGGATAGAGCGCACTTCTCTCTTGATGTACTGGGCAATGTCCTGATAATGGTAAGTATCCTAAAGGACAACATAAAACCCGAGTCGTATGCACACCTTCTCAATGTGATATTTCTCCATCGCCTCAGTGGCTAGAAAGATCAGCTGCCGAACTCCCCTGGAAGATAAGAGAAATCGTACCAACTTCAACAGCCTCTTGCTGCATCTCCTCCGTCTATTGAACGAAATGAGTACCTGCTTCGTGACTGAAATAATTGCTCCCTTACCATATCGACGGACTTGATCTGAGCTATGGAAGAGTTTTAGTTGCGCTCATAATAGTTGACAGCAACGCGACACTTACGTTCCAGCTTCTCCTTCTTTTCGGTGGCCATGCTTCCGGTAGAGATAGGGCGATTAAGAGGTGCAGATAGAGATAGCAAATATAGATTGAGAAAGAAATTATCTTAAGGTCTGAAAGATGAAATGTGAATTGAGAATAAACCTTCAGAGTATAAACATCGTCATAATTAGATGCCCAAACACCGATGCGACGACCATCGCGTTGGATGATGTGCACGGGCCATGCCCAAAACTTCCTCACCGCCTTTGCACTATAAGGGAGCATCGACCAAAATTTTTTTGGCTCCCACTTGATCATCTGCGGAAACTCTATACCCACAAGACACAATCATGGAGAACACAAGAGTGTTCGTGTCTGGCCTTCCGCCGACATTTACAAATGAACAATTGAGGAAGCATTTTTCGAGCCGCTTCCAGATCACAGACGCTCATGTACTTCCCAAGCGCAGGATTGGCTTCGTCGGCTTCAAAAGCCCCGAGGCAGCCCAACAAGCGGCTTCTTACTTCAATAAAACATATGTCAAGTTGTCCAAGATCTCAGTAGAGATTGCTAAACCGGTATGTCATTTCTTGCGAACAATCCTGATTTTGGCTCCATGTTCTGCTGTCATTTTCATCTTCGCCCGCTGACTTGCTGCCAAGTTGGTCTTGAGACTGACCAGAATTATTGTAGATTGACTCTGAGCCCGTGAAAAAGGCAGAGAAACACAAGAAAGAATCAGCCTCAAATGACTCAACCACAGGAAACACACTCAAACGTAAACGGGACGGGGATAACACCCAGAAGGATCCCCAATTACAAGAGTATCTTTCCGTAATAGAGCGCCCCTCGAAGACTAAGACGTGGGCCAATGGTGAAGACTTTCTCAACACAGTTCAGAATCAACCAGCGACAAGTGACCAGCGGGAAGACGAGCGCGATGATCCGACTGAACAAGTCGAGGAGCATTCTCACAAGCAGCGGAAGAAAGCGAGAGTGGATGATGTACCAAAGGTGACCCATGGTCCAGAACCCGAACCAATGGTCTTGGACAAAACGGAGGAAGAGCATGAGAGAACAAATGCAGATGACCAGGGTGAAGCTATTTCCCACACGCAGGAAGAGCCAGAGCCAGTCTCGGATGCCGATTGGCTTCGTTCGAAGACGAGCCGTCTTCTAGGTCTACTAGACGAGGACGAGCAGGCTGAATTCGACTCTACAGCCCAGCGAAAACCCGATCCGTCGCCTCAGCCAGCGACTGTCTCGAAAGCCGGCGTTCAACACTCGGATGATGGCAAGGCTGCTGTCGAGTCATCGACCGAGGAAGAAGCGGTTGACACGAATATTGAGCATATACGTCTTTCCTCGCGGTTATTTGTTCGAAATCTACCCTACGATGCCAGTGAATCAGATTTAGAGCCCGTATTTTCCAAGTTTGGCAAAGTTGAAGAGGTTCGTATTATTCTTTTTCTTTCTCACTGCCCTCCATCGCCTCCTCCCGGTAGAGAGTTGCTCGAATGATGATCTTCCTGATAGGGACATCTGATGCAAAAGCACATGATGCGAACAGGACAAGAGATTTTAGTAGATGCTTCTTGTATATCTGAAGAGCAACCTCGACTGAACACATTCTACTTCGTTGACACAAAAGAGCACCCTTAACGAACTCTCGCTAATGGTTGCAGATTCACGTTGCATTTGACACTCGGTCTACCACCAGCAAGGGGTTCGCCTACGTTCAGTACATCGAGCCTGATGCGGCCGTCCAGGCCTACAAAGAGTTGGATGGAAAGCACTTTCAAGGCCGCTTAATGCACATCTTGCCGGCTGCTGCGAAGAAGACTTACAAAATCGACGAACATGAACTGTCGAAATTGCCCCTCAAGAAACAAAAGCAGATCAAACGAAAGCTGGAGGCTTCTTCGTCCACATTCAGCTGGAATTCATTATACATGAATGTGAGTTTAGATTCGAATAGTCGCTATATCCATGAGCCGGCTAACACGATATTTGTAGACTGATGCTGTCATGTCCTCGGTGGCCGAGCGACTTGGTGTCTCCAAAGCTGATCTTTTAGATCCCACCTCGGCAGATGCCGCCGTGAAGCAAGCGCATGCTGAGACGCATGTCATTCAGGAAACCAAAGCCTACTTCACAGCGAACGGTGTCAATCTCGACGCCTTCAAGCAGCGGGAGCGAGGAAATACTGCCATTTTAGTAAAGAACTTCTCGTATGGCATCAAGGTTGATGATTTGAGAAAGTTATTCGAGCCATATGGCCAGATCACAAGACTACTAATGCCCCCAAGTGGTACAATAGCGATTGTTGAGTTTGCTAAACCAGACGAGGCGCAGAAGGCTTTCAAAGGCCTTGCATACCGCAAAGTGGGAGACTCTATCCTCTTTTTAGAAAAAGCGCCTGCAAACCTCTTCGATGCGACAAGTGCGCCGCAGACTTCTGTCCCCGAGACCAAGGCTGTGTCTCAAGGCTTCTCGACAGCCGACACTTTCGCAGCTGAAGATGCGGACGAACCTGTGGTCACATCGACCCTCTTCGTAAAGAACCTTAACTTTTCCACGACCAATGAAAAGTTCACGGAGGTGTTCAAGCCACTGGAGGGCTTCGTTTCGGCCAGGATCAAAACCAAGCCTGATCCTAAACGACCTGGGCAGACACTTAGCATGGGCTTTGGCTTTGTCGACTTCAGGACGAAAGCTGAGGCACAGGCTGCTCTTGCTGCAATGAATGGCTACAAGCTCGATCAACATGAGTTGGTAGTAAGGGCATCTAACAAGGCCATGGATGCTGCCGAGGAGAGAAGACGTGAGGATACAGCAAAGAAAATTGCGGCGCGTCGCACGAAAATCATCATCAAGAACTTACCATTCCAAGCAACCAAGAAAGATGTCAGGTCTCTCTTTGGAGCCTATGGGCAGCTACGCTCTGTGCGGGTTCCTCAGAAGTTTGACCGGTCTGCTCGTGGTTTCGGTTTTGCTGACTTCGTAAGCGCTCGCGAAGCGGAAAATGCCATGGACGCGCTCAAGAATACGCATCTCCTGGGTAGAAGATTGGTATTGGAATTCGCAAACGAGGAGGCCATCGATCCAGAACAAGAGATCGAGCAGATCGAGAAGAAAGTAGGGGAGCAGCTGGACAGGGTCAAACTGCAAAAGCTCACAGGAACCGGGCGCAAAAAGTTCACTGTAGGGGCACAGGAGGACGAGGAGACCTAAAAGCCCTTCTCCCTGTGTATAGGGACCATTACTGCAACGACAACTACTTCTTTGATATCATCCCTTGCTTGAGCGGAAGTCGAGGCACGGAAGCAAGCAGGCCCGGCCGACACGTTCCTGTAGCCGTCAGTACGTACATACGCGTCCTGCAGAGCGTATCAAGCACCTCGTGCATCTTAATTGAGCCTCTACTTTCCATCCCACTTACCTGGCGCGATATCACGTCCATCCTGAATCTTTCCCTCTTGTATATACGCTTAGCTCCTTTATCCTTGGGATACCTGCACGGCAGAATCGGAGGAGAGCTGTCTGCCCTGCGTTCTGACCTACATTCCTCATGTCCTTTTAGTAAAGAGCTTCAACATTCCTCAGTTGTCTTGTCCAACGTCTTGCATTCTTCACTTTGCCACCTCTCAACTGGACCTGGCTTTTTTGTACCTGCCTGAACAGCGAGCGCCAGTTTTGAGTGTGCGCAGCATCAAAATCCCCGAGCAGGTGCTCACTGGATCGTGCCCTCTGTGAGCGCCCCTTGCGTCCCCTTATTTTTTCCCTCCAACTCATGCTTCTTCCTCACTCCTGATTTGTTGCAGCAAGGCGGCCGCTGCCCTACTCTCCTCGTCACCTTGTTTGGACGCGTGAAGTACAGGGCAAACGGCCGCCTTGGACGACCGAGGGTGCTCTCGAAGGGCTACTGCCAAACAAGCAGCACGGTCGAGCAATGTAGATACTAGGGCTTTGATAACCCTCCCAGCGTCAAGGGAAAATGGTTCCCTATAAACATCTTGTTGTTCGCACCCACATTCTCTTTCCCAGGTTCTTACATTCTCTTCCCATCATCTGCGTTCTTGATCGCTGCTTGGTGCCTGCTGCGTTCTTAGCCAGGCAGTAAGCATTTCGCGGGCTTCACCACACCCTTTCTCTTTGGAATCTGTCATTCTTTCCCAAGAGCCCTTTGTTGGTGTCCACCCCGATGGCTACTGACTGGCAGCCCGAGTGTATTGCGCCTCAGCATCAGTCAAGTCTGGAGAACATCGGACACCATACGGATCGAGCTCTCCAGAACACCTCGGGCAATGTACAGTCCTACTCAGACGCTATCCTTCACGGTGGGGTGAGTGGTCGTGATGACCATCTACAGCATCTGGCCTATAAATATTCCCATGCCCCTGTGCATCCTCATCCCATGCCGACTGCTACCGGTCTGCATCCTCACCACATCCTAAACGCTCGAGTTCAAGCGAAAAAGCTTCGACGTGTCCAGTCACTCGGTCCGAATCATGCTGGCGCTCGTAGGGGAAGAAGCTACCTCAAATCTCAAAAGTATTTGGAGTATCGGGCGCGGCCTCGGCGGGACACTGGCAAGGATGGGGAACCGGTCTGGTCTGATGAGCTCGAGGACGCTTTCCAGCAAGGTAACTGAAGATCTGCTATTGACATCGATCTGTACTGTATGTGGTAACACTGTTTAGCGCTGGAGGCAAACCCACCCATGGGTAGAAGAAAGTGGTCTGAACGAGGAAAGTCGTATGGCCGAAACGAACTCATTGCAGAGTATATCTACAAGATGACCGGCAAGAAGAGGACAAGAAAGCAAGTTTCAAGTCACTTGCAGGTTCTTGACTCCTTTCTCAAGGGTGACCCCGATTGTAAGGCCACTTGCTCCAAGTGAATCCTCATTCTGCCATTAGACGAGTTACATTAACATGACAATGTTTAGGGGAGAGACTCGTCCGAGAGCAACCGGCAGACCGCTCAAGCAATCAACATCAGTCAGTTGGTCCTAAATGGAGAACTTCGCTGGACCATCCTCTGCCCAGTCACTATGGTGGGCACATGCACGCGGCTTACCATGATCATCTGAGGCCAGTGCAGCCTTATGTTGGGGAGCTTCCTCCGCCCCATTACACCCTGGGCTCGAACATGCATGAACGGAGTACCGATACGATCCATGGCTTCAATTTTGATATGTGGGTGAGCGCGCCTCAGCAGGCGAACCAGGTCGACAAAGCTTTCCATGTGTACACATGTCTTCAAGGAGACCAATACCACCCTGTCGCTCCCCCTATGCCCCTGGAGAACGTCAGGGACTGGCGAACTACTTTCCCTCATCTGAACTCCGTGATGGAGGAGCTGGACGGCCCCTTGGACTGCGAGATCATTCTGCTCGAAGCAAGCCTGAAGCTGATGAATGATTTCCCCCCGCCAGGTTCCAAGTTGGGGATTCAGTTGGATATAGACTTTGCACCTCCTGGCATGACTGATGCCACGGTACTCAGTCAGATGGACAACTGGACATGTAGCACATACATATATGAAGATGGCCATCGGTTGTCAAAGGCCGATCACAACCTTGCCAGACCACTGTCCACTAAAGTGAAACCCCCATTTGAGTCGTCGTGGTGGGCGAAACTATTCACAGAACTCACGCAGGACAAGCAGATGGCCGAAAAATCAGGACGGCACCAGAATGCAGATGAACATATCCGGCAGTTCTTCCGCTCGCTGTCCGCAGTCCAAGAGATCCGAGCGATCTCTCAAAACTCGCGGCGAGTCTCTCATCAGGGCTCTGGCCATCCGAGCGACGGCAGCAAGAGGATGGCAATCTTACTGTGGAAGTTCCGCCAGACTCGACCTGACGAGGTTGGGCTGACAACCTGGAGGAAGCTGATTCCTCCACCCGACCGAACGATAATGAATAGTCCCAAGCCGGCCACGGGGATTGACCTGCCCCCATTGTCTCTCGATTCGATTTTACTGAAACCACAGCCCCGAACGTGTATCACACGCCTCAAGGTCACGACATGTTGCATCACAACGGAACTTCTCAATCGCATTGGCCTTTGTACCCGCCACCGCATGAGAACATGTCCAATATGTATCATCAGACAGGCTCCTTTGATTTCTTGAACTCAGTCACAAAAGCCGAAGATGGACTACAGGATAGAACTGCTGTCACTTCCATCCTGGATTCCTTCTCGGGCATGCCGCCGCAGGAGACCAGTCAGCCATCAAGTCTCAATGTCTCCAGCGGCGGACCTGTGATGCTCAATGTTCATGACATGTCCCTGTCGCACCATAACCTTGCAGGGTACACCTTGAGCCACGACAACCACTATGTGCCCTCTCAGCAACACGGCGTTGGCGTTCACGACAGTAGCAATGTTTTGAACAATATCTTTGGTCCTGGGTCGCAGTCAATGGACGAAATCGGACATAGCCAGAGCGCATGGGGCCCTCCGATTCCTTCGACGACCATTCCAAGCGACGTTGGCTCCAACAACTACACGCATCTTCCGTACCATCACCACGACCATCAGACGCCGGCATCCCGCGAGTCACACCCACCCAACGGGTTCGAGGGCTTGATGGGACCGGATGACCTGATGGACAAGATCGTGGGCAGCATGCCCGACGATCCTGGCATGAATGGGGCAGGACCCGACCATGCTAGTGCCGCCTATACAGATACCAATGCAGCTGAGGCGGTCCAATGAAGGACTATATCCATTGGAAACTCTTTCTATTCTTAATGGTAATGATATTGCCAAAACTGTGTTCAGATACCATTTTCGTTTTCTTTCTCTTTCAACTCTTCCTCTACTTCGGTGTCTTTTATATTGAGAACTTAGCGCAGCATTGCTGTTGGGCTTGGGTCATTTTCTCCAGGGGTTGGTGTTCACTTTTCGAAGTACTTAATATGTTTTCTCATCCTCTCTCTTATTATTCTCCAAGTCCTTCAATGTATTATAATCTTTCTCGTAGTAATGATAATGGTACCATGTCCTTTTGCTTCTACGTCTGATGTCAATCCTTCGAGTGTGTAGATGGATGGCGGGGAATCCTTCGATATCGGCCATCACTTTTTGCCGGAATACTACAGGTGGATTTTCTGGACTCAACGAACCGCTGATAGATTATGGATACTTCAGAGCGAAGATTTCGGGAATATCTAGCCAAAATCGTTCCGACGGAATACGTGGTAACTTGGTCCATTTCCGTATCTCCTGGAGATATTTTTTTTTGGAATTCAGCCGGCGGCAGAAACAAGGCATTTAGCCGGTATTAACCATCCCACTTGCCCACGCACTTTAGCCTCAACCTCCTGCTTTGTCGACGGCTCATTGGCTTTCCCAGCGCAATTCCCCCTGCCGGCTTTATTCCAGATGAGGTTGGTATGGGGCTGCAAGTGGTCCGGGCCATGTAAATTTGGAGATGATTATTGACCATGATGCGCGCGTGCCTTTTATCTGCTGCCCCTCCCCCTCCTACTACTGATTGTTTTTGACAAGAATAATATCCGCCAGCTGCCGCTCTTCTTCCCTGTAAGTCCTGCGTCTTCCTGCTATCGAGTGTCTGTAAGAGCTTCTTCTGAGAGTTTTCTTATCCGTCACAGGGTCAAAATAGATTCAATTCTGTTGAATTCACTGTATTCACAATGACTACCCCATCCATCAAGCTCAACAGCGGTTATGACATGCCCCTCGTGGGCTTTGGCCTCTGGAAGGTCAACAACGAGACTTGCGCCGACCAGATCTACCATGCCATCAAGGCTGGTTACCGTCTCTTCGACGGCGCCTGTGGTGAGTAACCCTCATGTTCTCAATCTCCAGCAAAAAGATAGAGCGACAGAGTCCTGACCGTCGCAGATTACGGCAATGAGGTCGAGGCTGGCAAGGGTGTTGCCCGTGCCATTCAGGAAGGCATTGTGAAGCGTGAAGAGCTCTTCATCGTGTCCAAGCTCTGGAACAGCTTCCACGACGGTGACCGCGTCGAGCCCATCTGCCGCAAGCAGCTGGCCGACTGGGGCCTTGACTACTTCGACCTGTTCATTGTCCACTTCCCCATTGCGCTCAAGTATGTCGATCCTGCCGTTCGGTACCCTCCCGGGTGGCTGTCCGAGAACAACAAGCTGGAGTTCAGCAACGCCTCCATTCAGGAGACCTGGACCGCCATGGAGTCGCTGGTCGACAAGAAGCTGGCCCGCAGCATCGGTGTCAGCAACTTCAGCGCTCAGTTGCTGATGGATCTGCTGCGCTACGCTCGTATCCGCCCTGCCACCCTCCAGATCGAACACCACCCTTACCTCACCCAGGAGCGCCTGGTCACCTATGCCCAGAAGGAGGGTATTGCCGTGACTGCGTACTCCTCGTTCGGTCCTCTGAGCTTCGTCGAGCTGGACCTGAAGGATGCTCACGAGACTCCCAAGCTGTTCGACCACGACGTTATCAAGGGTATCGCTCAGAAGCACGGCAAGACCCCCGCTCAGGTCCTGCTGCGCTGGGCTACGCAGCGCAACATTGCCGTCATCCCCAAGAGCAACGACCCCACTCGTCTGGCTCAGAACCTCGATGTCACCAGCTGGGATCTTGAGACCAGCGAGATTGAGGCCATCAGCTCCCTGAACCGGAACCTCAGATTCAACGACCCTCTTGCTGTAAGTTCAGCCTAGCCAGCTTGATCCCAGTTCAGATCACTAATTCGCTTTCTCGTCTAGTACGGCTTCTACGCTCCCATCTTCTAAATGCATGGATAGATTCCGGTGGTCTGAGTGGCACCGCAGCAATGTAGGCGGGAATAACTGCTCGGTCCGTTGGTGGATGATGATTGATGTCCTACGCTGAAAGTAAAATACCATAGTTTTTCCAGTACATAGTTATGACCTCGATGCAGCATTTGTGAATAGATCGCATGAAACTATGCTCACTCGATCTCCCAGTAGCATCATATCTTAGCTAGAGGAATAGTGAAAGGCCGCAGATATGCCGACTTAATACTCCGTAGGCAGATCGGCTATCGGAGCGACAACACGCCGAGACAGCATCATCAACCCTCACCATCACCAACCACTTCGACCAGACCCATGCATACTGCAGCATCAACTTCCTAAACACAATGCCCCTCCTGCAGGGCGCCTCGCCTCGCAGGCAATCCACATCGTCGCAAACCCCGCCCCCATTTCCCTCGCCGAAAGCAAACTAATCCTCAGCGCTCTACAAAAATTCGGCGAAGTCGTCACATTCCGAAACCTAAAGGTACGCCTTTCTTTCACCCCAACTTGCTTCTCAATCTGACAAGGAGCAAAATAAGTACGACACAACCAACACCTCCAAAGCGCCCACGCGCCCCATCCTCGCCATCTTCGACTCCCCGACGCCGCAAAACAAGCCCTCTCCTCCTCGCCGCTAACCATCCGCCTCCCCAACACCGACCCTGACGCTGCCCACACCCCCAACCACGACTCTCAATTTGAGCCGTCATCACAATCAAGGACCAGAAGACCAGACTCAAGATTCAAACCAGACTTCCTGAGATGCGAGATCCTGCCCTCAAGGCATAACCACGAGTCTGCGCTGCAGCGGAACCCCTTCCACGGGACCTTCCGCGTCTACGACTCGACGTACCAGTACCGGGATCTTGTGAAGACGGGGATCCCGTTGAAGGAACTGGCGGACGAGACGATGAGTCGGAAAAGGCATGAGCCGTTCCGCTTGAAGAGGCAGATGATGAAGGAGAATAAGCGGCTGGGTGCTACGTCGTTAATGAGGTTGTATCGGGAGGGGCTTGGGGAGAGTATTCTAGAGGAGGGAAGTGAAGGGCGTGCGCAGGAGGAAGATGGGAGTGGGGATCGAGCGAAGGCTGGCGTGGATAGATTGGGGGAGAGATGAGTGGATGAGAGCGCGACCAGAGCTTCGTATCGACTTGGTCTCGACATGCTCAAAGAAGCATGCAGAGACTTCATCGCATCACCGTGGATGTGGATGCCTTGCGCCGACTCCTGGCTGCTGCAAACAGAGCGGGTCGGTTGGCAGTCACTGGGACGACCAGAACGTGTATACCACGTTCAAGGCCAGATATTACTGGAGAGGACATACAGGACTTCCGCACGAGGCCATACAGCAAGTTGCAAGACAGATTTTGCAACGCCTACGAATACGTTGGCAGAGTCAACCATATGATATGGCATTGACCATGAATGTGTCATACATCATTTCTACATATAGCAGTCCTATAGCTCCGTAGTCTAGATGAAAGGCGATTTGGGCAATCCCGCCCACAAATGCATTGTTATCATGATCATTATCAATGTATACCTTCCATACAACATCACCCGACCCGGACAAAGGCTAGTAATCGTTAGCAACCCATCCTAGAGCCCGAACAGCCAAGAACGTGAACTTACTCGCATCAATCTGCATAACTTGCGGCAGCGCCAACCGCACCTTGTTTCGATACACCGCCGGGCCCTTGGTCTGCAATGGGTTCCCTTCAAAATACACCGTCTGCAGCTTCTCTTTATCCTTCAACTCGCGCTCCACCTCCTCGAAGCTCGAGAGTTCGTTGTTGGACGCCCACAGCTCCTCCAGGTTCTTCAGATGGGAGAGGTGTTCCAGCTTCGAGACTTGATTATTGGAGAAATCCAGGACACGCAACGAGGTATTGGACTCGAGCCCGCTGAGGTCGGTGATAGCGTTGTGGGATAGGTAGAGTTCTTCGAGGTTCTTGAGCGAGGAGAGGCCAGTAATGCTGGTGAGTCGATTCGACTGGATGGAGATGATGCGGAGGTTCGAGAGCGCTTCGAGGTTCTGGGTTGAGTTAGCTTGGTCGGAAATATGGCGAGGTAATAGACGGACCTTCATTTCCGTGATCTTGTTCTTCCCGAGCCAGAGCTCCTCCAACGAGGTCAGAGTGTCAAGGTTCTCGATTTCCTGCTGCATTCAGCCCAGTCCTTCCCCATGTGACTCCTGGAACTCACGCACCCTAATCCTGTTCGCCCCCAGCTCTAGATTCCGCAACTTCGTCAAGCCCTCCAACCCCTCAATCTTGGATATCCTGTCCTGAACAAAGTAAAGATCTGTCAGATTGACCAAATGCGAGATATTCTTGATGTGCTTGATCTTGTTGAAGCTCAGATCTAGACTCGTCAGATCCCGGAACTCATCGAGACCCTTGACGTGCGAAATAAGGTTATCGTAGAGGTCGAGTTCGAGCAGCGTAGGCGCGATTTCGGAGGGGAAGTCGATGCGAGTAATCTGGTTCTGTCGGAGGCATATTCTCTACATGAATCGTACCATTAGCCTTGTAAGCCCGAATGGGCTGCGGGTCAACACACCTGGAGCTTGGGGAATCGTTCTAATCGCAAAGCTGGGATAGAAGTGATGCGACAATGTACGAGGTCGATTTCCTAGCATGTCATGAGCCCGAGTTCCCAAACTAGGACCCTATCGTAGACAAAACATACTTGCGTGTCTGGATCCTCACCCTCGAGCAGATCTGCAACAATTCAATTAGTCACTCGATATTCGCCCGTAACGCGCCGACAGTCAAACATCACTTCGGAACAAAGCTGCAGCCAATACTCCGGTGCGTCATGACAAGGAAATTGACCTACCCTCATCAGCCTCAATCTCCTCAACCGGCGGCGCATCAGAATCCGAGTAATTTGGATCCTCCAGCGCCTCTGGATTCGTGATCGTAGCCTTAGGCTCAACTCTCAGCTTCCCATCCCAGCCTTTACTATCTTTCATCGTTGCAAAGTGTTGTGAAGCTCAGACGGAGAAATTTTTTGATTGATGGCTCAGAGGAACGCGTAACGGAGTGCGGGGAGCTCTTCTACGTAAGAGGGCCAGAACCGGGTAGGTGGACACGATTATGGAGGGCCTAGGAGGAATTCGCAGGGCGCAGTTTTTTGGTCAGTGAGATGGCTGAAGTCACATTAAAAAGAAAGAAGCTCTGTATCTTGAACATGTAAGTCTTTGGTACTATCCGTGGTGGCGTGCAGGTGATGGTGATGATTATTCTCCGCTAATCGTCACTGGGCGGTATTTCCCCGTCCACCTTCTGTTAGAATGACCAAGAGACAATCCGCCGGCATCGTGTCCATTGCTATTAGAACTAGATGTGATAAAATTAATCCTGAAAATGAGGTTCGCAATTACTTTGCCTATGTCTTCTTTAGGGTGTTGTCATCGGGACATGGTTCAAGCTGTATTCGGGGAAGAGCTTTTATATACAGCACATGCGCCGGAGCCAACAGGTACATATACATTAAAAGGTCACAATTCTGCGCCAAGTGTAGAATCAACGGTATGCTTTGCGAAATACCAGGGACAGTGACCTGCACACTGGGACCTTTATGGAGATGCCGCTCCTTAGGCAGAGTTCCAAGAAACGAATCAGGGCTGAAGAATGACAAGAGGGCGCTGGCGTTGAAGGGGTAATCACAAAACAACAAAGAAAGGTATCGACAGACTGGACAGCGACGTGCGCTCTGGAGGGACGTTGATGGTGGGAATGAAGCACAAGGATTTGAAGCAGAGATAATGTTGATGGCAGAGGAGCGTGTATAAGAGACCTAGTCTTTGGCTACAAGCCAAGATAGACGTCCGCTTGATGCAAGGGTCTCTCATACCGCAACGGATCAATGAAAAAGAACAAGGGAGAAGGGGAACGAAACTGTGGGGGATATGGTATGTGCTCGCTCGGAGTGCAGAAGAGAAGGAGACGTGATCGGAGAGGATGCTTAAACAAAGAAACAGGATGGATGATGAATAGGTAAGACTCAGTCTAGAAAATCACAGACAGGCGAAACCAAAATGCTGGCCCACACGTCTATATGGGTCACAGGAAGGGAGAATAGAAGAAGGGGTAGGGGCAAAACGTCAGAGGAAGTGATTATGGTAGATTCAAACATAAGCTGTGACCCCGCAGATTCTGGTAAAAGATGCTTGCACTTTTCTCCTCCTGATCTTGGCAGTGCTTGAACGACGAAAGACGCACCTCCGCATGTCTCGAACAATTGGGATCGGTTCTGCGGGAGCCGTTCTTTTTGCAATCACGTAAAAGATCGAGAGTGTAGCTCGATGCGGAAAAATGCCGGGAACAGATAAAGTTACAGAGATTACATCGCAACGTCGAGGACCAGACTGACGTCTTTTACTTGTGCGCCGGCAAGGTCTTCGAGGACAGGGATCAAGTCGAGAAGCTCGTTATCGTGGGCGTCAGAGAACCAGCTGCTGATGGGTATCGCGTGTTGAGGGTGGAAAATGTATGAAGTTGGAGAATTGTCGATGATAATCGTCTCTCGAAGGTCACGGCCAACCTGTGAGAGGTCCTATAGTAGAGATATCAATGGCTTGCTCTCATCGTGATCTTCGCTGCAGAACGAGACTACTGACCTTGACATAATTACCTTGATGGTTGTAGCAGCTGTCTCTGAAGAGCCTGTGGTGAACAACATTGTGGATGTCAAGTTGATCGAGTAGAGGATCGCCGTACTTTCGTCCAAATGAGAAATCGTCCATGGTATGGTACTGGGATAGGAGAACTCACCTTAGAAACAGAGGCAGTGAAGACAACCACCTCGTACAATTCTCCAACACGCTTCATGAATTGATCGACTCCAGGTCGTTTGATCACGTAGATGTTGTGGTACTGCCCTTCGATCTCCACAGGGATCGTGAAATCGGCACGCTCAAGAACCTGCGGTGGTGTGTCAGAAACATGTAGCTCATTACACGAAAGGGCTTAAGAGGCTGGCGACTTACCTTGAAGCTACTGTGGACCAGCGTTTCATCCAAGTCGAGAACCAGGCATTTCCGGTTCCGCAAATGTGGCAAGGGAGGGGGTAGAAGCCATTGCTGGGATCTCTCGGGAGTCGCGATCTGTATTTGTTTCCCCATAGGAACTTGCGGAGGGGGAGGGGGAGGAATCTCCGCTGGCAGAGTAGTTTCTTCTTCGTGCGATGACTTTACATCGTTGTATTCGACTGCAGACGAAGTTGGTTGCGCTTCGGTGGAACGTGAGCTGTCCTCAGTAACGGGCAGTGGCAGTGACCCCACAGGCTCCTCCGGTTTGATCGCGAGATCGTGGGCCTTCTCTATCTCAGTTGCGACTATGACTGGGATTTGAGCATTCTGAGGGGCGTCAGAGCGAGAAGTATCAACTTGGCCATACTGTGAGGCTGGTTCATGGCTGGACTCGACTTTATCAGAAGCGGACAGGTTGGTATCGAGCTGAGCGCCTTCCTCGGAGGTAATGGCAGGTTTATCCTCCTCCTTGGAAGGTTGTTTTAAAGTTACAGTCAGGTTCGGCTTCTCTTCTCCAAAGAGCTTTGCTTCTTCAGATTCCGTCCGGTTCGAATGATTGGCATTGAGATCAGCTTTCTCCGGTGTAGGCTGGGTCGCAGGGACCGATGGTCGCCTGGCAGTCTTCTTCGGCGGAATCGCAGAGTCGTCCGGGTCGACACCAGATGACGAGCAGCAACTTAGAAAGGCAAACAGCCTGAGCGTAACCTTGGGCTTGGTTTCTGGTTTGGGGTTGTCCCGCGCCTCAGAATCAGTCGCTGTCTTTTGCTCCCCGATACCAGTTGGCCCCTGAGATGGTCGCCAAGATCTCTTGCTACTCCCTCTACTTCTGTCCCTCCGCCCCTTCAAGATGCTTCTTCTCGAACCTCGTAGCGTGTTTTCCGAATCATCATGCGCGGCATCCTGTCTATTGTCTAACGTCGATTGACCATCCGCCTTGGACGATGAACGGGATTGACTTGGGACCAGCAAATGTTGCTGCTTGGACGGGTCGTTCGTATTTGTCGGGGCATTCGGGCCAAGAGCCTGAGTCGATGGAACGGGCGCAGAAGCAGGCTCAGTAGGCTCAGTAGGCTCTACCGGTTTCGACTGAGTAGAGGCATCTGAGTCTTTGGCATTGTCCTGTAGCGACGATCCAGGACCTGGTCAGAACAGCGTTAGCAAGTCTTGTGATGGGTCCGCGACGATCCGCAGTGACGGAATATGACAGCAGCAACAAACAGATTGCTCTTACCTGAGTCGGTGTTGCCCGCGTTGGCAGGCATCGGCACTTCTCCTGTGGGCTTACTGGATGTGTTGGGGGGGAACCTCGCTCGGAGCTCCCTCCGAGCATCTGGAGGCTAGCAGAGCGAGATTCACGGAATCAACAATAACAACTCAAGAGGCGTAGGAGATATAACGGCGATGTGTTATGTCGAAACACACACTTGATGACCACCAGGGTTCCGCCGAGAGGGGACAACGCGGCTCGAGAGATGTAAAGTCACAGCCTCCTGGAACGAGTAGTCGGAGAGGTAAAGTGCTTAGCTTCCAGGTCGGGACTACCGCCTTAAATGAGGCTAGTGTGCAGCACTACTAAGAAAGGTCGTGGCAGGAAGAGTTGCGAGTCGCCAAACCACTCGATCCACCCTGTGGAGTCACAGAAAATCACACAGCCGGCGAGGAAGGAAGAGAGAAATGCGCTCCAGCTTCAATCTGGGATGGTATGATAGGATGGAGGTTGATGGATGATGGATGAAATTCAACCTCATGAATGAGCCGGAGAAGTCACGTGGCAACACCAAACCAGGGTCGTGTTAGGGGGAAGAAGCAATACAGGACCGCAAAATAAAGAGGTACCACTCGACTTCGGCGGCTGTAGGTTGGCTGATTTCGGGAATTTGCTTAAAGTGGCTAAGATAGGCAGTCCATTTGCTCAGGCAGGCCAGGAAGAAAACAAGATCATTTATTCTGACAGAAAAGTTATCGGATCTGCAGCAATGGATTTTCCTCTTTAGTAAGTGGGCTCGTGCTCTTAATAGCTAAATTATGACCTTAATGGACATGTTACTCAATAATATGTTACATATGGCACGAAATGAAAGATGCTAACTAGAAGGATTGGCCCAAAACGAAGCCCATAATGAAAATGTTCGGGGGGATGGCTGTATTTTAGCTCCTGACTGGCTAGCCAACCTCTGTCCGGGGGGTGGGAAAGGGGAGAGACTGAGAGGAGAACGTGCGAGGAGAAGCCCAAGAGAGGGGAAAATTGGGAAGAGGGTGCCGTGCGCCTAGTCTGCGATGGGGAGGAACGTAAGGAACAGAAGGGAAAATACAAGCTGCATTGGTCTGGACTCTGGTTCTTTGAGAGAATGCACTGATGCAGGGCTGCAGATTACTATTTATTGCCCACTATATCATCTGAGCCAATCATATTGGTATCAGATCAAGCGGGAAGATGGACCAACTTATCCTGTAAATCCATAATGCGTCTTACGCACGATTTCCATCATGCAAACCAGCTAGGTAGAGTTGGGTTGCAGTTCTCCCGCAGCTCAATGGGAAGTACTCATAGTATGTCTGAAGGCATAGTATTAAATTGATTAGGACACAAAAAGTTACCATGCCCCATTGCTTTTTTGCCATTGTTATGGCGAGTCCCGCGCAAAGATGTTCTCCGTCGCTTTCGACCTTCTTTTATCCACCTCACGAGTGCTCTTTATTCTGCCACGAAAATGACCCAACGATTCCCCTCTTAAGGGCCTCAATAATACCGTGGTGTCCTTAACGGGACGATTTTCCAGGTAGTATTGGTGACTTACTCGGTCTATATCGCGCTTCAATGTCTGGAAACGAGCATGTAGCGTCCGGGATGTCAATATTATTAGTACTATATGATACTAAATCACAATATGTATCCTCGCGTCTAAGGTAGTGATTTGTATTTCCACATTGTTGTGCCACCCCTCACCCAAGTGCTGCATTCTTTTGGTCTCTCATGACCAAGTCATGGAGGATCTTCTTCCCCCCTACTGTCGCAAACCGCGTAGTATTACTAAACGCACATACTCAGACTCTCAGATAAATCAAGTGTGACTGACAGGGACATCTACTGGAGGCGACTATTGAATTGATTCATCCACTGGCGAAAGGCATCTTGGATAGTGGAGATCATGAAGAATATCTCCTAGTCTACTTTGATGTCCTGAGCTCTGATTTGACGGATTCCCCCAAGATCCTTGCCCATCATCTCCACCTTAGTTCTCCATAGTCCATAAGCAGGCGCCAAATCCTCGCTTTGGAATGGACAGTTTCTCAGTCCGCGACGGAGACCTGAATGATCCTGACATCTTGTCTTTTAGGTCTTTTCTGATCAGCAATCTTTCGGTGTATTGTTTATCGGCATTTTTCAGAATCCTCAAATCCGATTCTTGTTCCTCTCTTTAGTCCTACCCTTTTTAGTACTGGTGGTTGGGACCATTTGGGGCGCACTGCACCTCGCCACCCGTCCATGTTTTCATTTGCTTTTCTACAGATTAATCCAAGATGGGCTTTAGGCTATCATCACTGAAGAATCAGAAGGAGGCTTCTCCATTCAACGCTCGACTGACTATTATTAGAGGCTGGAATGGACTCGTTAACTGAGTGGGCCGGTCAAGTTCTAACAGATGATTGTGGGATGGAGTGTGCGGAGAGATAGGGCACTGCAGAAGATGGTCTCGCTCATAGATTTTGAGATGATTCGATACTTTAGGGAATGCTCGCTTCGATTAGTCTGCTAAACGTTTGGGGAACTCAACTTCGAAGATCGACCGATTCACAGAAGCTGTATACAACTGGTTTGGGTGGTCTCCTAATAAGTAGCTTTGGGTCTCCCAGCAGGCATAAATTATGAAATCGCTGGGCAGCCTTGTCTCTGATCATGATATTCGACTGTCCCTGAAATTAGCTTATATCAAAGTATACAGAAACCTAAATGCCAATTGCCAATTGCCAAATGATGTCAACAGCTAACAAGAGAGAAAATCCGGGGGCTCCGCACGTGAGGCCAGCTGTGGGACTGCCACTCCGCATTCTTTGGCCCGAGGTCTTCACATGCAGACAGAAGCCACACTACTTAGCACCAAACTGCTGACAACAGCATCAACCATCGAGACTACTGCTGGCCATACCATATCTCATATTCGACTGGAAAGATACCTTGAAGAGAATCTCTTTCTTTGACTTCGACATTCATGAAATCTGTCTCTCTTCCTACATCACCAAGCGCGTCTAAACTGTAGGCGTCTTCCCCTCATGGCCTGCGACGCCTTGGCATAGGCGTGTTGGCTCCGGCAAAGGAAATCCGACCGACGAAGAACGGTCATCGATACAAGCAGGAGGGGGGTGGTACACTATTTCAAGGGCGATGGCCGCTCAGTCAACGCTCCGAGCTCGAGAAGACCCTCTCGTTGCGCTGTACACTTATTACGTCAATCTCATCCGGACTCGAATCAAGCAGTCATCGAAGACTTCCAGGTTAATTGCAACGCTAGCACTTCTGTTCTCGATCATAGGAAGTGGATATGGAGGGTATAACTGGTATCAGCGAAAGGTGAAGGAGCGTGCGCAGGGTAGAAGGTTACTGCGTCGGAATTCGGGGATCAGGGGCAAGGATGGATCTCGTACGATTTATGTGCCGTACAAGGACTCGATGACCTCCAAGGTCAGTATCCACCCGACGAAGCCTACAACATTCGATGCACACAGGCGGCTGTTTCTGAACCCACCAGCGTCAGCTCGGGGAAATGACGAGGAATCCGGCCCGATGATCCCTCCACCAACAACAAAGCCAGGACTGAATCTGGCATTTCTACACCAGTTTCTTAGTCTGTGGAGTATCATGGTTCCTCGGTGGAGTAGCAAAGAGACGGGGCTCCTGATGGGCCACGGTGTATTCCTGCTATTAAGAACATACTTGTCGCTGCTGATCGCAAGGCTGGACGGTGCAATTGTCCGAGACCTCGTTGCGGGTAAGGGGCGAGCCTTCATGTGGGGTCTCGTGAAGTGGTGCGGTATCGGTACTCTCGCTTCTTATACCAACGCCATGATCAAGTTCCTGCAGTCGAAAGTCTCTATTGCTTTTAGGACACGGCTCACGAGATACATCCATGATCTCTACGTCGCGGACAACAACTATTACAAACTGTTGAACTTGGATGGTGGTATCGATCAAGGAGCAGACCAGTTCATCACGCAGGATCTCACACTCTTCTGCTCAGCCGCTGCAGCACTTTACTCTTCTATGGGAAAGCCACTAGTAGACTTGTTCGTCTTCAACTATCAGCTGTACCGCTCCCTAGGGCCTCTGGCTCTTAGTGGCATCCTCACCGGTTATTTCAGCACGGCAGTGATACTTCGCAAGTTGTCTCCGCCTTTTGGAAAACTCAAGGCTGTCGAGGGCAAAAAGGAAGGGGACTTCCGAGGTCTGCATTCCAGGCTGCTTGCCAATGCCGAGGAGATCTCATTCTACGGTGGCGCAGATATCGAGCGAGTATTTCTCCTTCGGAGCTTCAAAGATCTGCAGCGGTGGATGGAAGGCATCTATAGCCTCAAGATCCGCTACAACATGCTTGAGGACGTCATTCTCAAATACGCCTGGTCGGCTTTTGGATATCTAATCACATCTTTGCCGGTCTTCCTTCCCGCGTGGGGAGGTGCAGGTGGTGCTTTGGAGCTGGCAGATGCCTACGAAAAGACTGGTCGGGAACGGGGCCGCATGAAGGAGTTCATCACAAACAAGCGTCTGATGCTTTCATTGGCTGATGCTGGTGGTCGCATGATGTACAGCATCAAGGACATTTCGGAGTTGGCCGGCTACACGTCGCGGGTCTATACTCTGATATCCACACTTCACCGAGTCCATGCAAATGCCTACTATCCTCCACCCGGCTCTCATGCGGAACTGTACTCTCTGGCAGATGCACAGGGTACCATCCACAACGGATTCGACGGTGTGCGGCTGGAACAAGTGCCAATTGTCGCACCGGCTCTCCATCCTCGAGGCGGAGACGAGTTGATTGAATCGCTGTCCTTTATCGTGCATTCCGGTGAGCATCTTCTTATTTCAGGCCCGAACGGAGTAGGTAAATCGGCGATTGCTCGGATTGTCGCGGGCCTGTGGCCTGTCTACCGTGGCCTGGTCAGTCGGCCCCGAGGATTTGGGCTTGACGGCATCATGTTCCTCCCTCAGAGGCCCTATCTTAGCGTGGGGACTTTACGAGATCAAGTCATTTACCCTCACACCGAGATTGACATGCGCGAGGCGGGGAGAACAGATGCTGAACTTCAGAAGATCTTGGAAGATGCTCGTCTGGGATACCTGCCTGCCCGTGAAGGTGGCTGGAATGCTCGCAAAGAGTGGAAGGACGTCCTCAGCGGTGGTGAGAAGCAACGCATGGCCATGGCGAGACTATTCTACCATGAGCCTCGCTATGCGTTCCTTGATGAAGGAACCTCGGCAGTTTCCTCTGACGTCGAGGGCGTGCTGTATGAACAGGCCAAGGACAGGGGTATCACCCTGATCACGATTTCGACACGCGCGTCCTTGAAGAAGTATCACACCTTCAGCCTCACCCTGGGTCTAGGCGCCGAAGGGGAACAGTGGGAGTTTGAGAAAATCGGCACCGAGAAGGAGAAGCTGGGTGTTGAGAAGGAGATCCAAGAGCTTCGCAAGCGGTTGGACAAGGTCGACGAGTGGAAGCGACGCCGTGAAGAGATTGACAAGGAGCTGCATAAGGTCTGGGCCGAGGAGGGAGAGCTTGCTCCTCCACCGTACGAATTAGGGAACGAAGAAGCCGTGGCTGTAGTATCGGAGGAAGCAACGGAAGAGGCCAACATCGACAAGACACAGGAATAGGTGATTATTGCAAAAGATACTACGCGAGTTATGTATTCAGGTTACAGACTATGAGGAGGTCAATATGTATCTACATATGGATCTGGACTCGTCAAAGTCCGACAATATAGACGTGTGCTACCCAACTCTTTCTCTCCGCTGAAGTGTCCCGAATATCACCAAAGAATAACCATGGCTAAGAGACCGTCTCGATACCTCCTGCTAAGCGGGTATGACAGAGTGAGCATGGCACGCACCATAAATAAGAGTCTCAAGAGATATAGGTTCTCAAGTTAAGTTGCATTGAGACGTATAGACAGTCTTCGAAATTAAGCTTCTTAGACGCAGGTCAGACTGATTAGACCATTGTGCAGGTAGGTGGCTTGGACGCGTCATGTCATGTATAAGCGCGACGCGCCTCCCTGATTGTCGCTTATTGATATGCTCAAAAGATAGCTGAATAACCCTTCCACGAAGTATACTACCTTAAAAGAACAAGAGAGTATTGTACTGTTCTGTTAATATCTCCCCAAAGTTCGTCTCTCTAGGCGAATAGTCCCACAAGCGAGCGGGCCGCCTCACGCTATTTGACGTATGACCGTGTTGAAATCCTCCAGTACAACTCAGACCACTATCAAGCTCTAATACACCAGCGATTGCACGAGCTTCCAGACACCAGAGAAAAAGTGTTTAGGGATGTCATACCATCCTTCACTTTTTCATCACATTGCCTAGAACAGCAGAAACCTCATTTCTATCACTCCCAACATGTCAAGGTCATCCTCTTAGCTCCTTCAACCTCTGGACCTTGGTTTATCTATAGTCCACGACACAGTTATGTCAGCTTCTCAACACTCGCAGGCCTCAGAAGAGGATGCAGAAACGATCATTATTCCCATTGATCGGTCATTCAGTGATGGCGACCCGTCTACTTGGCCTACAGAGCCCCGGTTTGGGATGCCGGACGATACATGGTATCGTGAGAAGCTGGCCATCATGTGGCTGAAGGAGACGGGGGCTTATGAAGAGGGTATGTTCTGATTTCGAATTATTGACTTGCGTTATTGCGTTATTGTTCTCGTTGAGGGATTGGATTTGGTTTTTCTTCTGTACTGCGCTCGAAGTTTCCTGTTGTCTGCTTCTGGCGTTACAGGAGTACATGTCCGATCGAGTATTCAGAGATTCAATATTTGCGTTCCAGAATCATTTCATGAACTACAGTTTATCTCAACATTGTGTTCAATTTCTGCATCAGATATGCACGCGCCGCCAGCAGTCTTTTGGATTCATTGTAGGAATTTGTCAAGACCAGTGGCTGTTCGCGAGGTGTCGCCTTTCTTTGGTCTTTTGCGCTTCATACAATAGAGTCCAAAGAATTTTTTCTAACCATGAACCAAGGAACAAACTATGTCATAGAGAGTCTGCCAGAAGGCTATGCCGTCTTTGACAGACCGCGTGGGACAAATCCAGACATTGTAAGTCTTGCTACTGAAATGTGGGACTTACATACTGATACTGACCGACCACAGCGTGATCGATTCCTCTGGGGACACCCACTTGGGCAGTACTTCCCCTCTACGATCCAGTTCTTTCCACACTTTTTGTATCTGATGAAGGGCGGGAAAGAACAGTGCCCCTGCGTTCTTTGCGAGAAATTGGCAAAGAGGAACCAGCGGATCAAAGGTTGTTTCCCCGCTGTGTTACTCGCCGCAAGTACTGTCAGAACTAACAGTGTCGTCTAGATGGCCTGCCCGCAAGAGGTCCAGGGAGATCAACCGGGTCACACGGTACACCTGGTTCCGGTAGACCTGGTAGACCACCAGGTAGACCACCTGGCCGACCTCCTGGGAGGCCCTTCGGTCGACTCGGGCGGCCGCCCGGCAGACCACCGTTGAACCCTATTGTTGACCGGGAAGGGACACCAGACGTCTTCAAGATGGCCATAATGAAACTCAAGGATAGGGGCGAATTAGACGAGCCCATCTTAGAACCTTTAAGTATGGACTGGAAGTCCGAAAGACCTGGCCTGGGGGAGTATCTGCAAAAGCTAAGAATGCAGCCTTCTTATGTTCCTCGCGCTGGTGAAATCGTCCTCTGGGTTCCTAATTTCGAGGGCGAGTTGGCCTGGAACCCAGAACATGCACGCGTTGAAATGTACGACCCGACCGTTGATCGGTTCATGGGCGTTCCTGAGTGGCGAGCAGGCATCGTCGGCCAGGTCCCAGAGGAAGACACAGTGCTCCAGGATTTAGTCGAGACGGCTAATAAGGGGTGGGAAGTGAATTATTCTGGATTCCGTGTCGAAACCTTCCCTGATCCCAACAGCCCGGACAAGAGCTACTCACTGCAGTACAAGTATGTTCACTTGAAATGCATCAAGCCATTCAGTGCGTACGAGCTTTTCTTGCAGAATATGCCCCGGGACGAACTGCATCCTTCAATCGAGTACGCCATGACCGTCATGTCATCATTCAGCCTGCTTGAGAAATTTCATTTCCGAGGAAGGTGGCCGAATGCGTCCATCTACTGTATGGGCATATTCATTGGGGTAGAACTTCTCATTGTTGGAGATGCCGTTCGCTTGAAACCGGTGGGCTATTCGCTCAGCAGCGGCCAAAAAGCAGTTACGGACGTCATGGTCATCGACGAGATCCGGCTCGACCTGGTCCAATGCGTTGATGACATCAAATCAGACCAGCTCGCAGAGCGATATCAGGTGCGCATTGGAGGCAAAGTCTACACAAATAACCGCCACCGAGCGGCGATAGACAACCCGAGGCAGCCGCCCCAGCCCCTATCTCCCGAAGAAGTTCTCAGCGTCTTCCAGTACATTGGCATGAGCGGCTACGGCAACTGGTATAGTCTCAACGGCGGTAAGACGGTAGATGTCTCCCAGGGGATGATCATCGGCCGGTGCTACGAACCCGATGCCATGCGGCTGTTGTTTGGCAGTCTCTCGCTGGGCCGGGATCTGCACGGCGTGCTGAGCGGACGACAATACTCTCGGCAAGCGGACGAGCGCATCCCAGAGGGCAAAGACTGGTTCTGGGGCGACTTCCGAACGCAAACCCTGGCAGTCGAGACCCTGAACGGCGAAGACGTCGGCCATTACAGTGAAATCCGCGATGTGAAGATGTGGCGGGCCAATCTCAAGGTCATCGAGGGCAGGGCCACTGCAGCTGATTTCAGAGAGGCCAAGATCCCCGGCGAGCTGGGACGACCGAGCCACAAATCCCGGTCGGCGTTTGCGGAGGTGCGCAAGATGAGCAAGCTCGTGAGCGCTGGTCTGGGGGCGGCCATTACGGATGTGAGCAACAATGTCAGCTCGGCGGACGAGAGCAATGTCCAGACTCGACTGAACACTGAGGACGAAGGGGAGGAAGAATCGCCCGAGGATGAGGAGGAGGATTTCACTCTGCGTTTGGAAGACCTACGAGGAGGGACTGAGGAGACAGAAGGTGGAGACTACGCACCTGGGAACGATGAGCATACGGCGAAGCGGCCAAAGCATGATTTCGGAGGCTAGATACCCATGCCTTTACTCTTTCGTTGATAGGAAGATAGAAAGGAACGGCCTGTTGGCCTTGACTCGTTATAAGCTCGGTATATATACTGCAACAACAACCTATTCCCTTATGTACCTTTGCACCGGTCGATCTTGTAACCTGCGGCAAAACGCTTTTATATACACTAATAAGTCCTACTGACCACCTCCCTGGCAAACTCCGCAAAGGTCTTCCCAGGCTCGACCTCCTCCTCCAGATTCGGCTGCGTAAACACCGCCAGCGTATTGCGAGCGATCCTCGCTCCGCCCGAGGGCTTCGCCCCCTTCACGAAATGCGGCACAGCACGGAACTTTCCCCGCGTGATGAGTTGCAGCGCCTCCCCAGTCTGGAAAGCCAGACAGTCCTTGGGGATATTCACCTTGACGACCTGGCCCGTGCGGGACTGGATGTACAGGCCCGCCTTGGGGTCCGGCGACTGGGGCAGTTCCGCCAGCGGCGTGGAGGCATCTGTCAATGAAGGGGGATTGGCCGCCTCATCAACGAACATGGCGGACGTCAGGCCGGTGAGACAGCCGTGGTCGATGTGTGTCGCGCACCAGTCATCATCATCTTCTGCGTCGGCGGTAGCGGCCGCGGCCGGGTCGGTCGGGAAGTAATGCAGCAGCCTGGCCTTGGTCGTCAGGCTGGTCTTCACCACGTGCTCAAGGTATCCTTCCTTGTAGCCGTCGATGTTGGCGAGGGCGTAGCGGTCGCAGGCGCGGGCGACGAGCGCGGCGGTGTCGATGATGAGCGTGCAGAGCTCCTCGAGGCTGCGACGGAAGGTCGGGAGACGGTCTGCGGGCGGCCAGATGTTGGGGGCTGTGTATTCGGAGAGGTCGGGAAAGTTGTCTACGGGGGCGCCTTGAAGGTCGGGATTCTGGTAGAAGGCGCAGTTGACGTAGTAGGAGCCTTTGAGGGTGTCGAAGTGACCGGACCGGAGGGTTTCTTTGCCGCAGGACCAGCCGACGAGGTATTTGGCTGCGGGGCTGGTGAGGGGTTCTACTGCCTGTCAATTTGAGTCTGTAGGTACGAGGGGGCAGGTCGGACCTACCTAGTTCATCGTTTGGAAGCGCCGCGAGGTAGGAAGCGTTGGAGAGGACCTGGGCGCGGAGCCGAGTAAATGCCGGGTCCAGATCTTTAACGACGATGATTCCCAGCGAGGAGGGGCCAAAGGCTTCCGTCAGGGTTTCGAAAGAGACCGTGCCTAAAGATCATGAAGGACGAGTATCAGCTTCAGGATTCCATTCCGCCGAAACAGCAAGCTTTCTTTGCAGGATGCTCATTGAGAGATTGGATCATCTCACCATTGACAAGCTCCTGGAGACTCACTGTGACCGCTTGGGCCTGTGGCACGTCGGTTGCACCCATCTTTGGCTTGATAAGAGTTGAATTGAAGCAGATCACTGCAGCAGTCAGGTCCCAGAAGGAGAAGCAGAACAATAAAAATAAACGGTCATGTTGTTTGGCTGGCCCCTTCTCTCCCCACTTTCTAGCGTTACATTGTGTGGACAACGGCGACTTCCGTCGTCCAATTCTGGGAGATTGTCCCGTTTGGGTATCGCTTATCAGGCTATCGTCGGCTTTATCTCTTATCGATTGTCTAATCATAAAGGCTGTGGAAGATATTCACACAACTCTAGCAGCAGCTCAGAATAGTGACAAAGATACTTATTAGTGAAGCAAGAGGCATCTTGCCATTCACTAGTTCTTTGATTAAAACCTGGCACGCTGATGGTATATAAAGATGCTTCCCCCTCATTATTCCACATCTTCCTGACATTCGACCACCTCTCTTATATAGAATCTGCATTCTTTTCCAAGTACATGGACAACTACATATGATTATATAGCTGAATACCGTGACTTACGGCAACTTATATGTCTACGCCGACATAACCTATAGCTGTTCTTGACTTGATTGTCCAAACAACTGTCTACGTCGAATGAGCCATCAAGAGCTTGAATGAACCTGGTGACTCTGGCCTGCTTGAGGCTTGAGATATGAGCATAAAGGGCAGAGGAGACTCCCTTATGGCATTTGACTGACTACTGCAAACAAATCAGCTGGAGTCGTTTGAATATGGGGCGCAGAGCCTGCCTTACGGATGCCAGATTTCTGGACGACTGCAGCCGCCGCAAAAGGGGCGTCGCAGAGTGCTGTTGACGCGCCGCTTTCCCAATTAATCCTCCGTTAGTAGAAGTCGGCATCCACGTTGACAAACCGAATGAATCAGAGCATAATCATACCGGGGTGGAAAAAGGAGGTCAAATACCGCCTAGGAGCAACATATCAATGTATTATTGCGCTGGCTATACGCCCCTGCCGGTTCACCCGGGACCGAGAGCCAACTCGCATCGAAATTCATGTTATGGTTGTATTCAATGGGTTACCAGAGCCTTATACAAACTCACGAAAGAACCCAACTTCTATATCACGCCAGACAACCGGTATCAGCCTTCGTTCGTCATCGAGGTTGGCTGGTCTGAGTCTCACGGATGGCTTGTTGACGACATGAGACTGTGGATGATGGGCGGCCGTCCACATGACATCTATTCTGCACGGGCAGTGCAGCCGCGTTGTCTTAATGGAAACGCCGTTGAACATCAACACGCGTTTTCAAGCGGTCGGCCTGATGGCGAAGTCGAGAAACGCTCCAGGACAACGGCAACCCCAGGGAAACTGACGATGGCGATGAGGAACGCGAAGAAGTCGAAAGACACTCTGCTTTGATGGGTCTGCTCATGACTCTGAAGGAATCTCGTTCTCGAAAAGTGGAAGGAGATCTGGAGCAGAGCGTGTTATATTACGTTCAGCGTAGTACAGAGTCTACGAACAATTCCGTCCTCATTTTCGACTCAAATCCTTGCGTCACCGGAATCAGCGTTCTGCCACCTCGAGTAGTCGAAACCATGAATACATGGGCGAAGGTGGAAGTTGCAAGCACATATAATGTCCAGACATGGAACCTACAGATCATAGCGTCTAGATTAACGGGCAATCTCCTCGCTGGTTCAGTCAATGAAGAGCACATTTTCGTTACGTGACGAGCGGGGCGTACAAGGCCACCTAGAGGGACGAGCGACTCAGTCCAACAGAGAAGAACCTAGCGTCCTACCAACACGCTACCGACATCCACACTCTTATCCTCGCTATTGCTGAGCATGTGTTAACGTCACTACTTGGATCAATCCTCGCTTTCATTACGTCGTGTCCTCCCACGACAAGCTATCGACCCTAAGCATGAGAAGTATTGGGATGGAAAGCAGAAGAAGAAAACACCTGGCCTCTATCTTTAAAGTACTAGGATAGAGAGAGGCTTTATCCACTTCCCTGACCCTGAGCTTCTTGATCCAGTCGCTGTCTTTCGGAATGGTCTTGTGGCCGTTTCGCAGCATGCAGAAACGTACGTCCAATAGCCTACTGCGATAGTAGGTAAGGAAGATCGTTTGGAGCTGGCCGATTTCAAGGACTGCCACCAACTGAACAAGGTCCATCTTCACCCACAAGCAAGGACAAGACTGTGGGGTAGTGAAAAACAGCAACTAGTTGGGCATTTCTTTCGATCTCGTTCGGGTCGAGAAGGAGTAACAACATACAGGAACCGCTCAAAGACGTCGACAAGGAAAAGGCTATTCGTGGGTAAATAACTCAACTCCGAAGGGATACTTCTGTTCGGTTCGTGGCTATGGCAATGGCAATATGCCAATGCATGGCAGAGACTACAGTGTGCTGATGATATGTATATATACAACCATCTATATCAACGATGGGAGGAAACACTGGCGGACAGTGGTCTACACTGCAGCGATGGCGAAATGGTGAATCGCCAGAGGAACGGAACTGGGAGGAACGATATTACTCATACAAAGTGGCAGGCAGGCCATATAGCAATTTCCACAGGACCACTGACTGCAGGAGTATCTAAAAGCCTTAAGGCAATGTCACTATGGATCATTTGGCACAGTTCACCCTGACCACCCAGAGGCATCAAATACGCGCAAAAGTTGCGGTGATCCTACAAAGGACATCGTCAAGAGTACTCGGAAGCCCTGACGTACTTTGACGAGGTTAGTTAGCGGGGGTATATGCTTCTTTAGATTAGTTGCTACTTTCCTTTAACGTACAGCTCAGAATAAGCATCTGCCATGGATAATTCAGGATCAGTCAGAATATTAATTAAGTACTGGCTACTGCATGGTATCCATCCCTTTCATGCGACCCATCGTAAACATAAACATACATACATGCGTGCCAAGTGTCGGAAAGATATCCTGTCTAATTGGGTTCATTCTTGTGGCGTTTATCCTAGTGTGAAGAAGAAAAAGAGAGGCATATCCCAGCCATAGCATGCAAAAGATGACGCCGTACCATAGCCATAACCATAACCATAACCATAACCATTATGCAATGCAGACAAGTCAAGTATGGCATGAGTGTAACGAAGAAGATGGAAAATGGGTATTCTAGTGATAGAGAATTTTGAACAAAAGGAGGTAAATAGAAGGGAACAACGACAGTAGGGGAGAACGAAGCTCTAGTGGGTATTTCCTATTATGTTTTCCTTGGTAGAATCGAGACCTGCTCGACTGAATGATAGTGAAAGAACGAAATTAGACACGCCCGTGACGACCGCCCATGTGGTAGCCCGCGGCAGACGCCAAGAACCGGGCGACAAAGCCGGTGCTGCCGTTGTTGCTGGCCATTCTCATCTTCTTGTTGGGCTGCTGGTGGTGACGATGTTCGTGGAAGTCGTTGAAAGACTGCTTTGGGTCTGCCTGGACCGCGGGTATGTTGACATAGCTGTAGCCCAGACTAGAAGTAGAAGGGCTGTTGGCAGCGTCCGCTACGACGACTTCGTCCATGCTGGTCGAAGAGCAGGAGGTGCTGATGCTGGCTGGAGTGCCGCGCGAGCTGGGAGCAACACTGGAGGAACGGGAGCTCAATGAATTGAAAGTCTCTGCGCGAGAGAGGCAGGGGACATCGTTGACGGATGGTGGAGAGATAGATCGGCCAGACCGGTATGGCGACGTGCGCTGGCGCTGGTGGTGGTGAGGATTGTAGGGAGTGTACCGCTCACCCTCGACGGATTGCGGGGAGCCCCCGAGGCTGGACGAGGAGACGTGGTTGGTAAGACGCTTGCGAGGCGAGCCGCCCTCGACCATGCTGCGGCGAGCGTCTGCACGCCCCTCGACCTTCTGGCGACGCAGACGGTTAGCAAGGAGCTCTGCCGATGTATGGAGGCGGCGCCATTCGCGGTAGTGTTGCTGCTGTTGCTGTTGCTGGCGTCTCAGCTCTGCCTCGCGCTCTTGCGCCTCAAATCGCTGGCGAATAGGGGCTAGAAACGGCTCGAGATGTAGAAAAAGGTCGTCTTCGGTAACACGAGTGTCCCAGTCGAGGAGAAACAGCAGCTGACGTTCCATCAGATTCACCTCTGGCAGCGAGAAGGAGAAGCCATCGTAGCCTTTGACGGCCGTGTAGCGGGCCCAGTGCTTGTTCTTGGGGCTCGAGTCATTCAGGTTCTTTGCCGCCAGGATGAGCGACGCAAGGAAGATCCGATGGACAGTGCAACGCATGCCCTTGGCGACAGGCGGCAAGCGGGCGCGCAGTCGAGCCAGGTAGACCAAGGAGGTCATCAGCGTAGGAACCTGGACCTGAGACCGAGTGACGAGCGAGATGATGAATGTCTCAAGCGATGGCAGAGGAGGCAAGCCATCCAGTGGAGGTGTGCTTGGAGGCGTAGGCTGACCATGACGGCTAACGGCAGAGGTCACATGCGTCTCGCAGCGGATGACCAGCGAAGCTTGCTGAGCCAGATAGGCCACCATCTCTCGTGATACTGGGCGGGTGACAAACTCATTAAGAGCAGCTCGATTGAGAGCCACAGGAGCATCCATGGTGATGCTGTTGTGGTGGTGCTTGTAATTGTTGGTGTTTGTGTTGATGTGAGCGACGGGAGTATAGAGAGTATACCTACTCCGGAGCGAACGAGGCTGATGTTTATTATTGGAAAACGTCAACACCCGAAATTGAAGGGATAAAAAGTAGTATCTCGTATTTGTCTTGATTTTGCTCGTTCTCTTTCCGATAGTGAATGGGGCGAGAAGAGCTGAAAAGGAATGTTGACAATGGTCTTTGTTTGGGGGCGAAGTATCTCTCTGGTGGCGAGGGAATAAAAAGCAAAGCGAGAGATAGGGGAAAAAGGACAGAGGGAGATTCTGGCGACGAGCTGACACAGGTCGGACAGCGATGTTTTAAAAATGAATCAAATTCCCGTCCAGCAGGAATAATGTGGTTCTGGAATGCTGAGAGAGAGAGGATAAGGTTGTCGTGTCAACCTGTCAGAAGTGCTCTGCGACTGGCGATCTTGGGAGCAGGAAAGCAGCGCCTGAGCCTGAAATAGATCTTCAGTGACAAGTTGAGTACGAGACCGTCTAATAAGTTTGATCCGAAGTTCGTATTGAGCGTCGATCGGAACTGAGAAGACGTCTGGTCTGGAGGTGGATATGGAGTGAATGTATAGCCCAGTGAAGTAACACCAAGATAATGCAAATGCAGCGAAAGTGGATAGGGCTGATTATAACAATCAAAAGCAAATCAATTAATGATTACTACTGCAAGAGAAGTGTAGAATGAAAGGAAGATTAGACTGAAAAGAGAAATGGCAAGACTGAGCATGTGGAATGACCGCGTGAAGAATCCAGCAAAGGCGGCCACCTGATGTACTTTATAAGAACTCATGAATGTAGCTTCATCATCGGCCACATAGTCTGGATTCTGATTGATCGCCATCGTTCATCCATCAATGGGTCGGTATGTTTGCAATTAAGGTGGTGGTGCAGGGCGGCTGGACAGCTGCAAGGACATTTCAGCCAGAAGGAGCATCCACAGGGATAACTGGTAAGGCACTAGGTATCCTGGTCTGTCATCCCGGGCTCGATGGGGACAAGAGGACAGGAGCGGATCGAATGGAATCGAGGATCATCTCAAACGCTGGATTCCAGTGACTGATTGACTGTCGTTGATTGATTGATTCTTCAAGGGTCAATGTTGGAGCTGTCCCTTTGGCGCGCGATTCGATTGCACGCGATGATTGGTGCAAGCCCTATCCAGCGCAAGAACAAATCAGAATGCATTATGGACAATCTGAATTAATTATAGATATTCTACTTAGATACCTTAAGGTAGTATCAAAATACTAATTACTCTTCAATTGATTGTCTTGTGCTGTAGTCAAGAAAGCGAGGAGGCATGAATAGATCTACCCAACTCCACAAAGCATCGTGGAAAATGCAGTGGCAGGAGAAATACAGAGCATCGCCAACGAATCATTGCTCCCTTCCAACCCATCCTCAAACACTACCATACTTTTATTGTCTTTTTAGCAAGGCAAATATCCATCTACTCCTCAGCCTCTACGCAGTACTGAAACCTTTTCCTGGGGCGAAACGCGCTCCTGCTCCGGCCAGGAATCCTCGCAACGCGTCTACTGACTGTTCGCCATGTAGTCTATCCCATTCATTGACTTGCTCGACGCCGGCGTTCAGTCTGGAATCTCACTGTCTCTGCTCCTCTCTCTTGAACGCTCTTGGACCTTCTCCTAGCTTCAGCTGAATTCCTGAATCATGATCATGACAGAAGCCGGATCCAGAAACAGTTGCAGGCGCCACTCATTCTTTGGCAAATCAGTACATGACGCAGTCTGCAGTCCGCAGTCTGCACTCCACACATCATCACAGTCAGAGAACGGACTGGACTCGATATGTGAGATCATCTATGCGGCCAGATTCTCATCCAACGATCAAATTCTACCATACCATCTCATAAGAAACTAAGACCTTGATACCTTGATTGACAAGTGACAACCCAACCCCCTCCTGTCGTAGGCTGTACCCCTCCACGCATCATCCCCGGCGAAAAAAGCTCCCGACTACGCTCGTGTCAAGGAGCATATTCCCTCCTACGAACCTGGATCAAAACCATCGCGTACTGTTAGACCACCTAGCAAGAGTACCTGCTTTAGTTCCTACATTCCCCTCCCCTTATTGCATCTCCGGTCCTGCCCGCCACAATTCTACGACGCAAAGCCGACTCGCAAGGAACAAGACAGGAATCTATCTGCAACTTTCAAGTGCACGAGCACTATCTAGTAATTAACGGCCCGTCCTTGCTAGACCTCCGGCTACTACTTGCGCTCCTTTCTGCAGATATCTACAGTTCATGGACGAGGTACAGAGGTGCTGTAGTGAGGAAGTGTCCGAAGCGCCCGACGCAGGGGTGTTCGTGGGCGCTTAAGCGCATGTTCGTTCGTCTCGTTTCGCGCGCGCGGCGTGGGTCGATTTCTATATATACAAATGGATCCTGGTCCATAATGTGTCAAGTTGATACTGTGGATACGGTTATTCTTGGAAGAGGTTGATGTCCAACATGCTTCGACGGGGCGATTGGGTCGAGTTATACAAAGTGCGATTCAGGAACCGCTGGCTTGCTACTTGGAAGCTGAAAATGAGGCACATAGATACATAGTCTACTTCTTTGAGGCCTGACTGCATCTGAAACGAGTGTGTCGACGCTAGACTTTACGGGGTAGTATCTAGGCGCCTTATGATGCAGTCGTCGTTTGAAACGAGGGCGCGTAGTGAAACTTCTATGTTTGGATTTCGTGGGGTTCCAACAAATTGATTGATAATAGATTGGATTATCTAACTATATACACAAAGCTAGACGCTGCCTTTAATAGAACGTTTACGCAACACTGACAGAGTAGTCGGATACCGTGAAAACGGCATTGCTTCCGCTGAAGGGCTCAGTACCGGCTTGCACGTCGACCAGGTACAGGTCGCTGGACAGTCCCTGGTTGCTCTCCAGGTACGTGAAGAAGTCGCGCAAGTCGCCGGAGAAGCTATTCGTGGTCGACTGGGCCACGAAGCTGTACACCTGCATCGAGCCGTTCGGGCCGAGGTACAGGTTAAACTTGACGCCAGCGACGGTGGGCGTAGCGATGGGCGAGCCCGTCGAGGAAATGGGACCGGCGCCGCCCAAAGCACCTAGCCAGACCATGATCTCGTAGTTGTGGCTGCCGCCGACGGACGTGCTGAGGAACATGTCGTAGGCGACATCGGCGACGATGTTGGAGCCAGAGTAGCTGTTATCGTCAGCTTCACATCCACAGAGAATCTGTAAGGACTGCCTTACGTCCACTTCCAAGTCGAGTCAATGCTGTTGACGCTGCTCAGTTTCTTGGGTGTGAACTGCAGAGCGGCATTGGCGAAGCTCTTGACCTGGCCCTGGCCACCGGACCAAGACCACTTGGTGTTCCAGACAATCGTGTTGCCCGAAAGAGATTCAAAGGTGGTGCACTGGGAGCCGGAGGTGGCCTGGGCCTGACCCCAAAGATTGTTGTAAAGAATGTAGTTGCCCTCGGTGACCGAGCCCCATTGGTCGCAGAACTGGGTGGCTGCCTGGGCAGTTGCTGCGGCGAGCGAGAGGGCGAGAGAGAGGCTGAACTTCATTCTGAATAATCGTTCAAGTTCTTGCGAGGATGATCTGTTGACTGACAGAGAGCACACCGAATAGACATGAGGGTCTCCGACTCTTATAGTTGCCTGAACTGCCTCTCCTGAACCCGCGCCGGGGCAATTCCTATTTGGAACTTTATCCTGTACCCATGGCCTGACTCTTCGACGCTTAACCTCTTTGATGTGATGATCATCATCCTCAATCTTCAAGACTCACTCAGTGGACCGGGTGATCCCATTGACTGGTGGATCAATCTATACCCAAGCTTCAACTTGAGACACCCACACTGGCTGCTCCCCACATGTGGCTCTCAAGGTCGCGGAATGATCCATTTTAGCCGGACAATTCCCGACGAATGAAACAATCCGAGACAACGAAGACACGGAATGATCGACCAAAACGACAATTGTCTCCGGGAGCAGTGAGGATATTGGTGGAAATCACATTGGGTTCGAGCGAATGTAGAAAGAAAGAAGCATTGTGGGTGAGGATATGGCTGCGTGGAAATAGATTGACATACGTAAGTGGACCCCGCATTCTGCACTCCAGATTCCAGAGAGCGATGCTAGTAGCCTAGCGAGACCAAAGAATCAGGTCTGCAGGATTCAGAAAATCCGTCGATGCTGTGGTTGACTTGTGCTGGTGACAACTAACAGCTTGAATTCCCGACGTGGACGAAGATATGCCCGTTTCATCTAAAGGAAGATCCACAGTCTGTTGGAGGTTTTTCCTGCAATTCATCTTCTATTATTGTCCAGAATTTCTGACGTTGTTGACTGAAGAGTCGTGTCTCCTCAGGAGAAGTTCCGTATTAACATAGACCCATATACAACCGGCGGTTGCATCCTATTGATTGATGCATCCTATTGATTGATGTAGAGTACCTAGCTGGGGACGGCACTATGAATAGAGCATAGTTGACCGGAATCACGGAAGAAGCCCAGGCAGTCATTTCACTATCATTAAAGGAGGCTTCATAATTTCAGATTCCGATATCCGAAATGCGTCTATGCAGCTGCAAGAGCTACATCTGTCGTCATTAAGCCTCTTTGACACTGGGTGTTGCCTAGGTCTTTCCAACTTCTGTTCTGAAGTATTGTCCCAGGACGTACTTCCCTTCATTGCAGCCATATGAAGAGAAAGGATATGCTCAGTCAGAAATACTGATCCATATGCACTCACTCTGTTCGAATGCATACGGTGACTTGGATCCACACAGGATGGAGAGGGATCACTACATTTTCAAAACCCGGAGCGGCAACTGGTTTTGCTGACGTAACAGAGCAGTCTCAACTCTCAACGCATTGCACCGAGAACCATCAACAACAATGGCACCTTGAGTTCATGTTTAAACAATAATAAATGAAGATGCTCAATCGATTGCAGACGTTGAACTGATAATCTGATATCTCTTTCGGACCTCTCTATCCGTGGTGGCCTGAGATGCCCCAACCTCCAAGCCAATGAAAGAGGAAAAACAAACAGAACCCGACGCCAGGGGAACAATAGAACTAACCAGGGATTCAGACTACTTTTCGCGGTCAGCCAAATCTACGCGGGCGCCGCGGGCTCCACCATATTTTTTTCTGCCTAGACTAATCATCCCTATTACTCCTGTTAAGCTTCGTTTCGTCCCCAGATTCTGTCAATTGTCAATTTTAGTCTCTCAATTGACTTGATCTTTTGATCTACACGGCGACCTCCACCATGCCCTCTAAATCCTCCTCCCAGCAATCAAATTCCTCCCGCCAGAGTTCCTGCGGCGGCGGCGGCTGCTGCTTCTCTATGCGCAAACTCGGTTTCCTCGCGGTCTTCGTGGCCATCTTCGCTGCGCTGTACAGCTACCTCGACGCTCGTCTTGAGCAATTCTACATCTTCAATCCCGAACAATTGCACGACCTCTCCCAGCGCGCCGTCCAGGCTCATGGCAACGACACCCGTGCGATGGTCGACTTCATTGTCGCCGAGCTGGACCAGAAGATCCCCGGAAACCACCTGAACAAGAACGAGGAATGGATTTTCAACAATGCCGGTGGTGCTATGGGTGCCATGTACATCATCCATGCTAGTCAGTTTGTTCAATGGCTCCCAGCTGGCCAGCCTTTACCGAAAGATTTCTGCTAATCATGAATTAGGTATCACCGAATACTTGATCATCTTCGGTACTTCCTCTCACACTCTCTCCTTTCCCCTTCCGAGCTGTTCTAATTAAAACAGGCACCGCGATTGGCACTGAGGGCCACACCGGCCGCCACACCGCCGATGACTACTTCAACATCCTGCAGGGAACCCAGGTCGCCTTCGTTCCCGGCACTTTCGAGCCCGAGGTCTACCCCCCTGGCACCGTCCACCACCTCCGCCGCGGCGAGGTCAAGCAATACAAGATGGAGCAGTCCTGCTTTGCCCTCGAATACGCCCGTGGTTGGATCCCTCCCATGCTTTTCTTCGGTTACGCCGATACTTTCTCCAGCACCCTTGACTTCCCTACCCTGTGGGCCACGACGAGAGTCACAGGCCGCGAAATGATCATGAATCTGCTGCGCCGCAAGTTTTAATCGCGATATGATTAGGACGATACATAACCAGAGATCGGAGATATGGGATATTGTACTGTAATACAATAGTGTGCCTGTGATTATAGATTATGGTAAAGCTGTATAGATAGGATATATTATTCTTATGACCGCTTCAGCTGTGTCCAAGTCGAACTGTTTTGATTTATTTATTTATTTAATTTTTTTTTTTTTTTTTTTTTTTTTTTGTTTATCGAGCTTCTCTCCCGCTGACAAAGAATAATGCAAATGGAACAAACACTAAGAATCCGCCTATCAAAAGATCTATCAATCAATCAATACTTGATAATTATTATCGCGGGGTTAGAAATTCTTCCTCACCATTATTCGGTCTTTTCCCTCAAGATCCATCACCAAAATGCCTCCAACACTGTGTTTTAACTGCAAGGAAACTAGAGCAGTCATTATACGTCCCAAGAACCGGCACAAGCTATGCCGCGCCTGCTTCCTCGAAGTTTTCGAGACCGAAGTCCACGAGACGATCACCTCCTCTTCCCTCTTTTATCCCGGCGAACGAGTCGCCATCGGCGCCAGTGGAGGCAAAGATAGCACGGTTCTTGCGTCAGTTCTCAAAACACTTAACGAGCGCCACAACTACGGCCTAGAATTATGTCTGCTCTCCATCGACGAGGGTATCAAGGGCTATCGCGACGATAGTCTGGAGACGGTCAAGCGCAACGCCGTTCAGTACGATATGCCGCTGGAAATCGTCGGGTATAGCGAGTTATACGGTTGGACAATGGATCAGGTTGTCGAGCAGGTCGGGAAGAAAGGCAACTGCACCTACTGCGGGGTGTTCCGGCGACAAGCGCTCGACCGGGGCGCCGCGCGACTGGGCATCAAGCATGTTGTCACGGGACATAACGCGGACGATGTAGCAGAGACGGTGATGATGAATCTACTGCGAGGGGATCTGCCGCGTCTGTCTCGGGGACTAGTATCGTGACGGACTCGGCGGCGTCGGATATCAAGCGCAGCAAACCGCTGAAGTATGCGTACGAGAAGGAGATCGTGCTGTACGCGCACCACAAGAAGCTGGATTATTTCAGCACTGAGTGTATCTATTCGCCTGAAGCGTTCCGAGGCAGCGCCCGGACGCTGATTAAAGATCTCGAGAAAATCCGCCCCAGCTCGATCTTGGATATTGTCAAGAGCGGAGAGGACATGGCTGCTCTGGTGCCATTGGAGGTCAGTTCGAGCGGAAGGAAATGCGGCGGCACCGCCGCTGCTACTACTGCTACTGCAGAGGACGATGAATCGGCGGGTGGCTGTGGCAGTCAAAACGGTCGATCGAGCGGTGGCGAAATGGCGGCGATGGAGAAGAAGCTTGCAGAAGATGACGCCGCTCAGTCGAGAGAGACCGAGATCAAGCTCCCGGTTGCCCCGAAGAAAAAGAGCGGCAAGGCGAATAACCCGAGAGCGATCAAGAGTCAAACAATGGGCAAGTGCGAGCGCTGCGGATACATTTCGAGCCAGAAGATCTGCAAAGCCTGCATGCTTCTGGACGGGCTGAACAAGAACCGGCCCAAGACTGCTATTGAAGTGGGCGTCGAAATCGAGGACGAAGAAAGCAGCTCTACGCTCATGAGGCAGATGGAGCGAGTCCAGTTGACAACCGGCTAAGCCAGGGGAGAAGAATCCAATGCCCTCCTTGACAAGCTGCTACGCGCTCTGCGATAGCGCACCCCTCCCATCAGGATCAGGTCCTGAGGCTGACCAGTTCACCCGTCCCCTGGCCAAATATCGATCGTATGGATCGATAGACCAGTAAGACTGCGCGCGGCCCATCAGCGTCAGCACATCAGACGCATGGCTAGACATGCTCGCACAACGGCCACCGCTGCGAACCCGCCCCAAATTGCACAAGAGACAAGAACCCAGATCGATGCAATTGAATATATGCCAACCATAGTCCTGAACAGGTCATGTCATGCCGTAACTCCAGTAATGCTATAATACAATCAAATCAGTCTCTATCCATCCCCGCACTTCCTCCAACACCCCGAATCCGATGTATCCCATCGTAGCCGATCCCATTCATCCCTACCATCCCATCCCATCCACTCGCACAACAACAGAGACAGTGGTTCACTCCTTCCCCCCTCCTCCGCAATCGGCAAATCAAATCCGACCCGTCTAGCAGTCAACCGAATCTTCTCCTTCTCCGTCATCGTCATCCCGGGGTTATACCGCTCCACAAGAGCTGCATACGTCCGCTGCGCACGCGCATACTGCGCCATCTGCTCGGCTTCTTGCACCCGCTGCTCAAAGTGTGGGTCTGCCGATTGCTCGCTTGTGCCCGTGCGGAAGGCTTCGCGGATGCGTTGCTGGAGGGGCGTTGGATTGGAGAGGGTGCGGCGGGGAGTTCGCGGAGGATAGCGCGGTAGGTGGAGCGGAGATGGGGTGTCATTTTTCCCTTTTTTTTGTCTTGATTTTTGGTTTGTATGAGCACGCGGGTTCGTTAGGTGGTGAGGTGGAGGAGGGTGAGAGACTGATGATTAGACTGTCGATTTAGATCTACGGAGTAGAGGATATTTCGAGGGCGATGTTATCACGTGATCTTATCGGTGGCTTCACGAGATACTAAGCAGAGAGCACGTGAAATGAAATGATGCGCAGAAAAGGGTTAAAAGGCATCACGTTGATTATTATGTTGATTATTTAACTAAGTATGTTGCATATATGTACACCAAGTGGTTACCACCACTTGAACCGTCATTTGACCATCTCGTCAGTCAATCATCAGAAGGCATGTCACGTCAGGGTGCAGGGGATATAGAAATATAAGTAAGGTAGTGATGCATGAGTCGTGCTCGTAGTAAGTAGGTGCCGTTGTGTCGTAGTGGTAGAAGTCGTTTCTGAAGATGTGCTCAATTCGGTCAAGACCGCAGCCAGCCGAATTTCTTGCGTCCTGTGTCGATGCCCGTGGATGGTTCAACCTGTACACTGCGCGCATACAAATCCTACTCATATTAGCAAATGGAATCGCTGCCCATTGGCTTGGCACGAACCTCTTCATCTCCAGAAAGCTTGATATCCAGTATCAACCGCTGCACATCCTCATGCCGATTAATATGAGCGTACGGGGTCTTCTGGCTGCGCTGGATGCCCAGAATGACTTCTCCCATCACCTCGAATTTCTTCCAGTTAATCCGAGATCGGTTGTCTCCGACAAAGGTCTTATTCCCTTCCTCGGCCGACACCAAATCACGGCGATGTAGTGGGAGAAACGGAATTCGCTCCGAGAATGAATTATCCCAGGCTAAGCGATATGCAAAATGGCTCTTCTGCGTCCCCATAAGAATCACTAGCCTCATGAAGTCCTTCTGTACTTGGACTGGGACCAGCTCCCGCGTCTGAGACAGCCGATGTACTGGAGTGCCATTGATGCCGGCAATTAGTGCACCCAGGGAGTTGTAGTTATTCAACCGTCGCAGTTTCTTCAATTGAAGTTAGATAACTCCTTTCCCTCGTTCACGATTAATTCTTACCTGTGCAATGTTCATAAACTTCTCGAGGGCCCTTGCCCGGTGCTTCGGCTTGTCCCGAAGAAGGATCATACTAGCCACGAAAAACGCGATATGGTTGAATTGCTTGATCATGCGATTGACATGCTTCAAGCTCTGAATCTTATCTTTGTCGGGACCTGAGATACTGACATGGCGTACAAGGTCCCGAGGTCGAAACGAGTTGAACATGATCCAGTCAATTCGTGTTAACTCGCGTGCAAATTCTTCGTCGGGTATCTCCATGAATTGTCGCCATTGTATCTTGGTCAGTGGCACGCTAGGTGTCAGCTCCAGGTGTTCGGACTCTCTTTGCGCAGCTTCAATGCTCAAGCTCGTGAACGATTGGCTCGAGATCGTGCCGGGCTTGTCCACCGTCGAAGTACCCGAGAGCCTTGTGCTCTGCTCTGGCGGGCCCTCGCTCAGATCTAGAGCGCTCATGTTGTAGATGGGATCCTCCTCCTCTTCCTCGCCTTCATCTTCTCCTGAGGCAGGCCCCCCAGAAACATGGATGGAGAGCTCCGGCCGGAATTGACGTAGAAGGTTTCCTGGTCATCGAATTCCTCTACGTCGCCGTCTTTGAATGGCCACCCAACGTCATCATCTTCCGTGTTCACTTCGAGATACGATCCGATCTCTTTGGCGGCAAACATGTAGAAATGACTCTTCTCCAACGTTGATACGAAATCCAGGATCCGCTTCCGTGTCTTTGGATATGCCAAGTCGCCGGGGTACTCCGATACCCACTGTGCCATCACGTTGAGCAGTCTTAACTGATCGGCAATGCGGGTCAGCTGGTCGGTGATGTTTTTCTCATTTCGTTCAAAACGATGTATCAGCGCATTGAGTAGACTGGCGGGTGCCGCAAACTTGCGATACAGGCACAAGAAGATCGACGAGAACTTGGAGTCTTGCTTCGACATCGGCTGCGCCACAAGCCGATCAACTAACTCGTCAAATGTGTAACCGGTTTCATTCGAACTTCCATCGCTTGTTGATTTGTCCTTGCTGCTGCCACCAGGACTTGATGGGGCGCTACGCGACACGTCAGTCTCATCTTCCGTCTCCAAGAAGCTATTAAAGGCGTCCGATCCGCCACTGTTTCGCCAAGCAGCATGGAGCCGATGCTGGCGATTGCGGTCCTTGGCTGGAGAGGACTCCCCCGACGCTGATGGCCTGTGCAAGTTCAACGTGGCTCCGGAGGGAGGGGTGTGCGGTCGCACCGGAAACGAGTTGCTCCGGGCATATCTCGAACTGTGCGAATTGGAAGCCAGGTTGGATGAGTCGGTCCGGTCGACGGGATACAGGTCGTCGCCGTACCCATCGACTCCTGACTCAAACACACTCGTGGAGATTGAGCCGCCCGCGGCTCCGTTGAAGAAGGCTGTAGGTGTTTCGGAGTTGGCACGAGTATGGCGGCGGTCTTGCGAGCCCGGTCGGTACGGGGCGTCGCCAGAGGTTCCCTGGACGGACTGGCTGGGGAAAAGATCGGTGAATTCTGAGGATCACAGTTAGCATTCAAATTAAGATCTGGCCCGCAGAGCGCAGCAGCTGTGAGATTTAGGTAGGATTCCACCAGGAGATAGATAAATGAAAGTTCGGTCTCTTTTCAAAAAGGCAAAAGGGTGAGCGAACGCTAACTCAGGCCGTGCCGCGAATTAGCGCGACAACAACCGGCCCAAAAGGGGTTGGTTGTTTGTTCGTCCCATGTTTTGTTGCGAAACGCCCAGGAAGCTCCAATCAAAATGGTAGAACAATAGGGGTATAGGGGAAGCTTTTGCTGTTTGAGGTGTAGTGAATCTGTTGGGCATGGAGTCATAGGGCTAGACGGTAATGTTGCCATCCGCCTGATTGACACTCACCATATTTTTTGCTGACAACAAATCGCAAAAGCTTGGCAATGTACGTCTTTTGCGATTGTGGAGATTCGGGGGACATCCGATGAATCTCGTAATTGCCCAAAGCAGGCTCAAGGAATCTATCGTGCCTTCGAACATCACATTTACTCGCAATTAGAATAAATGGCAAGGATGACGCGGACAAAGTGTCTAAGTAAACGAGCCATTAGCAACCGTATACTTTTCTCAAGAAGTGTGAGTCAGAAGCAAGCGGAAGTACTCCATGAAACATACCAAGTAGGCCTGTCAATTCTGAGAGGCTCTCGGGTTGGGTCACGTCGTGAAGAACGAGCACTCCGTCAATAACCTTTGGCGAAGCAGCATCGTTGCCAATCCGAGGCCACTCGAGCTCTCCATTGCTTCCGACTGTTATCTCTTTGGTCGAAATCTCCACGAATCGAACAAGGTAAACAGTGCCGTCTAATGACATTTTCTTTGTTGTCGATCGTGAGGATAGCGGGTTCTTCATGTCAAGAGCGCTCCGAATGAATGTGGATTTGCCGGCTTTCTCTTGGCCAACAACGGCGATCGTAAGGTGTGGGAAGTTCGGCTTCTGAGATATCTATAGCGGAAATCAGTGGTTAGCCGGTGACTACAACCTCCGTCAGATCACAATGCCCGTGGACAGAACGTACCCCGTTACCGTCACGTATCGGCAATAAGCCGTTGTCACTCCTTGACAGAACATGTTCCTCCTCCTCTATGAGAGGGCTCTCAACCTTACTCCGTGTGTCCGTTGCCATTCTGGAGGACTCGAGCTTATACAGACCTCCGGCCGGTGCGGAAATTGTTCTGCCGGGAAGGCCTGGTCTCTGCGGGAAGGGTGCAGGCTGAGCTCTGTCGCTAGACGACCGCTCCCGTCGCTGTTGCTCGAAGGTCATCATAGAGTCGTTTTGGTGCAAAAGTTTGGACGATCGCGGCGAGTGGAAGGGGCCAGCGGAGACGTCAACATGCGATAGCGCAAATCCAATATTGCTAGGCGAGTGACTGATGTAGACACGACAGCTCATCCATTGTCGCTTTGAGTAGAATGGTGGTCGATACTGATTGATCGATTGCTCTGGACAGTTTTGAGTCACGGTCTCTTTATCGATAGTCTCGTCTTATTTTCTCTTTCCGCTGACGGAGTGATCGATGATTGAATACGAATCTCACTGATAAAGAGACAAAATTAGTAAATCCCGTCGTATTGTCGGAAGAACTTTTAGGATAAGCTCACATGAACGCCCTCCAATTCGAAGAGCGCAATGCGATTGTACTCAATTTGCCCTTGCAGATCAGATAGAAGGTGGTTTGCACTGCCCGCAAAGGCGGAAGAATGGATAGGGAACAAAGAAGAGGAAAATCACTCTTCGGTACAAATGTCGGAGGCTGAGGTGGGTTGCCAGACGCTCAACACATAGACAATAAATAGGAAAGTAGATGAGTAATTTTAATAGAGCTGAGAGGGAGACATGTTGAATCACTTGCTCTTAAAATATAATAAAAGCAGAATACGCAGCTAGAACTAAATCGTATCCAGGCTCCACGATTTTCGTGTGACTGCGGCCGAAAAAGAAAAAGGCGGCGGGATCGTCAATCTGTGGAGGCACGCAGACAGAAGCCTCCACTATATCACTTCAGGATTGGATAATTGACGGCCAGAGCTCTGATACTCACAAGAATAGGACAGTGATGAGAAGACCGTAGAAAAGAGACAACAGGACGGTAATAGAATCTTATGGTTCACAGCTGACGATGGATGGAGCATCCCGGACGAATCGGAGCGGTGGTCGTCTACAAAGTGGTACAAGAGAGAGACACAGCACTTGAGGTGGCTCAATGGCCTTTCCGAATCAGAAAAGGAGTCAGCCTACTATTGTACCGAGACATCCAGATCTGTACACCATTCGTTGTTCAGTCGAGAGATGTGCACCAGTTAGATTAGTGACCATCTTCTATTCAGCTTTAGAGAATGCCATGCCTACGATTGAAGCCCCGTGACGAGACAGTTATATCTCCCAAGAGATGGGAGCAGACTGAATAGTATATTATTCGCGTAAACAAGGGACACCAACGCCCCAACAGCAACCTCATTTAGGGTTAGAATCAGTAAAAAGCGTACTTAGAGGAGTTGCTGCCCAGCTAGCTAAATGTAGCTAAATGAGCTAAGTAGTTAGATAAAAGCACCTTCAACTTCATTCGTTCCAGGGAATGGTATGACCCTCGCTAGTGTTGTAGACTTGTAGTGGTCCTGATGATATAGTGGATGATATATTACCTAAATCCAAACTAGGAAGCTGGCTAACGGCTCAAAAATCATGGATTGGTCCGGATTTGTTTCGCTCATATCCACAGAGGAAAGACATCTGCATTGACACTAGAGCTGACTCTTCCCACTTGGCAGTGGTCTTGCCTTGAGCATCGCCTCTCAGTCCTAGAGCGAGTGGCGCGCAGAGTTTTGAGTCACGATAAACCCCCAGAGCTTGAAAGTCAAGTATTGTGCAATACTACGAAGTGTTTTAAGAGACAATTGAAAGACTCAGCCCATACAGAAACACGGAAAGGCCGATCATGAGGATAAGATCTGGGGCAGCGGGTTCTGAATCCCGTCACGCAGTCTGATTCGGGCTCCACTGTGGCCAGGCGTCTAATAGACGTACCTCACCATTCAATCACCGTTGGCAGCTCGGTTTCATGTGTTCCAAGCTCATTTTTGAGTGAGGGGGTTGATCATTATCGCTTTGAGTCCGATAAATCACACGCATTCCCAGAAGCGTCCCATGGATTCGTTGGACCGAATACCTCGACTCGCCTGTAATTCGAGCTGTTCGGCATCAGATCGATGGTGTTTCGGCCGGTCGGCTCCTTTCCAGCTATCACAGCCCCCGCATTCTGCTACGGTCCAAGACATAGCCTGAATCGCGGTGGGAACATCTCATTGGGAGCTGATCAAGTGGTAATAGGCGGGGAAGATGGAGCAGAAGGAAAACGAGAGGGATCGCCACTCCATGCCTCTTGTCCTTGTAAGATGTTCTGCATTGCTCAAATGAGAGCGGAATATATAAGGCTGTTCAAGTAGTTTGCATTTCGGCCGACAACAGAAACACCAAATATATATCTACTAAAGCTATGGGGAGGCATCTTTCATATATTGCCCATCGACGCTCAAGGTTGCCATTGTTCTCCCCTGATCATAATCGCTCGTCAAGAGCAGTTCGCTATCGTGATATTTCGATAGTGCAGCAACATCGCTGCGCTTGGAAACGATCTTCCAAGCCATGTAGTATGACATATTCTCTCCTCTTCTCGCAGAGAAGAAAATTCATGCAGGGGGCTGGTGATGGTTTTCACCGTTAATCAAAGCCATAAACTTCATAAACGCCTCTGCATGCTTTCCGGTCTCCAATCCTTCTTCGCACCTCTCTCTCAATTTCCTAACCTTGCCCAAACCTCGGTTGAAACCCTTCTCCCGGGTCCACGAGCCTCGATTGCGGTAACCTCCTCGTCCCCTATGGTAGGGTCTCGATCGCCCCGCAGGTCCCTGCTCTATCCACTCTTCTTCCAGAGTAATCTTGTAAATATCGCGTAGGCAATCACGAAGCTGAGGACTCTGAGCAAGCAGGTCTTTGATCTGGGGGGAGGACGCTAGTGCTTCCACGCTGTAAGTATTTCGGTTTGCTTGTGCGTTCGAGCTCTCGTTGACTTCCGGCTCGCCTGTGACGTTAGCCGTGGTTTGAGTGGCATCTGTCGCGCTTGTCGGCTCCGGCGCCTGGGGTTTGGGTGCGCAGTAGATCTTATGGGACTGAGTGCAGGCGAGCGAGCAACTGTAGACAGTCCGTTAAAACAAGCGCAGGTACTTTGAGGTAACGGAAGAAAGCTTACCTCAAAAGCCCACAGGTAGGGCATTTGTACTTCGAGGCCTCCGAAACGCAAACCTCGCAAGTTCCAGGCATCTTTTGCCAGCTTGAGACTGCGAGCCAGCAGAGCTGCGATCAAACTTCGTCAAGCATGATTTGTAGCTTTTGCAGCTACAATAAGATGGCAGAAGACAATGAAAAAGTACCCTTGAGCCAGAGCAAACACATTAACAAGCGGATAGTGAAAGTGGGAAAATCTTCAAAATCACTTTCGGTGTCTACGCCATCTCCGCAGAATCAAAAATCGCTGATGCCTCAGGATTCAGGAATCATTCAACGAACCGTAGATCACATGATTCCTCGCCACTAATGGCAACACGGCCCCAAAACTAAGACCGTTGTTCAGTTCGAGAATTGCACATTGTAGACAAGTAAACGCTCGTCTCCAGGATTATCGGCAGAAAGTTTATGGTTTTCAATGAGCTTAGCGGTGGACTCATCTACCATCTCCAAGACTCGCATTTGTGTACGGGGGTGACCATAATGGATGGTGCTCCATTCACATCAACTGGATGCAATATTTGTGGTCGACGTAAGTATAACTCGGATTGGATAACGATGTAGATTACTAGTATAATATTTTGCATGCGAAAATCTCACCAGACAGGTGAAGCACTTCAAGTCATCAAATGGATATCGAATTGCTTCTGTCCTATTGGGCTGTTTCTTCTATGTCTGATTTGTCATCGACGGGAATTGGCACGATTCCCAGCAGTCATGTGACTTCAGATTGCGTCAGAGCTTGATTGAAAATGGGATTCGGCAAAATAGTACTCTACTCCGGGCAACAATTATTAGTTCTTCTTTCCCAGTATAGAGAATCTTTGCTGCAAGGCATTTACAGGTATTACTGAAAGATTTCTGAAAACATGTCTGTCAGCCGCACATCGACAACATTGCTCAGAAGAGCTCTTCTGGACGCCCGATTCTCGCCGCCATCTACCACCGTCCAGGCGCAAGGCATCCGACCAGCACTCGGATCATACAAGAGCATTCATAACTCCGCCCGGTTGCCTGCCATCACAGCCTCTGAGACTCGTCGCCGGCCGACTTTGCGCCCTCATCATCGGCCTGCTGCCCAAGCTCGGGTGAACGGACCGTTACCCGTTACGAAGCGAACGATTTTTATCCAGACCGAAAACACGCCAAATCCTGATGTGAGATGAAACGTCCCAAGTGACATGGATTATTAGCTGTATGTAGATCACTAACGATATACTATCTGGCAGGCATTGAAGTTCATTCCCAATCACCGCGTCCTCCCGGAGGAGTTTCCAACGTCTTTCCTCGAGTATCTGTCTCCTCGGTCGACCCTTGCGCCCCCTCATCCTTCCCCGCTAGCAGCGAACCTCTTCAACGTCGATGGCGTCACATCAGTGTTCTACGGTCCGGACTTCATCACCGTGAGTAAATCCAGCGATGCGAACTGGGCGCACATCAAGCCCGAGGTCTTCAGCCTTATCACGCAGGCTGTGACGTCCGGAGAGGCGATTGTCAATACGATAGAGAAGACCGGAGAACATGCGCAGGAGGGCGGAGAGGAGGAATCTCTCAGCTTCAACGAGGAGGACGACGAGGTTGTTAGCATGATCAAGGAACTTCTGGAGACCAGAATCCGGCCTGCGATTCAGGAGGATGGCGGTGATATTGAGCTCCGGGGCTTCGAGAACGGCATTGTGAAATTGAAGCTACGTGGTGCGTGCCGTACTTGCGACTCGAGCACTGTGACGTTGAAGAATGGCATCGAGTCGATGCTGATGCACTACGTATGTTTCATCCTCCTACCATGTCTGGCTCGCACTAACGTTCTTTGTCATGAACAGATCGAGGAGGTCCAGGGAGTTGAGCAAGTCTTGGATGAGGAAGAGGAAATCTCCATGCATGAATTCGCCAAGTTTGAGGAGAAGTTACGTCAGCAGAAGGGCCCTCAGGCTACAGCTTCTACGGGAGGTAAAGGGACCTTGGACTCGGCACCATAGGCCGCTTGTCCCTGTTTATGCTTTAAGGTTTCCGATATAACGGTCGTTTATTCCAGCTGTCAACGTTTATTGCTTGTGGAAAGCATACCTTCCAACTGGGTAGGCGATCCACAATCGCCTTTCCCAGGCAGCTTATACAATACAGAGATATACATCAGCCATGTATCAAAGATCTATATAGGCAAGTGGCTTGAGAGCATTTGACATTTGACCACTAGCCCTTAACTATCATGCAGCCAAGATAAGTCTTCAGGGTTCGAAGCTTGGAAACCCATGGATATGTTTGCCAGGAGCACTGTGGCCAATCAACCCATGAAACGGTGTGATACCTTAATTCGCGTCATAACCTGGTACGTGTACTACGACAGAGAACTTTCTGTCTCGAAGTCACGAGGCACGTAGTTCACGAGGGTCTAGACAGTGGACGTCGAGTGGGTACTACCTATCAGGTGAGGCATTGTCAGGTGATGCTTTAAAGCACATACATGTAGGTCTTCGCCATCAGGGTGTTTGGTGATTGGATTTGATGCCTGTTCATTTTGCTCATAGGTAGGTACCAGCTACCGTATGAAAGCTACATAGATGCGGACCAAACAGAAGGAAGTATATAGTTTCGGTCTACTGTGCCGCACCAAGTGCCTTAGACGTTGGATGGAACGGGTAAAGTGTAGACTAGGGACCGACTCCTCATATGCAGCCGTAGTCGCCACCTGACTCTGGAGCCCGTACTTGTCTTAATCTCTGAAAACTATTGTGGTGAGCTTTGCGTTAACCGAGAACAACATGCATAAGTATGTTCCTCGCTAAGATAGTTCATGCCTAGGCGCTAGACAATTATCAGCGGGGTTGCTCAAAAGCACAAAGTACTGTGAACTTGATGGAGCTAATCTATCCGTTCGAGAGACATTATAACCTAAAGTTTCATGAAATGGTAGCACAGTGTAGTTTTCGGCCGGAGCGGCTGGACCAAGGTTCCAGTCCCAAATCTAGTTCACAAGCAGTGCTGTGCCACACATGGACTGGCATCGGTGCTTGTCACTGTGAGCAGAGTACTCTTGCCTGACCTGGCGACGGGACTTGGGGCCGGAATTTTCGGGGTGAGCCGCAATTCGCTGCTGGAGATGGAGGATGAGAGTGGTGTAGGTTTCGTTTAGAGGTATCAGCTGTCAGATGGGCTTTTTTGTACCTACGTGCTGGATGCTTTGTATGTCGCGTCCTTTATAACATGGCTCTGTCTTACATCCTCAGGTTGACTCGGCGTGGTGATGAAAAGAGTTCAATTCCTATCATCTATCGTACATATCACTACCAGATTTAGGCTACTATAGAGAAGTACCTCTCGGTAGGAGAAGGATAGAAAAGGTATGTGCGCACGCTATATTCCGTAGACAAATGCGACAATCAACGTCACGACGTTGATCCGTGGGTTGTGTTGAGCCCCATTACAGCGTATCATTCGCCACCGTCAACGAGGGGCGAGGAAGGGGTCGCAGTAGCTTGTAACCATGGATGAAAGCTGAATCTGCTTGCTTTCCATCGTATCAGAGAGCTATCCGGGAATCTCGAGGTCTACTACCTTACCCTATGATGCTTACACTGAATAGGATGTATATGTCCACCAATGACTGGTGATCTGATCAGGTACTAGCATTATCTGACAGCAGTCAGTTGACTCGGGGCTAGGTAGGGACAAGAACTGGCCGAGAAGCAGGCAATTTTAGAGATTCAGAGATGGAGGGGGGCAGATTCATTGTGGACTATGGCTGAGTACTGTAGTCTATACGGGCCTGGCTGATGGCCGGATGGGTCCAATGTGCGGGAAAGCTCTCTCCGCAATAATTTCAACAGAACCATCCTGCAGGCTCAGAGGATGCAGCATAAGGGGGGCAAGCGGGCAAGTGGGCCGCAGTGAAGCACCAACGACAATCGGCGCCAAAATACTCAGGCACTCGGGCTCGACAGTAAAATAAGTTGATGGCCATTGCTCCCCCGCACAACAATGGCGTCGACAAATTGCCTGCAGTAGTAGTGGATTCCAATGACGATGGACGAATGTAGTTCGTCTTCAGATATGAAGATGGGTGCTTCATACCTATTTATGTCGAGGAATGAGGAGATTTTGAATTGTGTCTAGAAGTGTCTCAGGTTGCTGTCTAAGAAGGGTCTCCACTCCGCATTGTAGAGAGTTGTTTGCTTCGTCGACTCGACCAGCCAAATGGAGGTCCGAGTGTAACCTAACATCCATGATGGAATGACGTTGACGAGTATCTACATCGCATTGAGGAAATAATTTCTGCAACCTCTCAACTAGAGGAAATAACAGTTATTACGGAGTACCTGATTTTCCAGCCTTCCCCATATGTAAGGTACTACCTCTACACATATTTTCCAACCCCCGTACGCGTGGAGAGATGGAATGAAGGTAGAAACTCTCAACCCCAATACATTTCTGGTCCCTTGCCCTCCTAGATATATTAATTAATACTGATCTCAATGCAATTGGTGGGCATTGATATAACTTGACAGTCTTGGTAGGAAATGTGAATGAACGTGACCAACCTAAGCACAACTTTCATCGGCTAGGCTAGCAGCTGTCTCCGCATTCTTCGAAATTAGCCCAATGCACTATCCATGCTTCCAACCCTTGAGTTCTTGACATAAACGCCAGCATTAGCTGCTTGATTCGAGGAATACGGAGTAGATTATATTATTGTCGAATCTAGAATCTTCCCTTGTAAGAGAAAAGACACAGAGTACCAGCTGTCAACCCCGCTCTTCACTCGTCTATGGCTGTTGTAAGAACATCACCTTACATCAGGCACGAGAATAACAGACAGGTTAGGAAGTTAAAGGCCGCACTTGTTTTAAACTCGAGCGTCATTTGAGACCAAGTCAAAGGCGACTGGATCGTTTTCCTCCCAAATCCCAATGCGCCATTGGTAACTTCGTACCCCCGGACGATCGTCAACTTGACCTCCAGAGACCCGCCAGGACCCGCTTAAGAGAATGCCATCCAGTGGTCGACCATTTTCCAGCTCCTGCCAGTGTCATACTACTAGGTACCCTACTCAATGACTGACTAGTGCTATCAACCAACAGTCGGGTTCGGCAACAGGAGAGAATATCATGATCCTACTAGATATGAGAACTTTATTAATATTGACAATTTCATTGCAGTGATTGGTGAGCTGGTCTGTTTACTGTAATCTTACCTGAAATCTCCTGTCAGGAGGCTGATTCGATCAGGAAAGGTAATCGATCGGCCATCTTCCTATTCAGCATATAAATCCGGCTAATGGAGTATCTAGACTGAGTCCAGGGTGGTCGATATTATATAGATATCAAAGAACCAGCTTCAGTAACAAAGAAACAATACAGTCTGCATCGGCTTAGCTCGGAAATAGAGACTCCATTGACGGACCCATATAAGGTCCAAAGTAGGAGAGCTGTACGTACTTAATGAGTCGTAAGAAGATCAGTCTTTGCGCCACTTCTCGGTGCCCCGACCCGTGGCTCGATCTAGTCCTCTTGTCACCCCCAAACCCAAAAAGCCCAAAAGTGGCCTGAGGTTCATTAGTTTACTTACATTAAGTTACCTTCCCTTAGGTTCTTCTACTTTGGATGACTTAGTACCTCCCTTAGACTTGCAACTTGACTGGGGTGTACAACCTTACTCCTCTTTTCTTTCGATTCTTCTTCCTTGTCTGTCTCTCCGCCCGTGTTCCTTTCATATCTTCTTCTCCTTTCCCCGTCCCCCTCTACTCCGTACATCCTATGTCGTATGTCGTTCTCATTCTTCCTCCCTCCATTAATATCCACTCCTTGATCTGGGACACCGAACAACATAACCTTCAATCCCCTGCATCGGCTACCGCATTCTAGATCGACTACGCCGGTCGAATTAACCTTGGAATTAACCTTTCCAACTCAGCTACGTTTCCGACAGTTCACCACAGACCCGTCCTCGCGATACCTGCGCCGCTTTTCCTCTCCGCCTTCAACGCATTCCCCTCCGCGACAAAGCAGTAAGATCAACACTTTCTTTTTTTGTCTTCTTCTTTTTGTAACCACCTATCGTCTGTATCGCATCTAATCGCAACGGAAACAGCTTCATCAATAGGCGATCGCAATCCTCATACTTCCTTCCTTCCAAGATGCGCTGCTCCTAAGCAGATCTGCCCACAGTTCAGGCGTCAAGAGTGCTTTCACAACGTCATCCGTCACGCTACCACCCTCGCACCACATCTTTAATCTCCAATACTGCGCCAGGTGTGACATCAACCCTGTCGCGATTTCGATCCGACTACTTTATAGATTCTGTGGACAAATTTCAGTCCCGATCCAAAAAGTGTCGAAAATAATAAAAACAAATAAACGAAGTTATCAGCAAGAGAAAACAGCCTACTGTTTCTCTTCGAGCATTGAAGGACGAGCTACAATCGAGACCCCATCTTCGCGCAACGCCTTCGCCGCAAACTTCTGTGCTCGTTTAGACCGGAAGCCTGGTCGCTTCTTTCGTCGCCTTGCTTATTTCAGTTCGATTACGGACCACAACGTTCTTTCATCGTCGAGGGATTGGCTTCGTTTGGGTTTGGATAGAAAATAAAGGGATCGTTTTTACTCTAGACTGGTAAGTCTCCGACGTTTGATATGTCGGAAGCTTGCTCATACATCGGGAACGCTCGCACAGACTTGTTCACGAAATTATTCTGCCTTTTGTATTCGTTGAGAAGTGCCAGTGATACCCAGGTCCATAAAGGGCTTCTGCGTTAAAAGGGGGAATTGTACATTGTTACTTTCTACGGTATGTGTTGAGTCTTCATATCATGCTTTACCCCGTTTTACACCCCGCATCCCCACAAAAATGTCAACCATTTTCACGCGGCATGATTTTCTCAATCGTGGCTTCTTCTGGGGCGTCTACATCTTCGCCTGGCGGAGCTCCAACCGCGATTTTTACTGCATCCCAACTTCAGTGTGTCTCAAACAAACGGTCGATCAAGTCGAGCGCAGTGAGGCATACGGGCATGTAAACAAGCCGAAACCTCTTTTTTCCTACTTCTATCCTTGAAATTGCAGTCAGTGGGTCGAAACCTACCATTGAACTGTTCCTTGGGCCGACAGGTGCCAAAAATTGCCACAGACCCTTGAAGTCAGATCTCATTGGCCGTTGCTCGATTTGGGCTGAATAGTCCATATCATTATTTGAGGCCCCGGCTGTGAGGTCCGTTGGTGCTGAACCTTCCATAGCTTTCAATATCGCCACCTCAAGCTACTTCCCTTCATATCGCTCAGTATAGACATTATCCTATGCATCTGTCTGCTATTTACCCTGCCATTCTTTGCGTATCTGACTTAAACATTATCTTCATGCTATGCGTGCTTCATCTCATTTTCATTGACACTTCAATTTCACTGGTGCAACCTTGAACTAACATATCATGCAACAAGCTCATATTGTGCTAAGGTCACCGAAGCTCGTCCTCAGGGTCCACGCTCCTTCCAACACATTTGCAAAGTCAATAGGGCCTATCCTCTTATTTGTTTCATTCTCTTGAAATTGACCATACACGAGTTGCTCTGGTTCATATCTTCTTCTAGTGAATACCTTGTGCTGCTTTACTTCTCGGCGCTGCACACAGAGTGGTGTTGGAAAAGTCAAAATCACTCCCCTCCTCTGTCACTACATCCAAGCATCACCATTTTCGGATATCAGTAAGTCGATATCTTTTACATTGCACCTGAAAGACTTCATCCCATCCTCATACGCTACACAGCCTCGGTGCTGTATTCTACTCAACCCGTCGGTGTGGGCTTCCTTATCTGTATCTGCTGTTGCTGTCCGGCCCGAAGTGTTTAGTTAGGCTTCGTCTGGATTTCTGACCTTGGGCTCCTACTCATCTCGTCTACTTGCTAGCTTTCTCTGGACTCCTACTGACCTGCTTGTTTTAGTCCCTGGAGTCTCAGTCACGACTGCGCCGTCGCCAGTGATTCAGCCTTTCTCGCAATCTACGCTTTGAGATAGGGTTGAGCTTACAGGACAATATGGCCGCGTCGTCTGAAAAGTCCACGCAGGAATCTAAACCTGCCGATCCGCCAGCAGTGTCCAGTAATGCGTCAGCCAGGCTTGAAAAAACCCATCCTGGAGTCCGTCGTTCGACGCCCGATTCGGAAGCTTTGGCATCTTCAGATGACGACGTAGAACACTCGCATCTGCCGTCAACATCTGTACCTGTTTCTGCACCCAAACCTACTCGCCGTACTTCATGGCTGAACGAGATTCCCCTCAATATGCCCCGAAAGGTGTCTCTGACTACTGGTTCGTTGATCTCAGGCACCGGTGCATCTAACCCGACCAGCCCCGCAACCGATCACACCGGATGGCCTTCGGGGTCAAGCCCTGGATTGGGCAGCCAATGAACTGGAACCACGTCGGAAACAACTCGTTCACATGGGGCACAGGCATTTGGAATTCCGAATCCAGAAAAGAGCCGCCACCCCGACTCTCAGAGATTGTCCCGTCGCCTACGATGTCTAATGCGTCTGCTGCTAACAACTATTTTGCGGATGAGTTGCTGAGTCCCACTGCCCGCACTACATCTGGAGAGTCGGCGATCCCGTTCTCTATCCCGCTTCACCCACGCCCAAGACCTATCGCTCGCAGTCATACTCCGTGGGACAGATGGATCCAGAATACTTGAACACGATGGCCAATAAGTCGGCGGCGCCGTATCCAGGTGGGCGGGCTCGGAATGCTGGACAGTACTCCGCGCTGCAACACCGATCGTCTCGGCCAAGCCTCCTTGGAGAACTTGGTCATGACCCTGCCACTCTCGGTCGTGTTCGTGAAGATGATGACGATGGCGGTAGCGGTAACAGTTCCGACGGTAGTCTCAACGCCTATTCGGCGAATCAGGCGCGCACAATTGAGCAACTCTCGCGGGAGAATGCAATTCTGCGCCAGGCTGCAGGTCAACTGGATAACAGACTTAGAGATCGCGCCATGTCTTCTGCGTCCACTGCCAGTGGATATGCAGTTGGTAGCAACTTGCGCAACCTCCATCGGATTCGTGGAACCGTCCCGGAGGAGACGGACCTTGCTGTGGAGGATCTCGACGAAGTGGGCGACATACCCGGTTATAGCAACATTCACAGCAGTCTGCGTAGAAGGTTTTCCGAGCATTCGGGGAACCTCGAGAAGCAGCTGCCTTCCACTCTCACCCCGCTTGAGAACCGTGCGCTGGAAAATATTCGTAAGGCCAATTGGCAGACTTCCCTTGGATTTGGCAGCCTCGCCGATATTCCTCAGAGCAGGCGACACTCTTTCGCAGACATTCCCATTCGGCACGCTTCTATTTCTGGCGACTCTCAAGCAGCGGCCACCTCCCGGGCTGGATTGGGAGATCGGGAAGACCGTCTTGTCAATATCAGTGATGGTTCCCTTTCAAATGCCCAGAGCCAGAATCGTGAGTATCACCGTTTGCATGTGGCTTCTCGTCCCGAGGAACATGAAATGGAAATGGAATATTTACGAGCTCGTCAATTTGCAGAATCCTACTTTGCTCGCGACCAAGCTCTTCGTGCTGCCGAAGGACCCTCTGCAGTTCCTACTTCGCTTCACCAGGCTTATACGATGCCGAACGCTTACGGCCGCCACCAGTCTGGTCTTGCACATGGCCATCAGAATCAGCTTCTGTATATCGTGACTTTCAAGTGCCACCGTGCCGACGTTTTCTACATTCAAGAAGACACTGGCTTGCAGGTGAAACCCGGTGACTTGGTTATTGTTGAAGCGGATCGTGGCACGGATTTAGGCACTATCCAGCATGCGAATGTATCCTTGCAGAGAGCCCGGGAGCTGAAACAGCAGTATGCAGAGGAACACTACAAATGGCTGATGATGTTCTCTCGGCAAGGCCAGAACGGAACCGCGAACGTGACTGGGAGTGTTCCAGCCCTGAGCGGAAGAAGCACTATCGGCGGCATGGGTCCTCATGGTCCGCATGGTGTGCAGGATTTAGCAGGAGATATCAAGCCTAAGCTCATCAAGAGACTTGCGCAGAACCACGAGATCCTGACGCTCCGCGACAAAGAGGGCAACGAGGCGAAAGCAAAGCGGGTCTGCCAGCAGAAAGTCGCCGAGCACAGACTCAACATGGAGATTCTTGATGCCGAATTTCAAATGTAAGGATTACGTCCGGGCCATCGAATTCATTGTACTAACTGCGACTACAGGGATTGGAAGAAACTCACTTTCTACTACTTTGCGGATTCGTACATCAACTTCAACTCTCTTGTGACTGATCTTTTCAAGATCTACAAGACCAGGATCTGGATGTCGGCAATTAACCCAGCATCCTTTGTGACTCCGCCAACTGCTGGTTTACCACCTCCGGGAGGTGTTGGAAATGGCGACGGCCGAGTGTACGGCGCAGCTCGAGACGGCATGGATGTTGGCAGAGACACGGTGGGCAATAAGGTCGGGCCCTTGCGCAGCACCTACACAGATCCTTATCAGCCTTTCCCTCATGGTGCCCGACAGCCTGATTCCGGCCTTGGTGAACTCGCACCCAGTGCCGATCCCTTCTCTGCATACCCGCCAAACGCTTATGGTGGGACCTTGGACACTGGCTATATCGACTATGCCGCGCATAGCCCTGGCGTGGGCGGTGGTCCGTCTCGAGTTCATAATGCGCCAAATGACTGGACCACCCGGTTCCAGGGCCTGTCACTTGGATCTTGAATGAGAGCCATCGTACCCTTGGTTCAAGGTATCGCTGTCTCCTATACATCATGTTCGCTGTTGATTCAGTGAAATGACATGCACACTGTACTTTTCTTCTCCATCTCCATGTTCTGTTGGGGTTCCACCTATTTTCGAAAGTGTTCTTTATTCAGTGATTCCCATTTCTCCAGTCGTTCCTTTTCGATCTCTCTCGTCGGCTTTTGCCACTTTCTTCCAACGCTCTAGAAAACCTGTGACGGATCTGCTAAAAGATTTACGATCTGTCGCTATGCTGATACCTAATAGACCTCAACTCATGAATTGATGGCTTTCCCTGATTGCTTTTCCGACTACACTCAAGCAGCTGTACATCAGCACTTGCGCTTTGTTCTCCTCTTCGTTTCCTTCTACGATCTTACATACAGGTGCTTCTTGCGTGCCGTCTCACATTCATTACCATACTACTGTCCTGTTCTGTACACGGTGCCACAATGATAGTTACGAATGACTTTGGTGCAGTCGTGATGGTTTGCAGGGTTGGAACAGTTGAGAGACTTTTCTTTTTCCTTTTCCTTGCGAAACAGAAACGAAGAATATTGAAATTTTCTTACTACGGGTAATAAAATTGAACTCTACATTTAGACAAGAAATAAAATTGTTCATGCTTGCAATTGATAAACTTTTGCCTCTCCTCCTTGCGCTCCTAGTACATCAGAATAGGGCACGTGCCGAACCACACCCAGCTGTTGTTGCCTTGCGGCCTTAGGGCTGGACCTAGAATGCAGTGACCTAACCTGATAAGGAAAAGGAGGATTTCTGATCCACATTTGACACCTTAGGCATAAACAAGGGTTAGTGTCAAAGCTGGTTGGTGGATGCGGTTAGGCTCGCGCTCGCCTAATTTGCTAGTGTCCCACACACAACACCTCGCAGAAGAGATCATCTTTCCCTTCAATCTTTCCAGAGCGACATCGACGACAACCGACGACCTGCCACGCCGACAAGGTACGTATTCGCGCCCCCTCAAATTGCGATAGAATTTGCCTCGAATTGATTCCAATAATCCGATTCAATGTCTTCGCAATTGTCTGATTCGTCAAAGCTGATCGATTCCAGATGGGTGCCCTCAAGTACGTGGAAGAGATCCAAAAGAAGAAGCAGTCCGACGTGATTCGCTTCCTGCTGCGTGTCCGTTGCTGGGAGGTGAGAATCCCCCCCTCAATTTCGAACATTTGACATCCCGCCGGGAGGTGAGAAAAAACCTCGTTTGCTTTGCCATAGGATACCCTCGAAAAAAGAGAATTTTTTTTTGATTCTGGGTGTTGCTGGGCTCGGCTTCGAAGATCGCAAATTTCGCTCACAAAGCTTGCTTTTCTTTCCCGCCGGCGGATGATGTGGATGTGGCACACAAGACAAGTTATATTTGGACTTGTGTTGTCTTGCTATACACTCGTTGAACTTTGCTGAGAGTGCATCAATATAGCTCCGTCAACTGAACGCTATCCACCGTGCTTCCCGTCCTTCTCGCCCCGACAAGGCTCGTCGTCTCGGCTACAAGGCCAAGCAGGGCTATGTTGTCTACCGTGTCCGTGTGAGACGTGGTGGCCGTAAGAGGCCTGTGCCCAAGGGTGCCACCTACGGTATGTTTCGCGAATCCAGGAGATTTTGAATATAAGAGATTGGACTAATGTGGCTTCGGATTACAGGCAAGCCCACCAACATGGGTGTTAACCAGCTCAAGTACCAGCGTGCTCTGCGTGCCACCGCTGAGGAGCGTGTCGGTCGTCGCTGCGCCAACTTGCGTGTCCTGAACTCCTACTGGATCAACCAGGACTCCACCTACAAGTACTTCGAGGTCATCCTCGTTGACCCCCAGCACAAGGCTATCCGCCGCGATCCCCGCATCAACTGGATCTGCAACGCTGTCCACAAGGTTCGTCTACAATGCTCGTGCAACTCGGCGCGATTCTGGGAATTTCGCTGCACTCTTGCTAACATTTCCTGTACAGCACCGCGAGAGCCGTGGTCTCACTGCCACCGGCAAGAAGTCCCGTGGTATCAACAAGGGCCACCGCTACAACAACACCCGTGCTGGCCGTCGCCACACCTGGAAGATCCACAACACCCAGAGCTACTGGAGATACCGTTAGATGTAGAACATTGGGTGTTCATGGGGGTTGGTGGTTATGGAAAATTTCTCTCTTCGAGGATGTGTTTATTCCGACAAAAACTCGCTTCTGTGACTTTGTCATTGAATCATCAGGGTGCGAGCCTAATGCAACAGATCTTTCGGATCGGATGTTAGCAAAAACCTTTCTCTGTTTCTTTCTATGATTCCCTTAACGAAGTACGACGACTCTTTTCTTGGTTCAGGACGCTCCCTGCAGCTTGTAGTGGACTGGTAGGCTAAACATAGACCAACGTCAATCTGCAACCTGTTGTAATTGATATGCACTGCAGGTGGTTGTCAATTACCGGTTTGACGCCGAATAGCCGCAAGTGGAAGACGTTCGGACATGCTGATGTTGCAGCAACCCGGAACATGGTTTTTTGGTTAACTAAGATACCACTTAGCCCAAGTTGTCAGAGATTGTGAGACTAGTCGGAGCTTCAGCGCCCAAAATAGCAGCAGTTCGTGACATCCGAGCGTCACATCCAAGACCAGCGCCTAAGGCGCGGGTCGACCCATTAACCGTGGTCCAGTAGGGCGACGCCGAGGTAGGCTGTCGCAAGAGTTGGCAGACATGATCTAGTTGATAATTTCTTTCATCCTGGTTTCTTTCCAACTTCCAGATGCCTATGACTACCTTGACAGTCTTAAAGATCTCTCGAAACTATATATTCGTTGATACTGGCTCACTGTGGCTGAAGTTCCCACTCTTCTAGCTTCAAAGAAGCTCAAGGTGACATTATAAGGTATTAACCGCTTTCTACCACTGCCCCTGACTAATCGCTCTCTTACTCATCAACCATCCACCACTTATCATCATCATTAGAGTTGCATCGAGTGCGGCTACTCTTTTTGGTTCCCTTTTTGGTTACTGAGGTCACTTGGTTCAGTCGATCTGTTCCAGGTTTTTTTTCGGCAGGATCCGGACCCAGTTTAAACCTCCTTCATACCTCCAACTCTCCTATCTACCTAGTACCTATGTTGCCTCCTTTCTATCTCTAACAAGCGTCGCTGCGGTTCCTGCACATTACTCCCGTTGATCAGACGACACTTGTGCAATACCTAGTTTTACCAGGCCTTTGAATTAACTACGTCTGCTTTAGTCTACGAAGCACTTATTGCACGCCTGGAGTTGTTCCAGCTCAGACAGTCACCAGATATACACAAGCTAATGCGCCCATATGCCGTCGCGGTCCGCGTATAACCATCCTCATCCTCCGACTCTGAACTCCTCCAGCGTCTATCCGAACACCGCCCTTCTCTCTTCTTCAGCGGAGAGGAGTGCACAACGCCACATCCAGCACGATGCTCCCATCCTGCCGACGATGACCGGCAACCCGGCGACCTCGCCTCCCCACAATCGAGGTCATTCTCGTTCGATCAGTCACCCGTTTCCGTCCGCCTTTGGCGGCAAAAGACGCAACCCGAACCCGGGTTTCTTAGACTCTGACTCCGACGATGACGACGTTGAGGTGACGCATCTTCCCGATGTGCTTTCTAGTAGCCCCAGGAAAGGCTCCTCACGCCCGTTGCCGGGTGCAGAGGCGATCTCAACAGGAAAATGCATGACGTGCAACTCTACTGTTCGATGGCCGCGGGAGTTAAAGGTTTTCCGGTGTACGGAGTGCTTGACTGTAAATGATCTGGAGCCGTACACTTCGAAGGATTTGGGGGGTCAAGGGAGCTCGCGGAAGGATGGGAAGTCTGGTCTGTCCATACCGAGAAAAGGTGTGCCGAATTTACCTGGTGACTCTTACAGTTGATCTGGGCTAACTTGCAGAACCAGCGGTTCCTCTCTCCGTGGAACGGACACGGTCCATAATCGATAATTGCGTTTCATCTTATTTGCGACGGCTTTTAGACGCGCCTGTGCCTCCTTCAAGATCCTCCCCGTCGCGTACACCCCATTCTGAGCCGGCCGCGTGGATGCTCGAGCGCGCAGTTCGTCTGCGTCCAGTAAACCCGGGAAACCAGATTGGTTCAACGGAGTCTCAAATCCTTTGAAGCCTACGGCCAGCTCCTTGGCGCCACATGCGGACGTTAGGGATCCTCGGCTACGTA